ACTCCAAAAGTCAAGGCCAGTGCCCACCAAACCCTTCCAGTATTTTCTCTTGGTCATGGGAGTTCTGTGTGCCAAGATTGGTTTGGTTCCATTGTTGGTAGAGTTCAGAATGCTCTTTGCTTTTAGGTGAACTATAAATCCCAGCAACTACAACTCCCAAATGACAAAATCAACGTCCCCAACCCCACCAGTATTCAAATGTGGGCGTATCGTGTTATTTGTGTCAATTTGGTGCAGTAAATGAAAATACATCCTGTATATCACATATTTACATGACGATTCATAACAGGAGCAAAATTACAGTTATGAAGTAGCAACAAAAATAATGTTATGGTTGGGGAGTCTCCACAATGTGAGGAACTGTATTAAGGGGTTGTGGCATTAGGAAGGATGAGAAACACTGGTCTAAACGTTTCCGTTTTGCTTTTGCAGGCATCTTTGCATACCTGAACTACCATGTTCCCCGGACACGGCGGGAGATCCTGGAGACCCTTATCAAAGGGCTTCAGCGGCTGGAATACAGAGGATACGACTCCGCTGGTAAGTGCTGACTGTGTCCTGCCGTGCCCATGTCTTTTTGCAGACTTGAGTTCCACGTTCAAAACACAAACCTCCTACATACTCCGGTGCCTAAACTCATGGATCTTGGATATCTAAATTAGTAGATAGATAGACAGACTTCTAAGGAACCAACAAGTAAATGGAAAATTGCTAGTAACCTATCATTTTGCTACAGAGAGTGTCCTAACTATGGGCTTTGCATTGTTATTTCTGTGCAGTTCAGGACTGATAAGAGCAGCGTATCCAAAAAGAGGCAGCTGCATCTTGTAATACAACCTGATTCAAGTGTGTGCTGTATCTCCCTTTGTTTTCCCTGCTTTCTCTGCATTTAGGAGTTGGGATTGACGGAGGCAACGACAAGGACTGGGATGCCAACGCTGGCAAAATCTCACTCATCAAGAAGAAGGGGAAAGTGAAGGCTTTGGATGAAGAAGTCAACAGTAAGTGCCCTTTCCTCTGCTATTATTATTACTATTGTTATTATTTTGTAATGTTTATTAATGTTAACTTTTAATGTTCATTTCAGCTTTTCATCATTAATTTACAGTCAATTTCATCTGGTACATATGCACATCAAAAAGGCAGCACATCTTGTGGTGTTTCAAATAATAATAATAATAATAATAATAATACATATAGACATACAGAATGGAGTATAGCAAACTTATGTAATCATAACTGGATGTAGACAGTATAACTGAATCCTTCCATTTAGGAATAACAACAGCAATAATAATAATAACTATTTATTTATTTTTTATTTTATTTTTATTTATTGATTATTTATAATAAACATTGACAAAATCACGATCTGTCAACTGCAAAAGGCCACCTTACTTGGATCTGCACGCATCATTTGAAAATACATCACACAGTCCTAGACGCTTGGGAAGTGTTCGACTTGTGAATTTGTGACATGAAATCCAGCATATATATATCTCGTTTGCTGTGACATACTGTGTTTTTGTGTCAGTAAAATAGTAATAATAATAATAATAATAATAATAATAATAATAATAATATCATATATATAATATTATGATATCATATAATATTATTATCAGGGTGGTCCCAGTGGTGATCGGCACACTGGGTGCAGTGCCTAAAGACCTTGGCCTGCACTTAAACACAATCTGCCTGACAAAATTACAATCTATCAGCTGCAAAAGGCCACCCGACTCGAATCTGAACGCATTATTTGCCAAGACATCACACAGTGATCCAATACAAAAACCAGCATAGTGATCTTGTTTGCTGTGTAACAATCTTGTTGTGTTTCAAATAATAATATATGAATAACAATACTAAAGCAACTTGTCACAGGGCTTGCCTTACCGAGATTGGTTTGTCTTTGCCTTCCCCTGAGTCACTTGATGGGAACTCTTTTGTGGCTTGAAAGAGTCTTTTCTCCCTTCTCTTCAGAGCAACAGGACATGGACCTGGACATTGAGTTCGACGTCCACCTAGGCATCGCCCACACCCGCTGGGCCACCCACGGTGAGCCCAACCCTGTCAACAGCCACCCGCAGCGCTCAGATAAAAACAACGGTGAGACACATTTCTGTTGGGCTTTGGACGGCCAACTTGGGCCCTCCAGGTGTTTTGGACTTCAACTCCCACAATTCCTAACAGCCGGTAGGCTGTTAGGAATTGTGGGAGTTGGAGTCCAAAACACCTGGAGGGCCCAAGTTGGCCCATGTCTGATCTAGCAAGTTTGTTGCTAGTTCTTTTGGACTTGTAGGGAATCAAACATGAGGAAGAACCCCCGATGGTTAGAGCTGTTTGACCATGGAATGTGCTCCCATGGAGGTTTTGAAGCAGAGGCTGGATGGTCATCTGTCCATAGGGTTCTAATGGTGTATTCCTGCCTGGGGGACTAGATGGCCTTTGGGTGCCCCTTTTAACTCAAGGATTCTGTGATATATCAATCATATCTATATCTGCCTATCTCAATCATATCTATCTAATCATAACTGTCTCAATCATATCTCTCTATCTCAATCATATCTATCTCAATAATATCTATGTAATATCTATCTCAGTCGTATCTATCTAATTATATAGGTCTATCAATCACAATATCTATCTAATCGTATCGATCTAATCATATCTCTCAGTCACAATATCTAATCATATCTATCTAATCATATATATCAATCACAATATCTATCTAATCACATCTATCTAATCATATATATCTATCAATCACATTATCTATCTAATCATATATATCAATCACAATATCTATGTAATCGTATCTATCTAATCATATATATCAATCAATCACAATATCTATCTAATCATATCTATCAATCACAATATCTATCTAATCATATCTATCTAATCATATCTGTCAATCACAATATCTATCTAATATATCTAATCAAATATATCTATCAATCACAATATCTAATCATATCTATCTAATAATATATATCTCTCAATCACAATATCTATCTAATTAAATCTATCTAATCAAATATATCTTATCAATCACAATATCTATCTAATCATATCTATCTATCTATCACAATATCTATCTAATCATATCTATCTAATCATATCTATCTAATATCTATCAATCAATCACAATATCTATCTAATCATATCTATCTAATCAAATATATCTATCAATCACAATATCTATCTAATCATATATATCTAATCATATCTATCTAATCATATATATCTATCAATCACAATATCTAATCATATCTATCTAATCAAATATATCTATCAATCACAATATTTATCTAATCATATCTATCTAATCATATGTATCTATCAATCACAATATCTAATCATATCAGTCAAGCTCAATCATCTATCTAATAATATCTATCTCAATCATATCTAATATCCATCTCAATCATATCTATCTAATCTATATCATCTATCAGTAATGTCTGTCAATCATATCTATCTCAATCATATATGTCAGTCATATCTTTATATCTCAATCATCTCTAATCATATCTATCTAAATGATATCTATCTAATCCTATCTATCTATCTATCTATCTATCTATCTATCTCAATCATATCTATCTCAGTTATATCTATCTAATCATATCTATTTCAATCATCTCTGTCAGTCATATCTATCTATCTCAATCATATCTATCTAATCATATCTGTTGGTCTCAGTCTCTCTCTGTCAATCATATCTCTCATATCTGGATGGCCATCTGTTGGGAGGGTTTGGATTGTGCCTTCCAGTTTAGCCAAAGGGGGTTGGACTGGATGGCCTTTGGGAGTCTTTTCTAACTGTAGGATTCTATAACAACAACAACAGTTAATGATGATAATTCAGTTTCTTCTCTGGAGGTTTTGAAGCAGAGCCTGGATGACCATCTGTTGGGAGGGATTTGATTAAGTCTTCCTGCCTTGCAGAAGGGGTTGGACTGGATGGACTTTGGGTGCCCCTTCCAACTCAATGAATTCTGTCATACAGAATAAATCTGTCACCAATATACGAAAATAATAATAATCAGAAACATGAGTGCTCAGCACTTAGATTGTTTCTAGGTAAAATCTCTGATTTGGGGGACAGTCCTGCCGATATCACAGATATCATTTGCTCTTTCATATTTTCAACAAGACGGAGGATTACCCAATTTACAGGCCTAGGTTGTATATTCCTATTAATCTGTTAATTAGACATCATTAACCCATCAAATATTTTAATTCAGGCCAGAGGATGTGGTTGATGCAGTCTGTCCAGCATGGATAACTCTTTTTCCGCATCGAGTTCAGCCAGAAAACTATTTGGAGTAATGGCCTGTGGGGAAGATGGCCTACTTTCCCCCACTTACATTAGTAAATTGAATCGTAAACGGGATAAAGGACATTAATATTGCTGTCGGGTCCAGCAAGTGTTATTAAGCTTCTCCAAATTAAGTAATGGAACAGGAAAGGTACTTCGTTTGATCTATACATATTTAGTAAATGGGGTCATCTGCATACGCATGCCTGGCTTGGCCATCCAAGATGGTGTGGTCTCCCAAGCAATTTGCTTCTCTTGGAACTGCTTTGTGACTATAGCCATTCTTATATTTCCAGAATTCATTGTGATCCACAACGGGATTATCACAAACTACAAAGACCTGAAAAAATTCCTGGTAAGTAAGAGGGTCCTTGTGGGTTAAACCTATATGGTTACAGGTATTATAGACTTACTTGGTATTGCCCTGGGGCTCCCTCCTTCCTCCCTTCCTCCCTCCCTTCCTTCCTTCCTTCCTTCCTTCCTTCCTTCCTTCTCCTTCCTTCCTTCCTTCCTTCCTTCCTTCCTTCCCTTTCCTTCCTTCCTTCCCTTTCTTCTTCCTTCCTTCCTTCCTTCCTTCCTTCCTTCTCAGTCCTTCTTTTCCTTCACATCCTTCATGCCTTCCTGGCCTTACGTCCCTGCCTTCCTTCCGTCCCTTTCCTTCCTTCCCTTCAAGGTCATGGAACTTGAAATTCCATGCCCTGCCCTTGCAATTCATCGACATGCAATGACACTTAACTTACCCTGACCTCAGTGCCAGCACCTTACCCTTCAATTTACAATGACACATGACCTTCCTGCCTTTATGTACCATTTTGGGTGCCTTCCTCAATGACTGACAATTCCTTTTCCATTTCTTTATTCCTTGATTTCGTCTCGTGCTGCATTGCGGACTGTCATGGAGGTGTGGTTATTTTACGACCAAATACCAACAGACAAGGGCTAAAGACGAAAAGTCACTCCCGCACCCGTTGTGTTGTGATTGGTGCCTAAAGCACTTCATCAGTCCAGTGTACTCAAACGAACTAAAATACACCTCCACGCCCGCTACTGCCCTAGCTACCTTCTTCCTCTTCTCCCTCTCCTCCTCCTCCTTTCTTTCTTTCTTTCTTTCTTCTTTTTTTCTTTCTTTCTTTTTTTCTTCCTTCTTCCTCCCTCCCTTCCTTCCTTCCTCCCTTCCCCTCCCCTCCCACATATCTTTTACTCCTTTCCTCCTCCCTCTCTCATTTCCTTCCTTTTTCTGTGTTCCTCCCTCACTTCTCCATTCCTTTCCTCCTCTTTCTTTCTTTTTCTTTCTTTCTTTCTTTTTTCTTCTTTCTTTTCTTTCTTTTCCCCTTCTTTTCTCTTCTTTCCTTCTCTCTCCTCCTTTCCTCTTTCTCTTTCTTTCTTCTCTTCTCTTTCTTTCTTTCTTTCTTTCTTTCTTCTTTCTTCCCCTCTCTTTTCCTTTTTCTTCCTTCCTTTTCTCCCCCTATCTTTTATTCCTTTTCTTCTTCCTTCCTTCTTCTTTCTTTCTTTCTTCCTTTCCTCTCCAATACCTTTTCTCTTCCTTCCTTCTTTTTTCTCCCTCCTTCTCCTTTCCTTTCTTTTCCTTCCCTTTCTCTCTTCTTTCTTTCCTTCCATTTCTTTCATCCTTTCTCCTTCCTTCTCTCTTTTTTCTTCCTTCTCCTCCATCTTCCTTTCCTTCTCTTTTCCTTTCTCCCTTCTCCAGCTCTGAGAGCTCACATGGCTCTCTTTGTGGCTCTTTCCTTCATACCTTCCTTTCACGATGGACACCTTTCTCTCCCAGTGACCTCACAGGGGGCCACTTCACCTAGCCACAAACTTTGTGGGACACACAGACAGGCAGACAAACAAACATAATATATAGATGGACTTTTCGATGGAGAGATCACTAACATAATTGCTGCAAATAATCAAAGGTCCTTCGTTTTGTTTCGCGAGCCCAGTACTTGGAAGGGCGAGAGGAGAAATACTTGGAACTGGCGCAGTTTATAAATGCTACTATAAATGTTTATATTATGTTTACTGTATTGATGGGTGTGGCCTTATGTAAGCCGCCCCGAGTCCCCTTGGGGGAGATGGAGACGGGGTATAAATAAAGTATTATTATTATTATTATTATTATTATTATTATTATTATTATATAACCTCCTGTTGTGGCTGAGATGTTCCCTGATGATGAGGATGATGGGATTCAGATTCCTGGCTCTTTTTCTGTGCCTCAGATCTCTGGGCCTGCTTCTAGGTCTTTTTCTGAGGCTCCCACAGACATTGCAGAGTCAACACAGCGGTTCTCAGAAGAAAAGAATGTTAACGAAGGGGATAGCAAACAGGTGGGGAGGCTTTTGCCTCCTTCCCACGCTGATACTGAAAGTGCAGAAAGCCTAGATAGTGACCTGACCCGGCAAGCTCGTCTTGATTTGCGGGTCAGGCGGAGACGAGAAGCCAGCTCAGGCCAAGGTCATCGCAATGCTTTCATGTTGGTGAGAGCATAATGTTTTCATGTTAGAAAGGTATTTAGGCTTCTTGCAAACTAAGGGAAAGCGTCAGTTCAACGTAGCTTATTAGCCTGAAAGCTTCATGGAATACCTTAGCTGGAAAGCAGCACGCTTGGGATTTCTTGCATTGTGATTCTTGGGGCAATTGTCTTTGCTTGTACCTTGGACTTTGTTTTGAACTTTGCCTATAGGATTATTCCTCTTGTTTTTTACCTGAAGATCTTTGGAACTATATTCTGCATTTTACCTGAATCTTTGGAACTTTGCGATGCTTATTCTTTATTTTGACTTGGATTTTTTCCTCAATAAATTATAAAACTACAGCTCTTGTGTGGTGGTGTTTGAAAGCAAGGTGACGCTTACTCTGAGTTGCAACACCTCCTTCAGCAGCTCATGAAGCAAGAGCACACTCCAGACTCTCTCTGTCTCTTTCTGCTTCTCTCAAAGCACCTGCATAGCTCGAGCCTGAAAAATGTAACAGTAACCAAAATTCCCAGGCTCATGCATCTTATTTTACAGCTGATACACACACACCAGCTGATTTCTTGAATTCTTCAGCAGTTTTCTAGGGAAAGGTTTGACAGTATTGAGCAACAAGCACCCTTTGCAAGCTTTACTTAGAAATGTCTTGGGTTCTTTAAAGAGCTAGAGCTCCTTGTGCAATTCCTGGAGGCCATTTTTGCTCAGGTAGCAGGATGTTGCGTGGGCAGCACCAGCTCCTTGCCTGTGGGATCCTCCTCCTCCAACCTCATCATTATTCTACCTTTTCCTCCTTTCAGGAGAGCAAAGGCTATGAGTTTGAGTCTGAGACGGATACGGAAACGATTGCCAAGCTGGTCAAGTACATGTACGACAACCGCGAAAGTGACGACATCAGCTTCACTACCCTGGTGGAAAGAGTCATCATACAACTGGTAAGTCTCTGTTGTTTGTTTGTTTGTTTGTTTGTTTATTTACCCTATTTATACCCCATATTTCCCAACCTCCGTAGGGGACTCAAGATGACTTCCATGTATAGGCAGTGATTCAACGCTATGTAAACATACATATGTAGTAAAATAAACAGATATATTAAAACGATTATTAAAAACATATCAAACCTTAAAACACTGTTTAAAATCACGTTATCCGAAATCATAGTCCATGGCCATTACAAATGGAATAGTGTACTATTCCATAGTTCTCTAGTGGGCTACAAACTGAATGCTAATAATAATAACAACAACAACAACAACAACAACAACAATAATAATACTTTATTGATATACCGCTCTATCTCATCAAGGGGACTCGGAGCAGCTTCCAAGTAATATCATCAATACATAAAGAGTAAACAATACAAACATAAGATTAACAAAACGATATAAGCATAAAAATTGTTGCCATAACACATATATATTAAAAGTAATCATGCCTGTTTAAGGCAATTTAAAAGGCCGGGCCGAGATTAGTGCAAGCTCAAAAATTCTAGGGCCCCCGGGAAATAAGCGCAGTGCTATAGCAGGCAACAACAATAATAGGTACAGGTCTGTGGCTGTTCATTTCCGGGTCCTATTAGAGGAAGTGACCTGGGTAATTGGTAAGAGAAATAAGGCTATATTCAACAATGTCTAGGGCTGAGCTAGAACTAGTCATTCTCAAAGGTTTGTTGAAACCACCAGGTCTTCAAGCTCTTATGAAAGGAGGGGAGGGATGGGGCCTGTCTAATTTTCCTGGGGAGGGCGTTCCAGAGGCAGGGGGCCACCACTGAGAAGGGCCTTTCTCTCGTCCCCACAAACTGGACTTGATTCCACATCCACGCCCTTAGCCTTTTCTTGAAGGTCAGGAGGGTTAGAGAGGGAGTTTCACAACAGAGGGGTCACCAATGAGAAGGCCCTGTCTCTCGTCCACACCAGTCGCACCTGTGAGGAAGACGGGACCTAGAGCAGGACCTCCCCAGACGATCTTAACCTCCGAGGTGGTTCATAGAGGGAGATATATTCAGACAGGTAAACTGGACCGGAACTGTTTAGGGCTTTGACTAAAGCCAGAACTATGAATTGTGCTTGGAAGCAGACTGGCAGCCAGTGGAGCTGATGCAGCAGGGGGGTTGTTGATGGGAAGCTTCCCACTGGAGTGGAAATCATCTATTGGACAGATGGCAAGCTGTTGAACCTCAGCAGACTGAAACCCAAAACCAACAACAACATCTGTTATAGAACTCCAGTATACTGATGACAACATCGTCTGTGCGCATTCAGAAGAAGACCTACAAGACACTTTAAACACCTTCGCAGAAGCATATGAGAAACTCGGCCTGTCATTGAACATCGAGAAAACTAAAGTGCTCTTCCAGAAGTCACCAACCAATCCCTCTCTAATGCCAGAAATACAGCTTAATGTTGTAAAATTAGAAAAAGTTGACCATTTCCGCTACTTTGGAAGCCACCTCTCCACCAAAGACACCATTAGCACTGAAATACAACACTGCCGAGCTCTGCGAGTGCAGCTTTTTTCTGCATGAAGCAGAGAGTGTGTGAGGACATCCGGGACATCCGTAGGGATACCAAGGTGCTTGTTTATAAAGCTATTGTCCTCCCAACCCTGATATACGCCTGCCAGACGTGGACTGCCTATAGACGTCACATGCAACTTCTAGAACAATTCCATCAGCGCTGCCTCCGGAAAATCCTACAAGTCTCTTGGGAAGACAAGCGGGCAAATGTCAGCATGCTGGAAGAAGCAAATGCCACCATCATTGAAGTGATGGTCCTTCCCCATCAACTCTACTGGACTGGCCACGTTGTCCGGATGCCTGATCACCATCTCCCAAAGCAGTTGCTCTGCTCCGAACTCAAGAACGGAAAATGGAATGTTGGAAGGAAAAGAGACTTAAAGATGGGCTCAAAGCCAACCTTAAAATGTCTGGCATAGACACAGAGAACTGGGAAGCTCTGGCCCTTGCTGTGACCAGCAGTGCTGCAGAATTTGAAGAGGCATGAATGGAGGGCAAAAGAGAGAAACGTGTCAAGAGGAAGGCACATCAAGCCAACGCCGACCAGGACTGCCTTCCACTTGCCCTCACTGTGGGACAACATGCATGTCAAGAATAGGGCTCCACGGTCACCTATGGACCCACCGCCAGGACACCGATCTTGGAAGACAATCCTACTCGGACAACAAGGGATCGTCTAAGTAAGTAAGTAAGAGAGTGTGCATCTATATGCGTAAATGAACGTGCCCTTGGATCTCCTTTATTACAGAAATAAAACATATATCTCTTTTTTCTCCTTTAAGGAAGGCGCATTTGCCCTCGTTTTCAAAAGCGTTCACTATCGTGGCCAAGCCGTTGGGACCAGGTAAAGAACATTCCTATAGAACTTGTTTATTTTCCCCTGACAGTAGAGTTACTCTTGGCTTTTACTCCTGTCCTGTCTGTCATAGATTTTAGGCCATTCTAAGTATGAGAAAGATTCCTGTTGCCTTATATTTTGGAGCCTGGCATTGTTACCCTCTGTAACATGTCATATTTGACCATCAAAATTGCCTATTTGAAAAAAGCGAGCCCTTTTTCATGCTGCTATTCATGAAGAGCAGTCAGTGTTTTCAATCAGTCAATCTTTATTACAGTCCAAAGACCCAATTTGCTGAGCAGGGAAAGTGCAATGCAGATTCATAAACTGACTAGATCCACTTTAAAACCAGACAAATGCAATGCTAAATGCATATGAATGAGGGTAAAAACACTGCAAATATATACAAGTTTCAACCTGGGTCTAATACAGGAAGTTGTCTTATCCTGGTTGGCTAACTCGGAGAGAAACATGGGGGAAATCATCACCTAGTAAAAACTTTACATTGGAATTGAGCAGATCTACCGGGAAGGTTGCTCAGTAGTGGGTTAATAATATGTAGCCTAGCCTGCTCGTAAAGATGTAATAAAAGTTAGGGAAAATTACCCTAAAATATAGCAGAGCATCCAAAAATATAAACAGGATACTTAAAGTTGAGGATCAGCTTACTAGTGAGCAAAGCCGAAGCATGAAGTGTGATGTGGCTGTAAAGAATTTAGAGCTTAGGAGGCAAACATGTAGAGTCCAATCTTAAAAAACCACAAAAAAGGTTTATTTACAATAATAAGAACTAACTAAATTTCTTCTGAGTAAAGAACTGGGTCTGAGCTACTCTTAACACCCATCTCTTCTAAGGTTTCAAAGAGAGGGAAAACCACAAATCACTACATCTCTCTGACAGACAAACAGAGAGAGATCTCAAAGCACACAGCACAATGCTGGTTATTACATGGGCAAAGCCTTGCATTGAAGACGGCCCGGAAATTCCAACTGGTCCAACGATCAGAAGCCAGATTACTAACTGGTGCGAATTACAGAGAGCGGTCAACCCTTCTGTTTAAGGAGCTCCATTGGCTGCCATTTATTTTCCTGCCCCAATTCCAGGTGCAGGTTCTTACCTACAAAGCCCTGAACAGTTTGGGACCCGCCTACCTGCGTGACTGCATTTCCTTCTACGAATCCACACGATCTCCTCGATCTTCCGGAGAGGCCCTCCTCTTGCTCCCGCCTCCATCGCAAACGCGACTGGTGGGGACGAGGGAGAGGGCCTTCTCTGTGGTGGTCCCTTGGCTCTGGAATTCACTCCCCAGAGATATTAGGCAAGCCCCCACTCTGGCAATCTTCAGGAGGAGCCTGAAAACTTGGCTGTTCCAATGTGCTTCAGTGATTGATTACGTTATCATCTCTGACCAAACTCTGCATAAAATGCCATCAGAAGCACTTTATTTTCTTGTTGTGCAATTAAATCCTACCTCATCCCCCGGAGCCCCTCCCTGATATTTTGCATTGCCCTATCTCTCAYTGTTTTAAAATTTTAATCCTTTAATTTGGCCCTGCCCATGGTGATCATTTTTAATGTCGTAATGTTTTGATTTTATATTGTTGTGTTGCTTATATACATTGGTTTTGTATTTTAGGTTATTTTATTTTTTGGATTTTCTGTTGTGTTTTTGTGTTATATTGTGTATATTGTATTGATGGGTGTGGCCTCATGTAAGCTGCCCCGAGTCCCTTTGGGGAGATAGTGACGGGGTATAAATAATAATAATAACAATAATAATAATAATAATAATAATAATAATAATAATAATTATTATTATTATTATTATTATTATTATTATTATTGTATGGGACTCCCTCCCACAAATCTACCTTGAAGCACTTTGTATGGGAACACACTGCACCTTGCCTTGGAGAATAAGCAGCAATGTTTGGCCACAGTCAAGTTCTMAAGATAATTTGCTTCATGGAGAGGCCCAGCATAGTGTATARTCAGGGCGATTGGGGAACAAGAAACATACGAGTGAGAAGGCACTGCCCCATAGTCTTTGTTTGATAGTTTTCAGTGCTGTATCATAACCCAGATGTGATAAGAGGGATGGAGAAAGGCCAACAGAAGAGAGTACTTTAGAGTTAGCTTTGAGCCAGTTGCTAATGTAATAATCCTGGGCTAGATGCTTAATCAGATCTGAGCCCAACCTGTAAACACTGACCACAAGCCAATAAGATTGTTGCCATTTTGAAACCTGGTAAAGAAGCTTCCAGTGTCAAGAACTACTGACCAATCTCTCTCCTATTCCATTCTTTCCTCTAATCGGCCCCGGAATGGACAACCACAGACCCGTACCTAATATTATTGTTGCCTGCCATAGCATTGCACTTAATTCCCGGGCCCCCTAGAATTTTTGGGCTTGCACAAATCTTGGCCCGGCCTTTTAAATTTTTTAATTGCCTTGAACAGGCAGGATTCCTTTTAATATATTGTGTTATGGCAACAATTTTTATTCTTATATTTTGTTTGTTAATTTTATGGTTATGTTGTTTTTACTCTATATTTTTGTGATATTACTTGGGAACCGCTCTGAGTCCCCTCGGGGAGATGGAGCGGTATATAAATATTATTATTATTATTATCTGTATAAAATCTATGAGATGATGCTATTAAATCGACTAGGCACGGTTACTGAACCCCAGCAGGCTTCAGACCAGGGAAAAACTGCACAACTCAAATTCTTAACTTGACTGAATATATTGAGGAATACTATGAGAAAGGCTGCATCACCGGAACAGTTTTTATTGACCTTGCGGCAGCTTATGACATGGTGTAACATAGGAAAAAGCTCCATAAAGTCTACCATAAATCATAGGACTATGATTTTATAAAAACTGTCCATACCCTCCTAGAAAATTGTAGCTTCTTTGTGGAGTTTCAAGGCAGGAAAAATAGATGGAGGAGACAAAAGAATGGTTTACCCCAAGGCAGCATTCTTACACTGACCTTATTTAACATCTTTACTAATGGTCAGTCACAACCATCACTAAGAGCTGATGACCTTTCTATACGCTGATGACCTTGTCCTAACAACACAAGCAAAAATAAAGGTGGGGGAGGGGGTGTAGAAATGTAAAAATAAAAAAGAGATGCCCATCGAGGGACCATCGGCGTAAGATAATTTTCTTCTCAAAAAACCATAATTCTAGACTTCCTGTGACTGTTTTTTAGGTCGTTCTATGGGCAATAAATTATGAATTTTCTTAATAGGTATGTAGTCCTACCCTGGAGCATGAGACAATAGCAGCATCATCTGCATAGAACAAAAAGGGTATTGTCTTTGTTCCGAGCATGGGCAGATGTGCATTGGGGTCCAATAAGGCTTCTTCAAGATAATTGATGAATAAATTTAACAAGAATGAGGCAAGGATGCAGGCTTTGTCTTGCTCCTTTGGACATGGATATCTCTCCAGAAATTTGTTCCAGTTTGCCATATCTGATCTGTAGCTTACTGTCATTGTATAGGGCCTTAAGAAGAGACATCAATGTTGTAGAACTAGTAAAATAACCAGTGATTTAGGTGAACAGATGCTGCACAGAATGTGTCCCGATTTAGAGCGGTCTGAGCAACTGGCTTCCATAGTTTTTAGAGCTGGACCCAAACAGTCCTGGGAAACATTATCTTTGTCTGTGGAGGCCGGAAACAATTCCTGAATGCTGAGGATGTCCCTTTGTGTTTTCAGGAGGGGAAGCCCTTTGCTCATTGGCGTCCGGAGCGAGCACAAGCTCTCCACAGACCACATCCCAATCCTTTACAGAACAGGTAAAGGCCCACGCCTGCAGCCCTCTACCCCCTTTCTTACACATCGGAAGTATCATGAATCTTTTTTAGACCTTAAAAATGTTCTTTGATCCATTTTCAGTGGAACAGAGCACTTTCAGAAAAAGGTAGTAGACACACACAGGCTCCAGTACCGGTTTTATAATAGCTATATTGATTACACAGACAAAGAGGGGAAACTCTCAGCATTCACTCTTACATACATTCAACATTCATTCACTCAGCATTCACTCTACATACATTCAACATTCATACCATCCTTCATTCACTCAGCATTCACTCCACATACATTCTTTCATCTGTACTTACTCACCATCCTTCATTCAGTCCATCTTGGAAGGAGGTCGGTGAACAGGCTGCATTCTTTCCAGATCTGGCACACTTTGCAAAGAGAAAAGGGTCTCCTTATGTAGAAACTTATTTATGTAGAAACTCTACCCCATCACTTCTCTACCCCCGAAGGGGGACTCAGGACAGCTTACAATGCCACTACATAACAATTACAATAATAAAACCACAGTTAAACATAAATCATAATTAAAACAATACATAAACAATCATTAAAACAGTAAAACAGTCTCATCGGCCGCATTGCCGTTCCAGTCAATGTCCCTCTAAAGTGCTACATATATCTACTGTCTGAAAGCCTGGTACCAAAACCATGGTTTTAATTCCTTTCTGAAAGCCAGGAGGGAGAGAGCCGATCTTACCTCATTTGAGAGTGTGTTCTGGATTGTTTTTTTACAACGTGTCATTCAGCTAAAATTTGCTGGAATCTCCATCAATTCCAGAGAGATGTTGTTTTTCTTCCTTAACGTAAGAAGTTGTTGTTTCTGACTTCCTTAACTTAAAGAAGCATTGTCTCTGGCCATATAAGCATGTGTTGTTTGCATCAAAAGTTTTCAGTCACCATCAGTTCAGCTGTTCTTCGAGCCTTCTCCTCCTCCATAAAGCCATTTACCCAGGTTATAATTTCTTAGGATGGTGTCTTCAGCCTTGACAAGTCTTTATAAGCCCTTCGCCAGACCTCAATCATACAATTTCATTCATTCCATTAATCACAGAAGCAAAGTTGGAACTATAGTTACATACTAACTGGAACCAGTTGCTTTTGGGAGGAACCAGATGTCACACAATCACACACCATCCCCGCATCCAAAATGCTGAAGAGATTTGACGTTTGGTGCGGCTGAGAAAGGGACTCTTTTGCTTTCTGAGGCTTCAGTGCACACAAGCTTTTGTTTCATGCACAGAGTTATTTTAAATGCTGTGTATATATGAAACATATATAGACTTGGGCCCCATCTCCAAGTATAACCTGATGTCCCTGCAAACGTTCCCAAATCTGCAAAATCCCAAAGCATTCTGGTCCCAAGTATTTCAGATATCGGAGACGCGTCATGATTCTTCAGATTTGCTTTTAAAAAGCATTTTTAGAGGCATTTGGTCAGGAATTTTCCATGTTTTAGATTATTCTCTCATCAATCCTAAAGTCCCAACCCAAACTCATAGAAAAGTAACAATGCAACAAGTAACACAAATAAGTTATGTCTTTCACTGTGGCTGCAAAATGAGCCGTTGCTTTAAAATAGCAACTGGCAAAGTGAAATAGGATGTCAAAGACAGTATAGGAAAATCTTGAAATGTCACTTACATTATATACTAGGATTGTGCGCAGAACCGTTTCCCTTCGTTTCATCCATTCTTTCATTACTTTCGTTACCTTTGGGAGCACATAACGGGAAGGCCCCTCCCAGTATGAAAATCAGCTTGGCACGAAAACAAGCGGGAGCGGATCCACTTGTTTTTGTTACTTTCATTATCTTCGGGAGCACATAACAGCAAGGCCCTTCCCGGTATGAAAATCAGCTTGACACTAAAACAAGCAGGAGTGGATCCGCTTGTTTTTGTTACTTTCATTACCTTCGGGAGCACATAACAGGAAGGCCCTTCCCGGTATGAAAATCAGCTTGACACGAAAACAATCGGGAGTGGATCCGCTTGTTTTCGTTACTTCCGTTACCTTCGGGAGCACATAACAGGAAGGCCCTTCCCAGTATGAAAATCAGCTTGACACGAAAACAAGCAGGAGTGGATCCGCTTGTTTTCGTTACTTTCCTTACCTTTGGGAGCACATAACGGGAAGGTCCTTCCCGGTATGAAAATCAGCTTGACACGAAAACAAGCAGGAGCCGATCCCGGCTCCTCGCCTGCTTTTCGGCATCACAGCTTAATCTTTTTTATTAGTCCCCGGCAAGCAAGAGGTAATTGTTCTTCCTTACCTGGAAGTGGGAAGTCTCCTTTAAATGCCTTGGAGAGTGCATGTGTGGCTGCTGCTGGCATGTACTGTGCTCATCTCCTCTAGAGTAAGAAACAGCTTGCCTCGCTCCTTTAAATGTCTTGGAAAGTACAGTTGTAGCTGCTGTTGGCGTGCACTGTGCTCTCCTCTAGAGTAAGAAAGAGCTTCCCTCCTTTAAACACCTTGGAAAGAGTGTGTGTGGCATGCATGCCCAGGAGAGAAAACGTGGGCTGCCTGCAGCAAAGCACCTCTCCATCTCCTCTAGAACAGATGACATCCAACTCTATCACTTCTTTCCACTCCTTTCGCACCCCAGAGCAAAAACAGATATCTGACCTCCCAATTTCGGGAGGCCTCCCAAAAAAGTATCAGGGCCTCCACCGTAATGGTACAACCCTATGATATACCATAGCATTTCAACCATTATACTGCAGGCATATAGAAACAATACAACTTTACGTTATAGATACACTACAGGGAAAGCTGGAATATATGCTCCCAAGACTGCAAATGCCGCACCAACTGGGTCCCCGTTGAAATCGGTCTCCTGCATATCCTCCTCCCATTGTTTTTATTTATCAAAGTTGCTGACGTTCCTCTTTCTTTTATGACTCATTACAGTCCCTTTTCCCATTCCCCTTTTTTCAGCCACGCAACCTATGGATCATTCTTTTGACGGAATATCCATAAAGCTGGAAGAAGGTGCCTGAGACAATGTATTTTTTACGCTGCTGCATCTCCAAAAACAATCAATTGCAATCAGTGCAAACTTTGTGAGACGTTGCTTTTTCCTTTCCTGTCGGACCTCACGATGCATATTTCCAGCTCCTTTCATGCCCAAAGCAGAAGTGAATATGTATGTGTGTGCACGCACAGTAAGACTCCGGTATCCATAGGGAATCAGTCCCTAGAGCCATAGATATCAGCAAATTCAATTGCATGACTTGACTTTTATAAAGTCCCAGCATACCATAAAGTTACACTGGAGGATGTGGCACATTAAAAAGCAGGAAAACAAATGTTCAAGAAATAGATCTCGTATTAAAAAAATAAAATGGTAAAATCGTGAAGTAGTAAAAAAATAGAAAAAAAATAGCCCCCCAAAAAACAATTATTAATAATAATAATAAAAACTGCTGTCATCCCAGGTGACAGCAGGATTGAAGAGAAACAACTGGAAAGGCTGACACGATATGAGGATTTAAAGATCGAACTGCAAAGACTCTGGCACAAGCCAGTCAAGGTGGTCCCAGTGGTGATTGACACACTGGGTTCAGTGCCTAATGACCTTGGCCTGCACTTAAGCACAATCGGAGCTGACAAAATTACCATCTGCCAGCTGCAGAAGGCCTCCGTACTGGGATCTGCACACATTATTCGCCGATACATCACACAGTCCTAGACGCTTGGGAAGTGTCTGACATGTGATCCAATACAACAGCCAGCAGAGTGTCTGCTGTGGACTCACCTTGTTGTGTTTCCAATAATAATATTATAACAACAACAACAACAACAATAATAACAATAACAATAACAACTTTATTTTTCTACCCCACCTCCATCTCCCCGAAGGTGGAGAACAACAAAATATAAAAAAAGCATAAAAACAACAACAGCATAAACAATAAAAACAAACATCATAATCAACAACATAGGTACCTCTAATCTCATTTTGGGGGGAATAATTGCTTGTTTAATGGAATAAGGTAAAATATTAAACTAATAACAATTATAGAATAGTAGTAAATAATAGTAAAAATTATAAAATTACCTAAAGGCCAAAATGGAAAAAGCCACCCTCCCCAATTAAATAATAGTAAATGCTTGTTTGATGAAATAAGGTAAAGCAGTAAATAATTTTAAAATTGTAGAATAGTAATAAATAATAGTAAAAATAAATAAACATTCCTAAATGCTAAAGTAGAAAAAACAGTGCCCTGACCTGTTTAATAGAACAAGGTAAAATAATAAAAAATAAAAAATAAAAAATGTAAAATAGAAGTAAATAATAGTAAAATTACCTAAATGCTAAAGTAGAGAAAATATCCCTCTTCCAAAAAAAAAGTCAAATAATAACAAATGCTTATTTCATAAAATCATAGAGTTGTAAGAGACCTCATGGGCCATCCAGTCCAGCCCCCTGCCAAGAAGCAGAAAAATTGCATTCAAAGTGCCCCTGGCAGATGGCCATCCAGCCTCTGTTTAAAAGCCTCCAAAAACCTCATGAAATAAGATAAAATAATAAAAATAATAATAAAGATATATAAACAGATATATAAACCCTTTTTCCTACTTCCAACAGACCTCACTACCTCTGAGGATGCTTGCCATAGATGCAGGCGAAACGTCAGGAGAGAATGCCTCTAGACCATGGCCATATAGCCCGAAAAAACCTACAGCAACCCAGTGATTCCGCCCATGAAAGCCTTCGACAAAATAATAAAAATTGTACAATAATAGTACACACACACGCATATATAATTATCTACATGCTGAAAATTCTCTATGGATTTGCATTGTAAAATACAAAAAATCTTTGCAAAACATCGAAGAGTTAGAGCAAATTCCCAGAGTCAAGGTGTATATATGAGTAAAGGTAAAGGTTTCCCCTTGACAATAAGTGCAGTCGAGTCCGACTCTGGGACTCAGGTGCTCATCTCAATTTCTAAGCCAAAGAGACGGCATTGTCTGTAGATGCCGCCAATGTCATGTGGCCACTGGCATGACTGCATGGAGCACACTTATTTTCCCCGCCGAAGCAGTACCTATTGATCTACTCACATTTGCATGCTTTTGAACTGTTAGGTTGGCAGAAACTGGCCCTAACAGTGGGAGCTCACCCCACTCCCTGGATTCGAACCACCAAGCTTTGGGTCTGCAAGTTCTGCAGCTCAGCGGTTTAACCCACTGCACCACCAGGGGCCCTATATATATATATACACATTCATTCATTCATTCCAGGGAAAGGTTTATAATAAAGTCTAGTCTTTAGAGGAATAATTTGACTAACTGGCAATATTTTTTGTGAATTTTGAGGTTTTTATTTCCCCTGCAATAAGTGCAAATTTGCCATTACGGAGGTCTTACTGTTGTGACTTGCACTTCTTTGCCTTGGGCCACCGAGTTGTGCCATTTGCAGCGCTGGTGCCAAGCTCTCTTGTTTCCTCATGCCAAATCAAAGGCAACATGTTCAAAGAGATGATGGTGGCATTCAGGGATTTTCCACCGGCGTCTCTTTTCAAATCTCTGTCTTTTCATGGTGTCTCTCTACTTTTCAATGATTGGTGACAATTTACGAAGGACAGTATGTCAGGCTTCTTGGCTCAAATTCATTATTTTTGAAGTCAGTATCAACATGAAATCCATCTAAAATGCTAGCTGTTCCAATGGATTGTCGTCAGAGCAATCCAATCCATTTGCAATCTCACTCCTAGTTGATACAGGGTTAGTTGGATAACACTATGTAAGAAAATTTGAAAATGGTTCTGTTCCTGGTTTGAAAGTGTTATTTCCTATTTCATTGTGCCATCCTTACTTTGAATTGAGTTGTTCTACTCCAGAAACTTTGTTGTTTTTGTGGCACAAACTATGTTAAATTGCTTGAGACTAGAAGAGAGTTTTTGTGTTAAATTGCTTGAGACTAGAAGAGATATTAAATGCAAAACTAGAGCAAAATGCACTATGACAGGAGGTCTTTCAAAAACAAAGTTTGGCAGTTTCATCAACTTTTCCCCATGTTTTTATGAAAGAACCAATTCGGAAACAGCATTTATAACCCAGGAACAAAGATTGTGTTACATAGTGTAATGTATAATAATTATATAATACAATTATAATAATATACTATAATACATATAATAACATAATAAACACAATAAATACAATAACAATATAATAAATACAATTATAGTAAAAGTGTTAATTGACACCGGGAAGCCCCCGGTGGCGCAGTGGGTTAAAGCACTGAGCTTGTTGACCTAAAGGTCGCAGATTCGATTCTGGGGAGCGGCGTGAGCTTCCGCTGTCAGCCCTAGCTTCTGCCAACCTAGCAGTTTGAAAACATGCAAATGTGAGTAGATCAATAGGTAACGGCACTCCATGCAGTCAAGCTGGCCACATGACCTTGGAGGTGTCTATGGACAACGCCAGCTCTTCAGCTTAGAAATGGAGATGAGCACCACACCCCAGAGTCAGACATGACTAGACTTAATGTCAGGGGACAACCTTTACCTTATAGTAAAAGTAAATGTTTCCCCTTGACATTAAGTCTAGTCAAGTCTGACTCTGGGGGGTGGTGCTCATTTCCATAGACACCTCCTAGGTCATGTGGCTGATAGGACTGCATGGAGCGCCGTTACCTTCCCACCGGAGGTAACGGTACCTATTGATCTACTCACATATGTGGTCATTGGCGTGACTGCATGGAGTGCCGTTATCTTCCTATCAAGCCGGTACCTATTGATCTACTCACATGTGCCTTTTTTCAAACTGCTAGATTGGCAGGAGCTGGGGCTAACAGTGTGAGCTCACCCTGCTCCCCATATTTGAACCACCGGTCTTTCAGCCAGCAAGTTCTGTAGTTCAGCAGTTTAACCCGCTGCACCCGGGGGTGGAGGGTGGGGCTTAATGTAATTCTAATTTAATATAATAATATGATGTGCTATAGCAGGATGTCCCTTCTGCAAAGACAAAGTCTTTGCAGTTTAATCAACTTTCCCGGTGGAAGGAGCCCCGGTGGCGCAGTGGGTTAAAGCCCTGTGCCGGCAGGACTGAAGACCGATAGGTCACAGGTTCGAATCCGGGGAGACGCGGGTGAGCTCCCTCTATTAGCTCCAGCTCCTCATGCGGGGACATGAGAGAAGCCTCCCACAAGGATGACAAAAACATCAAATCATCCGGGCCTCTCCTGGGCAACATCCTTGCAAGCGGCCAATTCTCTCACACCAGAAGCGACTTGCAGTTTCTCAAGTCGCTCCTGATACGACTAATAATAATAATAACTTTCCTCATGTTTTTATGATAGAACCAATTAGGAAATGACATTGATCAACCAGGAACAAAAATCATGTTATATAATGTAATATTATAATTATATAATACGAATATAATACAATAATATACTATAATAAATATAATAATATAACAAATACAATAATAATACAATATAAGGTGCTATAGCAGGATGATGTCCCTTCTGCAAATGCAGCGTTTGTGCAGTTTAATGAACTTTTCCCATGTTTTTATGATAGAACCAATTGGGAAACCCACATTTATCACTCAGGAAGGAACAAAGATTGTGTTACACACTGTAATATATTATATAATATAATTATATAATGCAATTATAATATGCTATAATAAATATAATAATATAAAAATACAATAATAATGTATTAAATGATAATATAATGTATTACAATTATAATATAGTAATATAAGCTGCTATAGCAGGATGTCCCTTCTGCAGAGGCAAAGTTTTGGCAGTTTAATAAACTTTGCCTATGTTTTTATGATAGAACCAATTAGGAAACAGCATTGATTACCCAGGAACAAAAAATCATGTTGCATACATAGTGTTATTGACGCCGGTGTTTTACTTGTGTGTTTTAATGGTAATCTTGGGTGCGTCCCTTGTAAGCCACCCCGAATCTCCTAGGGCAGATGGTTGACGGGATATAAAAATAAAATTATTATTATTATTATTATTATTATTATTATTATTATTATTATGCTAATGAGGCCCAATCCGTTGGAATAATAATAATAATAATAATAATAATAATAATAATAATAATAATAATAATAATATGGAGCCCCTGGTGGCTCCCTCTCACGCCAGAAGCGACTTGCAGTTTCTCAGGTCGCTCCTGACACGACAAATAATAATAATAATAACAATATGGAGCCTCTGGTGGCTCCCTCTCACACCAGAAGCGACTTGCAGTTTCTCAGGTCGCTCCCGGCCCGACAAATAATAATAATAATAATAACAATAACAATAATGATAATAATAATAATAATATGGAGCCCCCGGTGGCTCCTTCTCACACCAGAAGTGACTTGCAGTTTCTCAGATTGCTCCTGACACGACAAATAATAATAATAATAATAACAATATGGAGCCCTTGGTGGCTCCCTCTCACACCAGAAGCGACTTGCAGTTTCTCAGGTCGCTCCTGACCCGACAAATAATAATAATAATAATAATAATGATAATGATAATGATAATAATATGGAGCCCCCGGTGGCTCCCTCTCACACCAGAAGCGACTTGCAGTTTCTCAGGTCGCTCCTGACACGACAAATAATAATAATAATAATTTATTTCTGACCTGCCCTCTCTCCGCCAGGAGACTCAGGGCAGCTTCCAAAGGCAAAAGAGGCAAACATTCGATGCCATGTGCAACAACAAATAAACATAAAACAGAAACAAACAGTTAAAACAACAGTTAAAAATAAGCCAATAAAACAACCTAGGCTAATAAGCTGATGAAATTTGTATAAAATATGAAAGCATGCAAATATAAAACATGGCTCTCCAATAAGTTAAGGTCATAGAGTCTCTGTCAGCATCGTCAGATGAGAAAAAAGTTAATTCTTTTCCGCGCAAAGAGCAGCAGGGGTTGCGCTGCTCCTTTTATGGAGCCCTTCCACTCCAGGGACGTTTTGGAAAGCAAGGTTTCATGTTGGTTCTGTGCCTTGGGGTCTTTGGGTGCTCTAGGCATGTGTTGATGTGCTCCTAATGATGCGCCGTGTTCTCTCTCCGCAGGGAAGGACAAGAAGGGCAGCTGCGGCCTCGCCCGCGTGGACAGCACCACCTGCCTCTTCCCCGTCGAGGAGAAGGCCGTCGAGTATTACTTTGCCTCTGATGCCAGGTCAGTGGCCTCTCTATGGCTGGAGAGGGTGGTCCTGTGGCTGCCATTGTACTCTGCATTCAGGATAAAGAAACTCAGGATGATGTCTCCTATTGGAACTAAGCACCCTATTTATTTATTTATCACTAGCTGTACCCTGCCACGCGTTGCTGTGGCCTATAGTAAGAATTTTCGAAGTAGAGGTAGATATCTGGGCTATTATGAAAGGGAGGTACCTACGTATTCCTTCCCCTCTTTTTCTTCCCCTTCCCCTTTCTCTCCTTTCTTCCTTCTCTACCTCTTTCTTTCATTCCTTATTTCATTCTTTGGTTTCATCCTTCCTCCTCTCTTTCCTTCCTTCCCTCGTCCTTTCTCTACTTCTTCGTCTCATGTCTTCCTACACTGTTTTCTTGCTTCTTTCACTTTTTATTTCCTTTTCCCTTCCTTCCTTCTTTACCTCTTTCCTGCCTTTCCTTTCATTTCTACTTTATCTTCTTCCTTCCTTCCTTCGGTACCTCTTTCTTTCCTTCCTTCCTTCCCTCCCTACTTCTCTCCTGTCTGGTAGAGTCCCTTCTAACTCTATTCTAGGAGTCTATTTAATATAGTAACATATAGTAGTAACATATTATATAGTAATAGATATAACAGTAATATATATAATATAATATTTATGTATTATATAGCAATATATATAATAGTAATATATATAGTATTGTAATTATATATATGTATATATGTATATACATAGAGATAGATAGACAGAATATAGATATATACCACCAACCAGTGATCCTGTATCCATCCATATCTGTGTGTGTGTGTGTCTACACTGCCATAGAATCCAGTCCTAAGTAGATAATCTGGATTTTACATGGCAGTGTGGAAGGGGTGACTTTGAGTGCATCTAAGTGTAGATTTAATAAAGAAGGATGAAGCTGGTGAGGGGGGTGGGGGAGAAAAGGGAAGGAAAGAAAAGAATGCTTCTTGTAGGTCAGAGAACGGTCCAGAGTGACTCCCAGGTATTTGGGTGCGCTGCAATGCTCCAGTGGGATTCCTTCCCAGGTGATCTCAGAGCTCGGGATGCTTGTCTGTTCTTAAGGTGAAAGGCACATGTCTGTTTTTTAGATGGATTAGGGATCAGTTGGTTTTCCCTGTGATAGGCAGTAAGAGCACCAAGAGCTTCGGAGAGCTTCTGTTCAACCATCTCAAAGCTCCCTGCTTGAGCGGTAATGGCATGATCATCAGCAGAGATGAAACTCTCTGTCCCTTCTGGCGGTGGCTGGTCATTGTGTAGATGCTACAGACAGTGCTACAGCTTGTGCTCCTTCTATATGTATCAGTTTTATATGACACAAAATAAATAAATAAGCATGTAAATTGAAAATTTAAAAAACCATATTAGAAATAAAAACTTTGATAACTTCTGAGAACCAAGTTGATTAAGATATCTTATCAATTGCCTTTGTAATGATTTTTTTAAATGGTAAAGAGACTTTACGGACACCTCGTATTTGGGTGTCATCAGCATACCGATGACACCGCACCCTAGGCCTCCGGATGATCTCTTCCAGTGGTTCAAATGCTTTTAAAGCATTAGAGATAGAGTTTTTAGCCCTCTCTTTGCTCCCTTGCAGCGCAGTCATTGAACACACCAACCGGGTCATTTTCCTCGAGGATGACGATGTGGCCGCTGTGGTGGAGGGCCGCCTCTCCATCCACCGCATCAAGCGCATGGCCGCGGACCACCCGGGGCGCGCCGTCCAGACCCTCCAGATGGAACTCCAGCAAATCATGAAGGGTTGGTTTCTCTTTCTTTCTTTCTTTCTTTCTTTCTTTCTTTCTTTCTTTCTTTCTTTCTTTCTTTTTTTTCCTGGACTTCTTTCTGCAAAGAGCCGTGCTTCCCTTGGGCTTCACATTTTCATCTTTAAAAATGTTCTTTAATCTATTTCAATCTATCATAGAATCAAAGAGTTGGAAGAGGCCTCATGGGCCATCCAGTCCAACCCCATTCTGCCAAGAAGCAGGAATATTGCATTCAAATCACCCCTGACAGATGGCCATCCAGCCTCTCAGCCTTCTCTTCTTCAGGCTAAACATGCCCAGCTCCTTAAGCCGCTCCTCATAGGGCTTGTTCTCCAGACGCTTGATCATTTTAGTCGCCCTCCTCTGGACACATTCCAGCTTAGAGTCAATATCTTTCTTGAATTGTGGTGCCCAGAATTGGACACAATATTCCAGGTGTGGTCTAACCAAAGCAGAATAGAGGGGTAGCATTACTTCCCTAGATCTAGACACCATGCTCCTCTTGAGGCAGGCCAAAATCCCATTGGCTTTTTTTGCCGCCACATCACATTGTTGGCTCATGTTTAACTTGTTGTCCACAAGGGCTCCAAGATCTTTTTCACACGTACTGCTCTTGAGCCAGGCATCATCCCCCATTCTGTACCTTTGCATTTCATTTTTTCTGCCAAAGTGGAGTATCTTGCATTTGTCACTGTTGACCTTCATTTTGTTAGTTTCGGCCCATCTCTCTAATCTGTCAAGATCGTTTTGATCTTGGGGACTTTCAGAGAAAGAAGTAGACACAAAAGACTCCTGTACTGGTTTTATAATTGGTTACACAGGCAGAAAGGGGGGACATTCACTCTGCATTCACTCCACATACATTCTTTCATCCATTCTTACTCACCACCTTCTTCATTAAGTCCATCTTGGAAGGAGTTGTTTGTCCAATTTCTGCATTCCTCGCAGATCTGCTACACTTTCCATATGGAAAAGGGTCTCCTTATGTAGAACTTTTGCTGTTGTTGTTTTGACAACTTCTCATTCAGCTAAGACTTGTTGAAGCTCCATCAATTCTGGAACAGATGTTGTTTTTCCTCTTTAGCATTAGGAGTTGTCATTTCTGACCTCCTCAGCTTAAAAGTGGTGCAACTGGCTGGGAGTCAGCTGCATTAAGATCACTACTGACCAAAAGGCCATGAGTTCGAAGCCAGCCTGGGTCGGATTGAGCTTCTGACCAATTTTGTGTAACTTGCTGTCGACCTTTGCAGCCCGAAAGACAGTTGCATCTGCCAAGTAGGAAATTTAGGTACTGCTTATGCGGGGAGCCAAATTTAACTAATTTACGAGGCCATAAAAATCTCCAGCAAGGATGCAAAGAATGAGGAAGTACTTCATCAGTGTCACAAATGGTCGGTGAAGGGACAGCTCCCCTGGTGGCCAGAATAGAATCATAGAATCAAAGAGTTGGAAGAGACCTCATGGGCCATCCAGTCCAACCCCCTGCCAAGAAGCAGGAATATTGCATTCAAATCACCCCCGACAGATGGCCATTCAGCGTCTGTTTAAAAGCTTCCAAAGAAGGAGCCTCCACCACACTCCGGGGCAGAGAGTTCCACTGCTGAACGGCTCTCACAGTCAGGAAGTTCTTCCTCATGTTCAGATGGAATCTCCTCTCTTGTAATTTGAAGCCATTGTTCCGCGTCCTAGTCTCCAGGGAAGCAGAAAACAAGCTTGCTCCTTCCTCCCTGTGGCTTCCTCTCACATATTTATACATGGCTATCATATCTCCTCTCAGCCTTCTCCTCTTCTCTTGAATACCCTCAAGAAAAGCTGGAATGTTAAATTGCCTCTGTGTCTGTCTATATATGTTGTGTGTCTATGGCATTGAATGTTTGCCATGTATCTGGACATTGTAATCTGCCCTGAGTCCCCTGCGGGGTAAGAAGGGCGGAATATAAATACTGTAAATAATAATAATAATATTTATTTATTTATTTATTTATTTATTTATTTACTGTATTTGTATACCACTTTTCTCAGCCAATCAGCGGCTCAAGGCGGTTTCCAACAAATCAGTATACATGAAAACATAATACCAAATTAAGCAATAAACTATAAAACATCACAACAGCAATAAAAACAACATCATTAGCGTCTCCTCTTTATCAAGTATTGGCTAGTTCCATTGTCAAGTCAATTCGATTTCCTATTGTCTCTGACCATGTAAACATATGTCGTTTACACCAAAAGATCGGTTAAGTCAGTTCAGCAGTTTTTCTTCATCAACATGCCACAAGTTAATCCAATCTTCTCCTCCATAAAGTCATTGGTTTATTTTAGCATGATATCTTCTGTCTTTCCAGACCTGCCACATCCCTATTTTTGGTGTTGGTGTTGTATTTATATATGAAATTTATAATTTCATTCAATCCAGTCATCACACTCTCCAGCATGGATTTGGTCTTGGGGAAGGCATGCCCTCTCAGCCCCATAATAGTGTCTCCTAAGGCACGCAACAAGGCACGCAACAAGCTCTCGTTCTGTCCAATGTGCATAAGATTTGCCAGTAAATACCTTTTGTTTATATATCTAAAGGTAACTTCAGCTCTTTCATGCAAAAGGAGATTTTCGAACAGCCTGAATCGGTCGTTAACACCATGAGAGGAAGAGTCAACTTTGACGACTGCACAGGTAAAAGGAAACTGAAGCAGCCCTGTTTTGTCTTTTTAAGTGTAATCCAGTTTCTGAATCCAGATTGTCTACTTTGAACTGGATATTAATGATGTTGTCTCCTGCCTTGAGCCCTAGGGAGAGGTGGGTAATACACTCATCATCATTATTATTACTACTATTACTATTGTGTGGCTGTTTCTTTTTGGATTGTTTTGGGATCCTGTTGTTGAGTCCTATTGGCTGAGTCCTTTCTCCTATGAGGAAGCAGTGGCTTTTTGGCACTGCACCCTCTTTCCTATAAATCAACAAAGTAAAGCTCTGGCAAAAGGATCTTTTTGTCTGTGTTTGTCTCCTTTTGAGTTGTTTTCTCTTTTGCGATCCAGCCCTTTGTATTGATTCTCCTAACAGTGAACCTCGGAGGCCTGAAAGATCACATTAAGGAGATCCAAAGGTGTCGGCGTCTCATCCTTATCGCTTGCGGGACGAGTTACCATGCTGGAGTCGCAGTGAGTGCCTGCATTTTTTGTTCACATTTTGAGCAAAGAAAGAAAGAAATCTATTCCAGAAATATATACAGCATTTGCTTGTTTATTTGTTTGTTTGTTTTGCGCATGAACCTTTGATTGGTTGGGAGCTACAAGTTGAGCATCCCTTTGAATCTATATAAATAAAAATGTAATGTCCGTTTGCGGGATTAACATAACTCAAAAACCATTGGACAAATTGACACCAAATTTGGACACAACACACCTATCAGGCCAACGAGTGACCATCACTCATAAAAAGATGGAAAAATACAGCAGAAGAGACTTAAAAATGCAAAAAACAACAAATACATTACAACGCAAGTGTAATACCACATATATACACATATACACATATATATACACACAAAACACATACACAGACTGGGCCACAGCAATGCGGGGCAGGGGACGGCTAGTAATTTATAATATTATAAGATTTTGTTCACTTCCTGTTGTCTCAGCCCGGTTCTTAACTAGGAGTCATTTGTAAGTTAGATGATTGTAACTTGGGGTCAGCCTGTAGATCAGGGGTCCTCAAACTAAGGCCCGGGGGCCGGATACGGCCCTCCAAGATTATTTACCCGGCCCTTGCTCAGGGTCAACCTAAGTCTGAAAGCACACAACAACAACAACAACAACAATCCTATCTCATCAGACAAAAGCAGGTCCACACTTCCCATTGAAATACTAATAAGTTTATATTTGTTAAAATGGTTCTTCATTTTAATTATTGTATTGTTTTAAGTGTTTTTTGCACTACAAATAAGACATGTCCAGTGTGCATAGGAATTCATTCATGTGCTTTTCAAATTATAATCCGGCCCTCCAACAGTTTGAGGGACTGTGACCTGTCCTTCTGTTTAAAAAGTTTGTGGACCCTTGCTGTAGGCAGATAGATAGATAGATAGATAGATAGATAGATAGATAGATAGATAGATAGATAGATAGATATTTCTAACATTTCTACCCCGCCCTTCTCAACCCCTGAGGGGGGACTCAGAGAGGTGTAAACAGAAATAACTATGATTCTATAGAGAGAGATAAATATGTTTGTAAATATATACATATATAAAGAGAGAGATAATAATAATAATAATAATAATAATAATAGTAATAATACTTTGTATTCTGCCCTCTCTCCCCACGGGGACTCAGGGCGGATTCCCATAATCACAAATACGAAGGCGAGCATTCAATGCCTTGAAAACAGCCATAAACACAAATACAGTAATGACTAATGGGAATCGCAAAGTGAACCAATGTCTAACCATGAATTGTAACCTAAAACTAAAATTACATAATCAAATTATTATATCTAACCTCAAAACATTGAACTTCGATTTCCGAATCACTAAAGTTTCAATTAAGAAAGTTTAAAATTGATTATGTTGCCATGATGTTTCCTTCCATTCCGAATCCAGACCCGCCAGGTGCTGGAAGAGTTGACAGAGCTTCCCGTGATGGTGGAACTGGCCAGCGACTTCCTGGACCGCAACACGCCTGTCTTCCGTGACGACGTCTGCTTCTTCATCAGCCAATCAGGTAAGAGGAGGACCCGCATTCGGAGCCTTCGGTGGGACTTCTGCCAAAGAAGGATGGGTACAAGCCAGAACAACAACAACAACAACAACAACAACAACAACAACAACACTTTATGTATACCCCGCCACCATCTCCCCAAGGGGACTCAGGGCGGCTTACATAAGGACAAGTCCAACAACACATCAGTAAAAACAAAACAGCAAGCAAATAAAACAGTACAATTAATATAACTAACATTAAAACAATAACACAGATAATTTAAAACCTTTAAAACTCACAAAAGGCAAGCCAATAATAACACATGCAACACCATTTTTAAAAATGTCCTGTTTCTAGTTATTTCCTGTTTCATTGTGCACTCCTTACTTTAGAAGTAGTTGCTCTACTCCAGCAACTTGATTTTCGTGCCACGAAATCTGTATTTGTGACCTGCCCTCTCTCCCCAAGGGGACTCAGGGCAGTTTCCAGTGGCAAACATTCAGTGCCATCATGAACAAACAAAACAGATCGAAACAATCAATAAATAACATCAATGTAAACTTATAAACTTAAATGACTAACCATAGAATAATCAAAATAGATTAATCTCATCATATGCATCAACATCATGACAAAATCCAAATAATTAAAGTAGACTAAAGTTATAAAGAGTATATAGTAATAGTTATAAAGAGTATATAGTAAAGAGTAGAGACATCAGACTGGCAACAAAGATCCGCCTAGTCAAAGCCATGGTATTCCCTGTAGTCACCTACGGATGTGAGAGCTGGACCTTAGGGAAGGCTGAGCGAAGGAAGATAGATGCTTTTGAACTGTGGTGTTGGAGGAAAGTTCTGAGAGTGCCTTGGACTGCGAGAAGATCCAACCAGTCCATCCTCCAGGAAATAAAGCCCGACTGCTCACTGGAGGGAAGGATAGTAGAGGCAAAGATGAAGTACTTTGGCCACATCATGAGGAGACAGCAAAGCCTAGAGAAGACAATTATGCTGGGGAAAGTGGAAGGTAAAAGGAAGAGGGGCCGACCAAGGGCAAGATGGATGGATGGCAACCTTGAAGTGACTGGACTGACCTTGAAGGAGCTGGGGGTGGTGACGGCCGACAGGGAGCTCTGGCGTGCGCTGGTCCATGAGGTCACGAAGAGTTGGAGACGACTGAATGAATGAACAACAACAACAACAAAGTTATAAAACGACTCCTGCCATCAGCATCCCAGCTGATGTTTTGGATGGCTCTGCGAATATTTTTCTTGGTCTCACAATATATTCCGTACCAGTTTTGTCACATTCTGTCTTGACATTACGTCCTCTCTATAAACTGAAATGATTTCACAAAGAATCACAGTGGTGTTTATGCCCTTAGCATTTAAATAGCGTATTACAGTGCTAATAACTTTCTTTTTCTTTCTTTCTTTCTTTCTTTCCTTCTTTACGACATTTATATGCTGCCCTTCTCACTCCGAAGGGGACTTAGAGCGGCTTACAAGATATATATATATATATATATATATATATATGTGTGTGTGTGTGTGTGTGTGTGTGTGTGTGTGTGTGTGTGTGCGTGTGTGTGTGTGTATATATATATATATATATATATATATATATATATATACACACACACACATTATTATATTATATTATATTATATTATATTATATTATTAGCATAATACAATATCAGTATTAAATATTACTATATCGTACTATACCATTATATTGTAATATTATTAGTAATATTACATGTAATATAAATATATAATTATAATATCATCATTAGTAGTAGTATTATATTGCATTATAACAGCACTCCATGCAGTCATGCCGGCCACATGACCTTGGAGGTGTCCACGGACAATGCCGGCTCTTCAGCTTAGAAATGGAGATGAGCAGCACACCCCATGGACTTCATGTCACGGGAAAACCCACCACACCCCAGAGTCGGACACGACTGGACTTCACGTCAGGGGAAAACCTTTACCTTATTATATTGCATTACATTATAATATTATAAATATTATAATATTATTACTGCATCACAAGTACGTTGGGCAGGGACGAGAGACAGGGCCTTCTCAGTGGTGGCCCCTCGGCTGTGGAATGCCCTTCCTACAGAAATTAGATCGGCCCCCTCCCTGTTAGCATTTCGGAGGAAAGTGAAGACCTGGTTGTTCGAGCAGGCATTTGAATAGGCAGTGTAACGAATATAGGAATATGGAACAATTGTATGATGAAACTGGATCTTGATTTTAACTATGAGACGATATGAGATGTTATATGATGTTTAATTTATTGTTAGAAGGGAAAGAAGGAAGGAAAGAGGGAGCGAAGGAAGGGGGGAAGATGTAGAGAGAGGGAGAGAAGGAAAGAGAGAAGGAAGAAAAGAGAGACAGCAGAAGAAAGAAAAAGAGGGAAGGGAGGAAAGAGATAGAGAAGGAAAGACGGGAAGGAAGGAAGCAAAGAGATAGAGAAGGAAAGACGGGAAGGAAGGAAGCAAAGAGGGAGTGAAGGAAGGAGGGAAAAAAGGAGAGAAAGAGGGAAGGTTGGCCACAGCAATGCGTGGCGGGTACAGCTAGTAGTAAATAAATATATTACATTACATTATTAGCATAGCACAGGAGACAAGGTGAAATTGTTGTGTTACTGTGCTGCTTATATTTTATTTTATTTTTGTTTATGAGATGTATTTTAACTGTTTTTGCATTGTTTGTTGCTATTGTGTTTTTATTGATGTGTTGTGGGCTCGGCCTCATGTAAGCCGCACCGAGTCCCTTGGGGAGATGGTAGCGGGATATAAATAAAGATTATTATTATTATTATTATTATTATTCTGCCCCCCTCTCTCTTCACTTTGCACTTGGAGGAAAATGGAACGATGACGAGCATCTCTAACTTTCACCACAATGCCAGTCGATGAGCTCCTGACGACTGGCACTGCTCGTTCGCTTCTGCTGGCTTCCTGCTACACGGCAGTGAGAGATCAACTTCCCCCGTGACAGCTACATGCCTTGTAACCTTACTTTCCGGATAACACTCATATATGTGGCTGGAGTTGCACCTCAAATATGTCCCTGTGCCAACTTAAGAACCTATAGCACCTCTCTTGATCAAAACACGGAGACTGCCTTCATACAACTGTCAGAATGTCCTTTTTTCTTCCTGTCCAGGTGAGACAGCGGACACGCTGATGGCACTGCGCTATTGCAAGGAGCGGGGTGCGCTGACAGTGGGCATCACCAACACGGTGGGAAGCTCCATCTCGCGGGAGACCGACTGCGGGGTCCACATCAACGCTGGGCCGGAGATTGGGGTAGCCAGCACCAAGGTGAGCGGGGCCTCCTCCATCTGAAGCATCATATCCAAGTGGCAGGAGAAAGCCAAGCTCCATATTCCGTCATATATTCATCCATCCAGGGTCTCATACAGGCAGGATTTGGGTAATAGTTTGGAAATATGTAGTTTTCTCTCAAGGACGAGACAGGGAGAGACAAAAAGGGGGTTTCTTCTTATTACACTACTAGCCATCCCTGCCACACATTGCTGTGGCCCAGTCTCGTGAGCTGGAAAATAAAGTAATGAGAAAGTGTTGGTTTCTAATATATGTAATGTCTTTCTGCTTGTGGGTAAACAGTATTTCTTGTTGTTTCTTTGTCAGTGTTGATGTGGAGATTGTCTGGTTTGCCTACTCTGGAACATGGAAGATATAATCGTCCTTCTTTAGGGGTCCCATTCAAATCTATGATACTATATCTGCGTGTGTGAATCATATCTATCTATATCTCTGGCTGGATGGCTCTTTGTCAGGAGGGCTTTGATTATGTTTTCTTGCCCTGATGAAGGGAGTTGGACTCGATGGCCTTAAACATTTTCTGTTGGTCATGGGGGTTCTGTGTGGGAAGTTTTCCCCGATTCTGTCGTTTGTGAGGTTCAGAATGCTCTTCGATTGTAGGTGAACTATAAATCCCAGTAACTACAATTTCCAAATGTCAAGGCCTATTTCCCCCAAACTCCATCTGTGTTCATTCATATTTGGGCATATGAAGTATTCGTGCCAAGTTTGATCCAGATCCATCATGGTTTGAGTCCACAGTGCTCTCTGGATGTAGGTGAACTACAACTCCCAAACTCAAGGTCAGTGCCCACCAAACCCTTCTAGTGTTTTCTATTGGTCATGGGAGTCCTGTGTGCCATGGTTCAATTCCATCATTGGTGGAGTTCAGAATGCTCTTTGATTGTAAGTAAATTATAAATCCCAGCAACTACAACTCCCAAATGACATGTTTTTTTTTTTTTTTTAGTGATGGTCACTCCTTAAGTTAGTAGGTGTCTTGTGGACAAATTTGGTGGCAATTCATCCAGTGGTTTTTGAGTTATGTTAATCCCACAAACGAACATTACATTTTTATTTATATAGATGTAACACAATTTTTGTTCCTTCGTTATAAATATCATTTCCTAATTGGTTCTGTCATAAAATCATGGAAAAGGTTTGTTGAACTGCCAAAACTTTGTTTTTGAGGGAGGGATATTACTCTAAAGCAGCACATTTTGTGATCGTTTATCCATTAATATCTCATCATCGAGTTTCAACCTATTCAACATAGTGTGCCACACAAACAAAGTTTTGGGAGAATAATAATAATAATAATAATAATAATAATAATAATAACTTTATTTATATCCCGCTTTTCTCCCTAACGGAGCCCAAAGTATCTCACAACATAATACAATATAAATCAAAGCACATTTAATGTAAAAAACAAGACAAAATCATACAAAGCATAATAAGATAGAAATAAATATTAAGCATTAAAAACATTTACAACCAATTACAATTATAGTGGAGACTCATCCATTAAATAGTTTTTTTCTCTAAAAATTGCTTTCAACAATTTAATTATATTATAATAATTTAATTTAATTAATTAGAACAATTACTTTCAAAGTAAGGACCACACCATTAAACAGAAATAACACTTTCAAGCCAGGAACAGAACATCTTGATGGTTCGAATCCAGGAAGCGGAGTGAGCTCCCGCTGTTAGCCCCAACTTCTGCCAACCTAGCAGTTTGAAAACATTCAAATGTGAGTAGATCAATATGTACTGCTCTGCCGATAAGGTAACGGTGCTCCATACAGTCATGTTGGCCATATGACCTTGGAGGTGTCTACAGACAACGCCGGCTCTTTGGCTTAGAAATGGAGATGAACACCACATCCCAGAGTCAGACACGACTAGACTTAACATCAGGGAGAAATCTTTACCTTTTAAGGCAATCCCTCACTATCAGAGGATGATGGCCTTTGAAGTAGAGTGTCTTGGTGGTGGGTCTGTAGGTGACTGTGGAGCCCCATTCTTGATCCGCATGTTCTCCCACAGTGAGGACATTGGTTTCCAGATGGAAGGCGGTGCCGGTTGGGGTTGGCTTGACGCGCCTATTTCCTCTTGGCACATTTCTCCCTTTCGCCCTCCATTCATACTCTTCAAATTCTGCAGCACTGATGGTCACAGCTGACCTCCAGTTAGAGCACTCAAGGGCCAGGGCTTCCCAGTTCTCGGTGTCTATGCCACAATTTTTAAGTTTGGCTTTAAGTCCATCTTTCAATTTCTTTTCCTGCCCACCAACATTCCATTTTCCATTCTTGGTTGGGAGGTCGGCTGCTCAGCAGTTTAACCTGCTGCACCACCAGGGGGCCTACAATACAAACACATATACTACAATTCTGCACAAAACACATATTAAAATACATAGTGCAAGGATTAAAATACAATACATATAGTACAAACAGAATGTACATTTTAATTTTGCTGGTTTGTTTATTTATTTGTGTCAGGAGCGACTTGAGAAACTGCAAGTCGCTTCTGGTGTGAGAGAATTGGCCGTCTACAAAGACGTTGCCTAGAGGACATTGCCCGGATGTTTTGATGTTTTACCATCCTTGTGGGAGGCTTCTCCCATGTTCCTGCATGGGGAGTTGGAGCTGACAGAGGGAGCTCATCTGGGCTCTCCCCAGATTTGAACCTTAGACCTTTTGGTCTTCAGTCCTGCCAGCACAAAGGTTGAACCCATTGCTTAAAATATATTATGATTTATTGTCAAAGGCTTTCATGGCCAGAATCACTGGGTTGTTGTTAGGTTTTTTTTTCCAGGCTATATGGCAATGTTCTAGAGGCATTCTCTCCTGACATTTCGCCTGCATCTATGGCAAGCATCCTCAGAGGTAGTGAGGTCTGTGTGAATGTTTCAACTGACCACCAGCAGACAGGAGCCCTTTGTCCCACCCTGGTCATTCCACAGATATATAAACCCATTTTCCTAGTTCCAACAGATCTCACTACCTCTGAGGATGCTTGCCATAGATGCAGGCGAAACGTCAGGAGAGAATGCCTTTAGATTATGGCCACGTAACCCGAAAAAAACCCTACAACAACCCTATATTATGATTATTTTAATTATACCCAGATTTTAGTGGATGGTGGGCTTGGCCACCAGGCAGTACTTCTGTTTAATGCCTCTGCTCCATAAAGCCAGTGTAGAATACTATATATACTGTATTTACTTGAATGTAGCACTCATGACTTTCCTGCACATTACATTTGTGTCATATGGTCACCTTAGTGCTCATCCACAGCCAAAGGGGAAGCTGCTTCTGGAGCTCCTCTTTGCAGGACCTCCTCACTCATTTAATTGCATCGACTCAATGCTATGGGATCCTGGGATTTGTAGTTTGGTGGGGCACCAGCTTCCTTTGGCAGAGAAAAAAATCAAAGCCTTGCAAAACAACCCCTTGCCCCCAATAATTTCATATCATTGAACCAAGGCAATAGAAGCAAGGGAAAGGGTTCATCAAGGGGGGAAACCGGGCCGCCCGCCAAGTCTAAAGGAATGTTCCATGACCAACTGGACCCATTAATATTATTTATATCAGCCGGCAATGAAACAACATTAGATTTCCCACCTCATGCTGTAATGCTGGGCGCAGCTCACATTCTTAAGATGGGATTTACAACGCGGCTTAAGAAAACATACAGAGCTTGGGAATGTCACTTTTGAAGCGTGCAACGCAAACCCCGTTGGGCAGAAACCCAAGGAAACAGAGGCATCTGTGAAATAGCATTTCCTCTGGATATCAGCAGTCTCAGGTTTGCTGGAGATGCCGCATAGAAGTTGCATCAGGTGGAAGCAGCACAATGGTCATCATGATAATAATAGTAATACACAAGGCAACAACATTTGGGGGGAAAATCCTGTTCCTGGTTTGAAAGTGTTCTTTCCTGCTTAATTGTGCGGTCTTTACTTTGAAAGTCGTCGTTCTCCTCCAGAAATGTTTGTTTTGGTGGCTGCCACAAACTAGGTTGAAAATCAATGATTAGATCTTTACTTTTGCCTTTTGTCCCTTTTGGGATTTTCTATTTCTCCTTTAGTTTTGCCTTCTCTCCCTCTAGTTTTTCTTTCTGTCCCTTTGGCTTTGCCTTTTGCCCCTTTTGGGTTAGCCTTTTGCTCTTTTAGTTTTGCATCCCTTTAGTTTTGCCTTCTCTCCTTTTGGGGTTGCTTCTTGTCTCCTTAGTTTTTCCTTTTGCCTTCTCTAGTTTATCTTTCTGTCCCTTTCGGATTGCCTTTTGCCCCTTTAGTTTTGCCCTTTTGGGTTTGCTTTTTGTTCCTTTCGTTTTGCATTCTGCCCCTTTAATTTTGCCTTTTCCCCCTCTAGTTTTTCTTTCTGTCTTTTTCGGTTTGCCTTTTACCCTTTTGGATTGCCTTCTGCCCCTTTAGTTTTGCCTTCTGCCCTTTTGGGTTTGCCTTTTGCGCCTTTATGTTTGCATTCTGTCCCTTTTGAGTTTTCCTTCTCTCCCTTTGGGTTTGCTTCTTGTCCCTTTAGTTTTGCCCTTTGCCCCTTTTGGGTTTTCCTTTTACTCCTTTATTTTGCCTTTTTTCCCTTTGGGTTTGCTTCTTGTCCCTTTAGTCCCTTTTGCTTTCTGGGATTGCCATTTGTCTCTGCTATCTGCCCTTTTGGGTTTGTCTTTTGCTCCTTTAGTTCTGCATTCTGTCCCTTTTGGGTTTTCCTTCTCTCCCTTTAGTTTTGCCCTTTGTCCCTTTTGGGTTTTCGTTTTACTCCTTTAGTTTAGCCTTCTCACCCTTTGGGTTTGCTTCTTGTCCCTTTAGTATTGCCTTTTGCCCTCTTGGATTGCCTTTTGTCCCTTTGCCTTCTGCTCTTTTTGGGTTTGTCTTTTGCTCCTTTAGTTCTGTATTTCGTCCCTTTTGGGTTTTCCTTCTCTCTCTTTGGGTTTGCTTCTTGTCTCTTTAGTTTTGCCCTTTGTCCCTTTTGGGTTTTCCTTTCACTCCTTTAGTTAAGCTTTCTCTCCCTTTGGTTTGCTTCTTGTCCCTTTAGTTTTGCCTTTTGCCCTCTTGGATTACCTTTTGCCCCTTTGTCTTCTGCTCTTTTGGGTTTGCCTTTTGTGCCTTTAGTTTTGCATTCTCCCCTTTTGAGTTTTCCTTCTCTCCCTTTGGGTTTGCTTCTTGTCCCTTTACCTTTGCCCTTTGCCCCTTTTGGGTTTTCCTTTTACTCCTTTATTTTCCCTTTTTTCCCTTTGGGTTTGCTTCTTGCCCCAATAGTCTCTTTTGCTTTCTGGGATTGCCATTTGTCTCTGCTATCTGCCCTTTTGGGTTTGCCTTTTGCTCCTTTAGTTCTGCATTCTGTCCCTTTTGGGTTTTCCTTCTCTCCCTTTAGTTTTGCCCTTTGTCCCTTTTGGGTTTTTCCTTTTACTCCTTTAGTTTTGCCTTCTCACCCTTTGGGTTTGCTTCTTGTCCCTTTAGTATTGCCTTTTGCCCTCTTGGATTGCCTTTTGTCCCTTTGCCTTCTGCTCTTTTTGGGTTTGTCTTTTGCTCCTTTAGTTCTGTATTCCGTCCCTTTTGGGTTTTCCTTCTCTCTCTTTGGGTTTGCTTCTTGTCTCTTTAGTTTTGCCCTTTGTCCCTTTTGGGTTTTCCTTTCACTCTTTTAGTTAAGCTTTCTCTCCCTTTGGTTTGCTTCTTGTCCCTTTAGTTTTGCCTTTTGCCCTCTTGGATTATCTTTTGTCCCTTTGTCTTCTGCCCTTTTAGGTTTGCCTTTTGTGTCTTTAGTTTTGCATTCTCCCCTTTTGGGTTTTCCTTCTCTCCCTTTGCGTTTGCTTCTTGTCCCTTTAGTTTTGCCCATTGTCCCTTTTGGGTTTTCCTTTTACTCCTTTACTTTTGCCTTTCTCCCCCTTTGAGTTTGCTTCTTGTTCCTTTAGTTTTAACTTTTGCCTTCTTGGATTGCCTTTTGTGTCTTTGCCGTCTGCCCTTTTGGGTTTGCCTTTTGCTCCTTTAGTTTTGCATTCTGTCCCTTTTTGGGTTTTTCTTCTCTACCTTTGGGTTTGCTCCTTGTCCCTTTAGTTTTGCCTACTGTCCCTTATGCGTTTTCTTCTTACTCCTTTAGTTTTGCCTTATCTCCCTTTGGGTTTGCTTCTTGTCCCTTTAGTTTTACTTTTTGCCTTCTTGAATTACCTTCTGTCCTTTTGCCTTCTGCTCTTTTGGGGTTGTCTTTTGCTCCTTTAGTTCTGCATTCCGTCCCTTTTGGGTTTTCCTTTTCTCCCTTTGGGTTTGCTTCTTGTCCCTTTAGTTTTGTATTTTGCCCTCTTGGATTGTCTTTTGTCCCTTTACCTTCTGACCTTTTGCGTTTGCCTTTTCCTCCTTTAGTTTTGCCTTCTAACCCTTTAGTTTTACCTTCTCTCCCTTTGGGTTTGCCTCTTGTCCTTTTGGGTTTGCGATGCTGCAAAACCCCCGATGCTTGCAATTCCGGGGCAAGGCTTGTCCCTCCGCCTCTTATGCTCTCCTGGCCGGGACCCAAAAGGAGCAGCTGTTCCTCATTCCCTTTTTCCCTGACTTACGATTGCATTTCTGGAGGATGCGCTCACCATTTGGGATCCGGAGCCGGAGTTCACCCACATTTGCAAAAATAATAAGGGGGAAAAAGAGCCAGATCCCACCCCATTGAAGCAACAAAACCTATTAAAGTGACAGCCTGTTTTGAAGCCTATGCTCTTCCTGAATGCATTTCCTGATTGAAATAATAATAATAATAACACTATGCAACAAACTAACCAGTAAATACACATAAGCTCAATTCTAAAACACCAAACAATGCAACATTACAAAATACTACATGAACTATTTAGAAGCCAAGTAAAATGCAATATGATGGAAGACTTAAACAAGAGAACTGTGCCTGCCTTAAGTGTTTTTAGCAGAGAAAATTAAAGTTAGGGGCTGCTTCTTCTCCCTGCAGGCCTACACGAGCCAGTTTGTTTCGCTGGTGATGTTTGCACTCATGATGTGTGACGACCGGATCTCCATGCAGGAGCGGCGCAAGGAGATCATGCAGGGACTCAAGCTCTTGCCAGGTAAGGAAGGAAGGAATGTGCGGCAGTTCATTTGGGATTTGTATTTTTACATTATATTATATATTATTAGTATTATTATATTATTATTTTATATACAGGCCATCCCCAAGTTACAAACATCTGACTTACAAATGACTCCAAGATTGGAAGAGGGCTGACTGGATGGCCTTTGGGGGTCCCTTCCAGATTGATACTGTATCAATCTCATATACACACATACACACATACAGTCCCCGAGTTATAAACATCCAGAGGAGGGCGACTAAAATGATCAAGGGTCTGGAGAACAAGCCCTATGAGGAGCGGCTTAAGGAGCTGGGCATGTTTAGCCTGAAGAAGAGAAGGCTGAGAGGAGATATGATAGCCATGTATAAATATGTGAGAGGAAGCCACAGGGAGGAGGGAGCAAGCTTGTTTTCTGCTTCCTTGGAGACTAGGACGCGGAACAATGGCTTCAAACTACAAGAGAGGAGATTCCATCTGAACACGAGGAAAAACTTCCTGACTGTTAGAGCCGTTCAGCAGTGGAACTCTCTGCCCCGGAGTGTGGTGGAGTCTCCTTCTTTGGAAGCTTTTAAACAGAGGCTGGATGGCCATCTGTCAGGGGTGATTTGAATGCAATATTCCTGCTTCTTGGCAGAATGGGGTTGGACTGGATGGCCCATGAGGTCTCTTCCAACTCTTTGATTCTATGATTCTATGATCCAACTTACAAATACCTTCTGGCTATATATATGATATAGTATCATAGATCTGGAAGAGACCCCCAAAGGCCATCCAGACCCCCAAAGGCCATACATACACACACACACACACACACACACACACAGACAGACACAGACACATACATGGAGTCCCTGAGTGGCAGATATTTGGAGGTGTCTCCCTGCTTCTTACGACAATCCAAAAGTCAAACCTGTAGCCAATGTGTGTGATTGTAAGTGTGATGGTATGTGCTTCCCCCTGCAGACCTGATTAAGGAAGTGCTGAGCATGGACGACGAGATCCAGCGCCTGGCCACGGAGCTCTACCACCAGAAGTCGGTCCTCATCATGGGACGCGGCTACCATTACGCCACATGCCTGGAGGGCGCCCTGGTGAGCCTTCCCATGATAAACCCACACCTTTCTGCATGCCTGGCCACGGAGCTCTGCCACCAGAATTCGGTCCTCATCATGGGACGCGGCTACCATTATGCCACATGCTTGGAGGGCGCCCTGGTGAGCCTTCCCATGATAAACCTACACCTTTCTGCATGCAGAAAGTATGTTCCGAAGCATACATAGCTTCCTCCACTCCACTTGTTTGGGAATATCATCCTTTAGCTACAGGCAGCCCCCGGGTTGCAAACAAAATGGATGGCCATCTGTCTGGGGTACTTTGATTGTGTTTTACTTGCATGAAGGCAGAAGGGGGTTGGACTAGATGGCCCTTGGAGGTCCCTTCCAAATCTAGGATGGTATTATTAATATTATTATTATTACCATTACGCCACATGCTGGAGAGATCCCTTCCAACTATTATTGTTGTTGTTTAAACAGAGACTGGATGGCCATCTCTCAGGAGTGCTTTGATTGTATTTTTCCTGCATGGCAGAATGAAAGTTTGACTATTTATTTATTTACAGTATTTATATTCCGCCCTTCTCACCCTAAATAGTCACAGAACATATATATGGCAAACATTCAATGCTGTTTATACACTGACCAGACAGACACTTTACATAGATAGAGGTATATATAGGCTTTCCCCATCTTTGGCATCTGAGAGGTTTGTACTCTGTTCCAGCCACAAGGGGGTGCTGTCGTTCCATCTCCCTACCGAAGAACTTTGTTTGCAAACTTCTTCCTTGATCAAATTCCTGGCTATAAAGGAGTTGAGGCTTTATTTGGAATATAAAAATCCCAACGCTGTTCCACCAAATTATAAAAGTGTAGAGCTTTATTTGGGAGTTAAAAAATCCCAAAAGCAGAACACCACTTAGATTGGAATGAGGCTTCTATGATTAAAACCCCTAAAACACAAAGCTGCACTCAACTGTAAGGAAAGCTAGAACTTTCTTCTGGCCAAAAACCCCTTTTTGAAAGCTCACAGGCCGCCACTTAAAAGCACTGATAAGCCCTTGGCTTACTTGAAGTATTGTTAGGCAAGAGTGTGTTGGATTTAGCCCTCAGGCTTAAGTTTCTGTGGTAACACTAAAGATTGTTCTTTAAATTATATGCTGCCACCATAGACTCTTGATTGTTGCAGGGAACTGCTTTTAAAACTTCACCCACAGAGGCACACATGAGGCAGTTGTTGTGAACAACAAAACAATGATGTTTATTTAAGAGAACTGGAACAATTCAGGTATAAAGCTTCTCGGTTTCAAAGTACTGATTTTAAAGAATGTGGTTACTTTAAACAGTTCAGACTTAGTTACACATGAAACACTTCTCTCTCTCTCCTCAGATTACTGACAGGATGGCTTCTCTGACAGTAATTTCTAAACTCCTCCACACAGACAGTCCTTGTCTTTTAGGATCTGTCTCTCCACTCCCCAGCTATCAAATAACTGTATTCTTCTCGCTAGCTGTCTCTGCTAGCCAACTGACCAATCTCTGGCCTCTCTCACTAACCCTCTTCACCACTCCAAATGCCTAACACCTTCTCCCTTTGACACCCAGGTTCAATCTCCCTTAAAGTCATTTGTTTTCTTTTGCCAATTACAGTCCTCCCTCATTTCCCTCCAAAGCTGCTCTTTCTAAACACACCCCTTCAGGAAATGAGTAAATAAAATGGATTCCCCCATCACCCTTTCCAAAATAGTTGCCGAACTTCCTGGACCTACTTTTCTATGCTTTTCCTAGCCTAACAGGTAGGGAATTCACTACACCGGCATTTTTCTGGCATTTCCTTATGAGTGCCTTAAATATATTATTACTAGCTGTTGGGAATTGTGGGAGTTGAAGTCCAAAACACCCGGAGGGAGGGCTGATGTTGGCCCAGGCCTGTGCTACAGGAAGAATGGGTGAACGTTTCACTGGGAAGGAAAGGCAAGGTTAAACATGGAAGTCTTCCACCCATTGGCTTTTTGAGCGGCTGCATCACACTCTTGGCTCATGTTCAGCTTGTGGTCCACAAAGGACTCCCAAGCAATATGTCCCAAATGCACTTTACAAGAGAGTTCGTACTGTTTGCACAGCCACCTATCTTTAAAATATCCAACCTATTTCCCTGGACATGCTCAGCATTTTTAAATTTTAATTCTTACATTTGGCCCTGCCACAGGTTTTTAATTGCGTCATGTCATTATTGTATTGTTTTGCTTTGTTATGAGTTATTTATTGTTGTATTGTTGTTGTTATGTTTTATGATGTATTTGGGCTCGGCCTCTTGTAAGCCGCACCGAGTCCTGCGGGAGATGGTAGCGGGGTATAAATAAAAGATTATTATTATTGTTGTTATTATTATTATTAAAGACCCCAAGATCCCTTTTGCATGGGACTCTGCTGTGGAGCCAGGTGTTTATAGCCTGGCAAGCATTGGATGAGCTTTCTGAGTGCTTGGAGAATGAGGAAGGGGGTGATGGGTCGCAACCTGTAATTTCCAAGGAGTCTGTGGAAGATAGCAGGGGCCTGGAGAGAGATTATTATTATTATTATTATTTTTATTATTATTATTAAACTTTATTTGTACCCCGCTAGCATCTCCCAAAGGACTCGATGTGGCTTACATAGGCCAAGGCCTCAAAACAACACAACAATACAACACCTAAAGCAAATTAAAAACAGTTAAGCAATATTAACAACAAGCAATAAACAATACATCAAGACACTATAAAACTGGGCCGGGCCAGAGTAATGGGTACAAGATTAAAAGTGCTGATGTGGCAGGAGGTATGTAGGATTATAGGGTAAGTGCAGTGTGCGGTGTGCAGCAATCTTAGTTCTACTAAAGTGCTTCTGGGATTTGGTATTGGAGATTCCTAATCTGGGAAGGCACATCGGAACAGCCAGGTCTTCAAGTTCTTTCTAAAGACTGCCAATGTAGGGGCCTGTCTAAGATCTTTTGGGAGGGTGTTCCAGAGTCGGGGGGCCACCACAGAAAAGGCCCTGTCTCGGGTCTCCACCAAGCACGCCTGCAATGCAGGCGAAATCACAAGCAGGGCCTTTCCGGATGAACGAAGTGAGCGCGTGGGTTCATAGACGGAGATGCGGTCATGCAGGTAGGATGGTCCCAAACCATTCAGGGCTTTGTAGGAAAACACCTGCACCTTAAATTGGACTCGGAAAATAAATGACAGCCAGTGGAGCTCCTTGAACAGGAGGGTTGACCTCTCTCTGTAAGGAGCCCCAGTTAACATCCTGGCTGCTGCCCGTTGGACCAGTTGGAATTTCCGAGCCGTTTTCAAGGGCAGCCCCACGTAGAGCGCATTGCAGTAGTCCAATCTAGAGGATTGGAATCTCTAGGTTGTTCCCAGGCAACAGGAGAAAGCGATATCATTTCCCATGAGAATAGACCAGAGTGAATGTAGAATGTAACCAAGCACTCAAATTGTTATTTGTTTTTTGTCAAATTAAAAAAAAGATTATTTACTAAAAAAAAGAGAGAGAGAAGGCCAGAGTGACCTTCAGAGGAGAATGCGGGAGACAAAGGTTTTTCTAGATCCAGTCGTCTTGAATTGAGGAGGCAGAATGTAAAACAGACACAAACTCTGTTTCCTCAGAGGCTTAGAGATAAGGAGAGAAAAAGCAGGTGTGTGCGAAATGATGTCATGGGAGAGATTGAGGCCTTTTAAGTGGTTTCTGGGCTCCATAGCGTTTATTGGGAACAATGTTGTAAACAGGGGAAACAGCTCCCGATTTCTAGTCCTAAATTCCCGGTTTATGTATTTCAAAATTCTTGGTTTGATTCCTGTTTATGACTTCATGTTCTTGGAAGTTTTGCCTTTCTTGTGTTCCTGTTGTCATGTCTATGGATATAATTTTTGAACAATACCCTGCTTAAGGATTCTTGAGCTTTGTGTTAACTCAAGTCTCTGCCTTGGCGCAAAAGCTGATGAACTCTTGATCTCATCGGGAATCACTTTGTGTACTTTTGCTGCTTCTTTTTTCCTTGCTTTTTTCCTTTTATACTTCTTTATTGATAATTTCTTTTCTTATTGGATTATCTGAACATTGTGTGGTGTTGGGTACAAAAGGTGTTCCAAGGCTACAGTGCAACACTATTCTTAACTTGCATCTTCTTCTGCAGTGAAGATATGGGTTTCCAGATGGAAGGCGTTCTTCTGACAAGGGTTGGCTTGATGTGCCACCTTCCTCTTGACATGATTTCTCACTTTCGCCATCTTTAAAGATTTTAACAGGGATCCCATCTGGTCTGCTGGCTTTGTTATTTTAAGCCCACTTTTCCATCTCTTTTCCTGTCCACTAACATTCAATTTTCCGTACTTGATTGGAAGTAGAGTAACTGCTTTGGGAGACAACAGTGAACTTTGTGTTGGAATTCAACCCCACACTGCCCAAGTTTCAAGTCCTCAATGAGGAACAGTTTAGTTAGTTTACTATAGACTAAGGATTTCCCTTCCCTCATGTCTCCTGAATGACAGTTGGGAAGGTATCTTTTTCTTCTCTCTGTTTCTACTCTCTGATTGGCTGTTTAAAATGGATACTTTTCCATTGCAAGCTTTTTGAATCTAAGCCTTCTTACACTTTCGTATGGAGAGTATGTGCTGTGTGCTTTGAGATCTCTCTGCATGTGTGTCAAGAGTGATGAAGTGATTGGCATTTTCCCCCCTCTTTGAACCTTAGAAGAGATGAGTGTTAGAGTAGCTCAGACCCAGTTCTTGATTATTAAGAAATGCAGTTGTTTCTTATAATCTATATATATAAATTTGTTAGGGGCATCCAACGGAGAAACAAAACTCAAAAACCTCCCAATGAAACTTAACCAAAATTCCCATGCCCATAACACAACCCACAAGGTACAAACATATCTACTCAAAATGAAAAACAACTCAACAACACACTCACAAAACGGCAAAACAACAAAACTCAAAAATCCCCCAACGAAACTTAACCAAAATTCCCATGCCCATAACACAACCCACAAGGTACAAACATATCTACTCAAAATGAAAAACAACACAACAACACACTCACAAAACGGCAAAAGAACAAAACTCAAAAAAACCCCAACAAAACTTAACCAAAATTCCCATGCCCATAACACAACCCACAAGGTACAAACATATCTACTCAAAATGAAAAACAACACAACAACACACTCACAAAACGGCAAAACAACAAAACTCAAAAATCCCCCAACGAAACTTAACCAAAATTCCCATGCCCATACACAACCCACAAGGTACAAACATATCTACTCAAAATGAAAAACAACACAACAACACACTCACAAAACGGCAAAACAACTGAGCATGCGCATTGGCGCCCAGCCGCAAGTTCCCTGGCGCGCGCACATGGCCTTCCGGCCAACGTTCCCTCTGCGGAAACCATGCCCACTCCAAGCCCCGCCGCGCCGCTTCCCGCACACACACACCCCCCTGCCGCACACACACACACAACCCCACACTCCATCCCTCCCCCCGCCGCCGCACACACACACGCAACCCCACTCCCCCGCCGCACACACACATGCAACCCCACACTCCATCACTCCCCCCGCTGCCGCACGCACACAGGCAACCCCACTCCCCCCGCCGCCGCACACACACACGCAACCCCACGCTCCATCACTCCCCCCGCCGCCGCACACACACACGCAACCCCACGCTTCATCACTCCCCCCGCCGCCGCACGCACACACGCAACCCCACTCCCCCCGCCCCCGCCGCCGCACACACACCCCCAACCCCACCCTCCATCACTCCCCCTGCCCCAATCTTACCTCCTTTTACTTCACGCCACCTCCAAACCCCACCCCGCCCCTTCCCGCCCTGTCAAAATCCAGGAAAGACAGGAAGGAAGGAAAGAAGGAAGAAAGAGAAAGGGAGGTAAAGAAAAAGGGGGAAGGAAGGAAAGTTAGAGAAAGAAGGAAGAAGAAAAGGAAAGAAAGGAAAGATGGAAGGAAAGAAAAGAGAGACAGCAGAAAAGAAAGAAAAAGGGGGAAGGAAGGAAAGAGATAGAGAAAGAAGAGGAGAAGGAAAGATGGGAGGGAAGGAAGGAAGGAAAGAAGCAGAGAAAGAGGGAAGGTTGGCCACAGCAAAGCGTGGCGGGTAAAGGTTGTTATTTCTATTATTATTACTATTATGATGCTATTATTATTCCTATGAGACCCTTTTAGGGGGAATGGGGGAGGTGTCAGGTCCCAGAGGCAATGCATTGCATTATTGTTATTGTTATGATGGTGGTGAAATAAAAGGAAATAAAAAGTGAAAGAAGAAAGCAAACAGGGAGGGAAGAAAGGCAAAGGAAGAAAGGGGGAGGGAAAGAAGGAAAGAAAGAAAGAGGTAGAGAAGGAAGAAAGGAGAGGAAGGGGGAGGAAAAGGGGGAAGGAATAGGTAGGTACCTCTCTTTCATAATAGTCCAGATATCTACCTCAACTTTGATAAGTTTTACTATAGGCCACAGCAACGCGTGGCAGGGCACAGCTAGTTGTAAATAAACCTTTGTGATTTTTTTAAAGATTGGACTCTGCATGTTTGCATCCTAAGCTCTGAATTCTTTACAGCCACTTCGCACGGCACTTCATTTTCTGCTTGCTAATAAGCTGATGCTCAACTTTGGTATCCTGTTTGTTTTTGGATGCTCTGTTATATTTAAGGGTATTTGGACAATTTGGCCTTCGGTCCAGCACAGTTGATGCTCTGTTCTAACTCAAGACTCTGTGCATTGCTTTTTGGTGCCTTGGTTCAAATGCTGAACTCTTTGGGAATTGCTTTTTGTGCTTTTGCTGCTTCTTTTTTGTCTTGTCTTTCTCCTTATAAAGTTTTCACTTAATAAACTTTTACATATTGCACCGGGACTGTGGCGCAACTGGCTGGGAGTCAGCTGCATTAAGATCACTACTGACCAAAAGGTCATGAGTTCGAAGCCAGCCCAGGTCGGAATGAGCTTCCGACCAAATTGTGTAGCTTGCTGTCAACCTTTGCAGCCTGAAAGACAGTTGCATCTGTCAAGTAGGAAATTTAGATACTGCTTATGCGGGGAGGCTAATTTACAACGCCATAAAAATCTCCAGCAAGCATGCAAAGAATGAGAAAGTACTTAATCAGTGTCACAAATGGACGGTGAAGCAACAGCTCCCCTGGTGGCCAGAATACCCTCATGAAAAAGCTGGAATGTTAAATAGCCTCTCTGTGTCTGTCTATATATGTTGTGTGTCTATGGCATTGAATGTTTGCCATGTATATGAACATTGTAGTCCGCCCTGAGTCCCCTGCAGGGTGAGAAGGGCGGAAGATAAATACTGTAAATAAATAAATATCTAAGAGTGTGTAGTGTTGGGTGAAAAGGTGTTGCAGGGCTACAGTGCAACACCAGGAAGCTCCCATACTGTCCGCAAGGCTGGAATAACCTGCTGTCTGCTCCTCCTCTCTTTAGAAAATCAAGGAGATCACGTACATGCATTCGGAGGGCATCCTGGCCGGGGAGCTGAAGCACGGCCCGCTGGCACTGGTGGACAAGCTGATGCCTGTCATCATGATCATCATGCGGGACAACACTTACGCCAAGTGCCAGAACGCCCTGCAGCAAGTCATGGCACGGCAGGTGAGCCCCCTCCAAACACAAAGCGCTTTCAGTCACATACTGCCTTCCTCTTCACATGAGACCAAAGACCGCTCACAAAACAGTGGTTCTCAACCTGTGGGTCCTCAGGCGGTTTGGCCTACAACTCCCAGAAATCCCAGCCAGTTTACCAGCTGTTAGGATTTCTGGGAGTTGAATGCCAATACATCTGGGAACCCACAAGTTTAGAACCACTGCATTAGAACAAAACAATCACAAACCTTTTTTGATTTAAGCCTAAGGGAGTGCTGTGTTTTATGTAGCTTTAATAGATTATTAATAGATTTATTTATTTATCGTGTCAGCAGCAAACCAAACAGTTGTATTGCATTTTTTAACAAACAAACAGAACACAAAGTTTGCAAGCTTGGTAGTTGATTAAATGTCCTTTGACCAGTATCTGGCCACTTGGAGTGCCTCTGGTGTTACTATAAGAAGGTCCTCCATTGTGCATGTGGCTGGGCTCAGGTTGCATTGCAGCAGGTGGTCTGTGGTTTGCTCTTCTCCACACTCGCATGTCGTGGATTCCACTTTGTAGCCCCATTTCTTGAGGTTGGCTCTGCATCTCGTGCCAGAGCGCAGTCTGTTCAGTGCCTTCCAAGTCGCCCAGTTTTCTGTGTGCCCAGAGGGGAGTCTCTCATTTGGTATCAGCCATTGATTGAGGTTCTGGGTTTGAGCCTGCCACTTTTGGACTCTCGCTTGCTGAGGTGTTCCAGCGAGTGTCTCTGTAGATCTTGGAAAACAGTTTCTTGATTTAAGTTGTTGACGTGCTGGCTGATACCCAAACGGGATGAGCTGGAGATGTCTCTGCCTTGGTCTTTTCACTATTGGTTGCTACTTCCTGGCGGATGTCAGGTGGTGCAATACCAGCTAAACAGTGTAATTTCTCCAGTGGTGTAGGGCGCAGACACCCCTTGATAATGCGGCATGTCTCATTAAGAGGCACATTACTGTTTTAGTGTGGTGAGATGTGATCCACACTGGGCATGCATACTCAGCAGCAGAGTAGCACAGCGCAAGGGCAGATGTCTTCACTGATTAATCTAATTAATAGATTCATTCAAGTGGTTTGTTGGTTTATAATGTTTCCATGTTTAATTCTGTTTTACTGTTTATAGGTATTTTAATTCATGCGTTGTTATGGTTTTTTAAAGTTAGCTGTTTTGAGTCGCCTTTGGTAAAAGAAAAAATAATAAGAATAAGATTGGAATCGTAATAAGAATACGAAAATTATAACTAGTAATCTATATAAATAAAAATGTAATGTTCATTTGTGGGATTAACATAACTCAAAAACCACTGGGCGAATTGTCACCAAATTTGGACACAGCACATCTATCAGGCCAATGAGTGGCCATTACTCATAGAAACACTAAAAAACACAACAGAAGGGACTTAAAAAGCAAAAAAAAACCCAAAACCCCAAAACATTATAATGTATGCGCATGTATATGCAGACATACACACAAATATGTACACTAACAAAATGCATATACACAGACTGGGCCACAACAACGCATGGCAGGGGACGGCTAGTATCTATATAAATAAAAATGTAATGTTCGTTTGTGGGATTAACATAACTCAAAAACCATTGGGCGAATTGACATCGAATTTGGACACAATACACCTATCAGGCCAACGAGTGACCATCACTCATAAAAACACTGAAAAGTAAAAAAAAAAATTACATTCACAAGTATATACACAAATATATACACACACAAAGCACATAGACACCGACTGGGCCACAGCAACGCGTGGCAGGATACGGCTAGTAGTGATATAACAATACAATAATAATAATAGAATAATAGTATATAATACTAATACATTATTATTATTATTATTATTATTATTATTATTATTATTCAGGCTTTTAAAATCAAGTCAGAGGCTGCTGTGGTTTCCACTTAATGTGATTTTAATCAGTTTTAAGGATTTTAACTGTGAATTTTCAATTAATATTATTGATGTTAAATTCTATATTAAGGTATTGTTGAAGTCTTTCATGGCTGGAATCACTGGGTTGTTGTAGGTTTTTCCGGGCTATATGGCCATGTTCTAGAAGCATTCTCTCCTGACGTTTCGCCTGCATCTATGGCAAGCATCCTCAGAGGTTGTCTAATTTTGGATTTTTAATTGTATTGAAATGCTTTTACTGTAAGCTGCTTTTGAGTCTCCTTCGTGGAGGGGAAATCGCAGGGTATAAACAAACAGAAGCAAAACTTGGTGCAGTTGATCAAACTTGTCCCATGCTTATGACAGTACCAATTCGGAAAGGACAGAAATTAGGTTCTTGGGGGTTTTTTCGGGCTATAGGGCCATGTTCTAGAGGCATTTCTCCTGACGTTTCGCCTGTGGTGAGGTAGTGAGGTCTGTTGGAATTAGGACAATTGGTTTATATATCTGTGGAATGGCTGGGGTGGGGCAAAGAGGTCTTCTCTGCTGGAGCTAGGTGTGAATGTTTCAACTGACCACCTTCATTAGCATTTGAAGGCCTGGCTAAGCCTGGGAAAATCTTCTGTTGAGAGGTGTTAAGATGTGCCTGGTTGTTTCCTCTCTGCTGTTTTACTGTCGTAATTTTAGAGTTTTTTTTAATACTGGTAGCCAGATTTTGTTCATTTTCATGGTCTCCTCCTTTCTGTTGAAATTGTCCACATGCTTGTGGATTTCAATGGCTTCTCTGTGTAGTCTGACATGGTGGTTGTTGGTGTGGTCCAGCATTTCTGTGTTCTCAAATAATATGCTGTGTCCAAGCTGGTTCACCAGGACAGAAATTGTCTTAGTATAGTATAATATATTATAATAATATTATAATATAATATGATGTCCCTCAACTTTTCCCGTGTTTTTATGATTGAACCAGTTAGGAAAGGACATTGATCACCTGGGAACACAAATCATTGTAGTACATTGAGTTATGAAAGGCTGCGCTTGGCTCTTCTTGCAGGGCCGGCCGGTCATCATCTGCGACAAGGAGGACATTGAGACCATCAAGAACAACAAGCGGACCATCAAGGTGCCCCATACGGTGGACTGCCTGCAGGGCATCCTGAGCGTCATCCCGCTCCAGCTCCTGGCCTTCCACCTGGCCGTCTTACGAGGATACGACGTAAGCTTTCTAAAATACCTAAAACACCTCAATACTAAAATACCTGCGGCCCTTCCCTTATCTCCTCCCTTTTGGGGAGGAGTGAAATATGGAATTTGACTTAAATGTAGCAGCACAAACAACGACTATGGGACTAGACACCATGTATTAATCTGTTTGAATTGTACTGATATGTTTTATCTGTTATTATTGCTCAATGTGTTGCATTTGTTTATTTGTATGTTTAATGCAGCATTGAATTTTGCCATAAATGTAAGACGCCCTGAGTCCCCTTCGGGGTCAGAAAAGCCGGGTAGAAACATAGTAAATAAATAAATATCCCAGGAGCCCTACCTCCAGGTGTTTTGGACTCCAGCTCCCACCATGCCTATAATATGTTATAATATAATATATAATATATTGTATATACATATAATATTTATAATATTGTAATGTAATGCAATATAATACTAGTAATAATAATATGATATTATAATTATATATTTATATTACATGTAATATTACTAATAATATTACAGTATAATTGATATAGTGCAATATAGCAATATTTAAAACTGATATTGTACTATGTTAATAATATATTGTATGTATTTATACCTTGTAAGCCACTCTGAGTCCCCTTCGGGGTGAGAAGGGCGGCATATAAATGTCGTAAATAAATAAAAAAATAAAATAATAATTAAAAATAACCTTATAATATTATAACAATAATATTATAATATTATATTATAAAATAATAATAACATAATATTCATAATTTATTTATTTTATTTATCGGGTCATCAGCAACCAGTCAATTATATTACATTTCTAACAGAACAAAGCAAACAAACAGACAAAATACAGAATACAAAATTTGTGAGTTTGGTAGTTGGTTAAATGTCCTTTGACCAGTATCTGGCCACTTGGAGTGCTTCTGGTGTTGCTGCAAGAAGGTCTTCCGTTGTGCATGTGGCAGGGCTCAGGTTGCATTTCAGCAGGTGGTCAGTGGTTTGCTCTTCTCCACACTCGCATGTCAAGGATTCCACTTTGTAGCCCCATTTCTTGAGGTTGGCTCTGCATCTCGTGGTGCCAGAGCGCAGTCTGTTCAGCGCCTTCCAAGTCGCCCAGTCCTCTGTGTGCCCAGGGGGGAGTCTCTCATTTGGTATCAGCCATTGGTTGAGGTTCTGGGTTTGAGCCTGCCACTTTTGGACTCTCGCTTGCTGAGGTGTTCCAGCGAGTGTCTCTGTAGATCTTAGAAAACTATTTCTAGATTTAAGTCGTTGACGTATAATTTTATTATTATATTCATAATAATAAAATTATAAAATAATTATGAAGTAATAATGATAATAATATAAAATTAAAATAATAAAATAAAATAACAATATAATACAATAATTATAATCTGATAGTAATATTATCAAGTTAATAATAACATAAAATAAAAAATAAAATTACAATGTAATATAATAATATTAAAATAATAATATAATAGCAATGAAATAATGATGCTAATACTATAAAATAAAAAATTATAATAATATAAAATAATATAATAAAGATTATAATATAATATACAATAGTAATATAATACAATATTATTATATTATTATATAATAATAATAAAAATACTGAAAATATTGGCAGGCATCCTCACAACGTCTGAGGATGCCTGCCATAGATGCAGGCTAAATGTCAGAAGAGAATGCTTCTAGAACATGGCGATACGGCCCAAAAAACAAACAACTGAAAATAAAATAATAAAAATAAAAATAAAAAATAGTAAAATATAATAATAATAATAATAATAATAATAATAGACCCTTGGGAAGAGAAGAAGAGCAGACACTTGGACCTAATGTTCATGTGGGCTGTGTTGTTATGTATGTATAAATAATAATAACAACAACAACAACAACAATCTATTTACTGCCTTTATATACCACTTTTCTCACCCCTGGGGGACTCAAAGCGGTGTACATCAAGTACTGGCAAGTTTCAGTAGCAACATACATACAAAACCAAAGCCTAATAACTAAAACGATGACATATAACTATAAATTACAACCATTAAAATAATAACAAACATAGAACATAAGCAAACATTTAGACAATCAAAATATAGAATTAAAATATCCTAATATTAACATTAAAATCGCATGATCCAAAATCGTAATCCAAAGCCATTCCCGTTGTCAATTGCACTTATTTCATAGCATTTTATCATCTCTCTTTTTTTTCCCCTTTTCCAGGTTGACTTTCCAAGAAATCTGGCCAAATCCGTTACTGTCGAGTAGCACGTTCTGCTGTGAATGCTTCGGCAGGCGTTTGCAAGAGACTCTTTCTTTCTCTTTCTCCCCCTTTTCTCCCTCTTTTTTCTTACTGGAAGGTATTGATTTCAATGACCCCAAATGGGGGAAATGCAACTCCGTTGTGTCCGAGAACCCTTGTTGTTGCTTGTTGCGTTTTGTGACCCCGTTCAGTGTGGGATCCGTAGGCGTTGTTTAAATGACAATCCTTTCCACGTAGGTTTTTTCATCCTCTTCATTTTCCCACAAAGGTCAAAACATTTCCAGGAAGCTGCTGAAAAACTAAGGAAGCTGGAGAAACCATAGATAGAGATGTACTTTTTTTTGCACCAGAAGGTGGGATTCCCTATAGAATTGACCTTTTGCGGTCCTCCTAGCCGTGCAACTTGCCCTTCCTTCAGCTTTGTGGGGATCTGTCACACCATGAATGCACAATTCACCATTCTGTTGCTGCTTATCCTTCACACCTTTTAAATGTGATAGAAATGCAAGGCCTCCAAAGGAAGTGGCATGCTCCTGACTGCTTCTGATGGGATCAAGCATTTAGGGATGCATTTCGGAACAAGATCTGTAATGCAATGATTGCATTAGGTGTGCACGTCAGGTGAGACTAGATCGAAGTGAAGTATTTAGGAATGCATTCTGGGATGAGATCTGCAATGCAAAGATTGCATTACGTCTGGAAGTCGGGTGAAACTAGATCCAAGTGAAGCTTTTAAGGATGCATTCTGGAATGAGATCTGCAATGCAAGGATGCATTCTGGAATGAGATCTGCAATGCAAGAATTGCATCAGGTCTGGAAGTCAGGTGAGACTAGATCCAAGTGAAGCATATAAGGATGCATTCTGGGATGAGATCTGCAATGCAAGAATTGCATCAGGTCTTGAAGTCAGGTGAAACTAGACTTCCAGAATGCATTTAAGGATGCATTCTGGAATGGGATTTGCAATGCAAGGATTGCATCAGGTCTGGAAGTCAGATGAGACTAGATCCAAGTGAAACATTTAAGGATGCATTCTGGAATGAGATCTGCAATGCAAAGATTGCATCAGGTCTGGAAGTCAGATGAGACTAGATCTAAGTGAAGCATTTAAGGATGCATTCTGGAATGAGATCTGCAATGCAAGAATTGCATCAGGTCTGGAAGTCAGGTGAAACTAGACTTCCAGAATGCATTTAAGGATGGATTCTGGAATGGGATTTGCAATGCAAGRATTGCATCAGGTCTGGAAGTCAGGTGAGACTAGATCCAAATGAAGCATTTAAGGATGCATTCTGGAATGAGATCTGCAATGCAAGGATTGCATCAGGTCTGGAAGTCAGGTGAAACTAGACTTCCAGAATGCATTTAAGGATGCATTCTGGAATGGGATTTGCAATGCAAGGATTGCATCAGGTCTGGAAGTGAGATGAGACTAGATCCAAGTGAAGCATTTAAGGATGCATTCTGGAATGAGATCAATGCAAGGATTGCATCCGGTCTGAGAGTCAGGTGAGACTAAATCCAAGTGAAGTATTTAGGGATGCATTCCGGAATGAGATCTGCAATGCAAGGATTGCATCAGGTCTTGAAGTCAGGTGAGACTAGATCCAAGTGAAGCATTTAAGGATGCATTCCGGAATGAGATCTGCAATGCAAGAATTGCATCAGGTCTGGAAGTCGGGTGAAACCAGATCCAGTTTTGCCTCGTAGAAGAAGAAAAGGCTGCTCTAAGCGGCACAGAAATACAGCTTCACCTTTAGGGTTCAGACTTTGCAGAACTGTGAACAAGATCTGCAATGCAAGAATTGCATTAGGATTGGAATTCAGGTGAGACTAAATCCAGATTTGCATCGTAGAGGCTTCTTTAGGGTGGTGACTTTGCAGAATCCTCAGGAAAAAGGCACCTCCCTGCTTGCCCAAATGTGCTTCATTGGCTTCCAGGTATGAAAGCAGAGTTTGAGATGCATTTAATTACATTCCCTTTGACTTTGAATGCCTTTCAACACTGTAAGGAGGGGAAAGTTCCGGCCTGCCTGCACTTTTTACTTACAGAAATCATCCTATGTTGCCAAAATCTCCCTTTGAGAGAGTTGACATAAATGGTTTTGCAGAAAAGCGTGAGGATATTATGCAGAAATATTGTGTTGATGACAGAACCGGGTTGTTGTAGGTTTTTGTGGGCTATATGGCCATGTTCTAGAGGCATTCTCCCATGACGTTTCGCCTGCGTCTGTGGTAAGCATCCTCAGAGGTAGTGAGCATTGTATCAGGTCTGGAAGTCGGGTGAGACTAGATCCAAGTGATGCACCTCACTACCTCTGAGGATGCTTGCCATAGATGCAGGCGAAACGTCAGGAGAGAATGCCTCTAGAACATGGCCATATAGCCTGAAAAAACCTACAACAACGCAGTGATTCCGGCCATGAAAGCCTTCAACAATATGATGACAGAACAGTTTCCACCCTCTTCTCACCTGTCATGACAGTGAGTGTTGGGCAGGTAAGAAAGGCACCAAAGTGCAATAAATCCGGCACAAATTTGCAGAGAGCGATTGTAGACGCCTTGAAATTCCCTCCCAGATTCCCTTGTGAAATATTGCAGCAAAGACAAGGAGCAATGCCTGATTGTGTAGCCCGTTCTCTCCTTTCTGTTCCCTTCCATTGCAAGCAATATAAACAAACAACATACCTGCATTCGTCTTGATGTTGACGAGAACCATTTACTGTGTGCTGCTCTCCTCCCTGCGAGTAAAGCAGTGGACAAACATTTGGGCCTTTTCCCGGTTGTTTGAAGGACCTTGAATCGATCTCTGTGTCCTTGCAGGAGGAAGAAAGCCAGGGTTGCTCTCTTCCGGCTTTGCACAGAAAGCGTTGGGTTTTTTTGTCGTGTTTTCTCACACCAGAAGCGACTTGCAGTTTCTCAAGCCGCTCCTGACACGACAGAAAGTGTTTATAGAAACAGAATAGCTTGGTCCTCTTTATCTAGAGTCGGATACTTGAAATATGTGGGGATTATGATGCTGCTGGAGTGAGCATGCAATGCACATTAAGCGGGACCAAAGATGAAGGAGCAAAATACATGCAACTCAGTGGGAGTGTGCAGCTTTGAAGGATGGAGATGTTCCCAAAGTGTGGCTTTTGTGTTTCATTCAACGCTGAGGGCCAAAGTGTGTGGAGAAGTGTGCATTCCAAGAATGGAAGCATTGCGGGTTGTAGTTTAGGTAGTGCTTGGGTTTGAATGCCGCCTGCTGCATCGAGCCATCAAAATTGTCCTTTGCATAAAAAAACAACAAATGAAAAATAATTGCAAGGTCATTCCTGTCCTTCTGAACTGTGCAGCAATAAGTTAGGCATCGAGGGACTGCTTCCTAAATAGGATCCCATTGGATTGGGTATGAATCGAGGCCTTTAGTGTGTCTTCAATGTTGGCGCTCTTCTTGCATTTGCTCCGAAAATGTCTCCTGTTAAAGGTATTTACTAGGCATGTGCAACCATGGTTCTAAATGGTTCCAAAGTACTTACAAAACTAAAGTTCTAGTGGTGAAAACTAGGGGGCGCTGGTGCTTTGCTTCTATAGTGTTGCTAAAGTTCTGGTGGTGAAACTTTCAGAACTCTTAACACTGTAAGGTATCACGAGTTTAGGGTGCGGGGTCCCTTTTCGAAGAAATCCACAGAGTCCAATTGGTTCATGTAAGACACCATTTAATCAAGCTGATCAACATGAGACGGACAAAAGCACTTCTGCTTGTGCTTTCAAAGACTGCCGCGCGCCCCTTGGCTATTGTACACCGTTATATACCCTCAAGTAAACAACAATATTTTCATCATGGATAGTATTTTGACCTTTATTCTTCCTGCTCCATCAGCCTCTTGATGGAAAGTACCTTCTTGTACCTGCAGACTTTGTACTTAACCACAACCTTTGGCTTAACCACAACTCAACTTCCTATTTAAGTTGGTATGACCTCTACATGATGCCTCTTGTTTTTAAAACATTTTCTTCCGTGTTGCTTCTTTTCTACAGAGAAAGGGTATATTTCTCTTTTGCTGTTAATTTCATTCAAAGCCCCTTTCTTAGCATTTGCAAATTTCACTCAAAGACCTTTTCAACACCACTTTCAAAATTTCATTAGAAATGGCAGTTCCTAATGGGTTCTGTCATAAAAATCACCAATAATGAAATAATAATGAAATTTTGAAAGTTTTGTAAAAGTTCTGAAATTTTCACCACCAGAACTTTAGCAACACTGTAGAAGCAAAGCACCAGCGCCCCCTAGTTTTCACCACCAGAACTTTAGTTTTGTATGTACTTTAGAACCATAGTTGCACATGCCTAGTATTTACTCATCGGATAGAGTTGGGACTCGGAGAAAACCCGAATAGCCATCTTTGCAAGTGCATTATGTCAAAATGTGCATCTTCCCTCCCTTTTGTGATGCAGTAACGCACCTCTGGGTTGTTAGGAGCCAAATGGGAAGGAACGTTGTAGGAGAAAGCATGGTTTGTTTTTGCAAGAAGTATATGGGATTATTTCTCAGTCCAGATACAGAACAGGTAGCAATGCAAGATGGGAAGGCTGATGGGTCTCTTCTGCATCGTATTCCTTTTTAATGGTACATAGACCCCAATCCTTGCAACACCGGGGTCTTCAATGCCTTGCATTCTTTACCTGCAAAGTTGCCTTTTGTGTTTCCTAAAGATGACTTGACATAGCTGCTTGAAGAAAGGCATTCAGATATATATGTGTGTAAGGCTTTGGCAGACTTTGTGCAGGCCTGGGCCAACTTCGGCCCTGGTCTGCATTAGTCCACCCTTTCTATTTCCCCCCGGTTTGTCTTGCTTTATGGGACCAATCTGTATTTTTATGTTTCGTTTCTTTGTCTTTTGCCATTTGCTCTTTGGAATAAATTAAGAAAACATACGCCCATGACTTGTGTGGATCTCCCTTTCTCCTGAAGATGGTTCTAGGACTTATTTGAACAGGGCTGTTCTGAATCCTGGTTACTGCAGTGTGTGTGTGTGTGTATATATAAAAGGTAAAGGTTTTTCCCTGGCATTAAGTCCAGTCATGTCCAACTCTGGGACTCGGGCTCATCTATATTTCTAAGCCGAAGAGTCGGTGTTGTCCGTAGGTTATGTGGTCACTGGTGTGACTGCATGGAGTGCCGTTACCTTCCTGCCGAGGCGGTACCTATTAATCTACTCACATGTGCATGTTTTCGAACTGCTAAGTTGGCAGAAGCTGGGGCTAACAGTGGGAGCTCGCCCCACTCCTTGGATTTGAACGGCCAACCTTTCAGTCAGCAAGTTCAGCAGCTTTCTATTTATTTATTTACTTACAATATTTATATGTCAGTTTACAAGATATATGTACATACAATATATTAAATTATTAGCATAGTACAATATCAGTATGATACATTACTATATAGTACTATACTATTATATTGTAATATTAGTAATATTACATGTAATATAAATATATGTGGCATATTTATTTATAGCTATTTATATAGGGAATCTCAAGTGTATGCGCGTATATATGTGTGTGTATATATACATATATTCTATCTGCAGATTCTATCAATCTGTAGGTGCAGATTGAATTACAGGTGCTTCTATATATTCTATAATCACAAGTATATATATACAATTGCATGTGCTTTTATAGAGAATTGCAAGTCCCTTTATGTATGTATACACACACACATATATATCACAGAGCCACCGGTGGCGCAGTGGGTTAAACCACTGAGCTGCTGAACTTGCTTACCGAAAGGTCGCAGGTTCAAATCTGGGCAGGTGCATGAGCTCCCGCTGTTAGGCTCAGCTTCTGCCAACCTAGCAGTTCGAAAATATACAAATGTGAGATCAATAAGTACAGAAATAAATAACAGCACTCAATGCAGTCATTCCAGTGGCCACACTCTTCGGCCTAGAAATGGAGATGAGCACCAGGGTCCCAGAGTCGGACTCGACTGGCTTTAATGTCAGGGGAAAACCTTTACCTACTATATATCTCACAGGCATAGATATTTATATTAGAGAATCGCAGATGTGTATATCTGCAGGTTCAAACAGAATCGGGTTTTTTTGTTTAGAGAGGAGAATTGCAAGTGCTTTTATATAGAATGAATTACAATGCTTTTCTGCATTTATACAGCATCACAGGTGTAGATGTGCATGTGTGTGTATGCATAAATTGCAGGTGCCTATAGAGCAGAGGTTTGTACCTTTTTAATGAGGTACTTACTTTGCAATGAAAAGAAAACAGAAGTGGGAAGCTAAAGGAGACAATCAGGGCATATCAAATATGAATAAGGATAAGCCTACACTTATCTTAAGAGTTTTGAGATGGTGGAACAGAAGCCTTCCGAAGCTCTAGGTGCTCTTACTGCCTAATACAGGGAAAAACAACTGATCCCTAATCCATCTAAAACACAGACATGTGCCTTTCACCTTAAGAACAGACAAGCATCCCGAGCTCTGAGGATTACCTGGGAAGGAATCCCACTGGAACATTGCAGCGCACTCAAATACCTGGGAGTCACCCTGGACCATGCTCTGACCTATGAGAAGCACTGCCTGAACATCAAGCAAAAAGTGGGCGCTAGAAACAATATCATACGAAAGCTGACTGGCACAACCTGGGGATCACAACCAAACACAGTGAAGACATCTGCCCTTGCGCTATGCTACTCTGCTGCTGAGTACGCATGCCCAGTGTGGAACACATCTCACCACACTAAAACAGTGGATGTGGCTCTTAATGAGACATGCCGCATTATCACGGGGTGTCTGTGCCCTACACAACTGGAGAAATTACACTGCTACACTGCTGACATCCGCCGGGAAGTAGCAGCCAATAGTGAAAGGACCAAGGCAGAGATATCTCCAGCTCATCCCTTGTTTGGGTATCAGGCAGCACGTCAACAGCTTAAATCAAGAAATAGTTTTCTAAGATCTACAGAGACACTCGCTGGAACACCCCAGCAAGCGAGAGTCCAAAAGTGGCAGGCCCAAACCCAGAACTTCAATCAATGGCTGACACCAAATGAGAGACTCCCCCCTGGGCACACAGAGGACTGGGTGACTTGGAAGGCACTGAACAGACTGTGCTCTGGCACTACAAGATGCAGAGCCAACCTTCAGAAATGGGGCCACAAAGTGGAATCCACGACATGCGAATGTGGAGAAGAGCAAACTACTGACCACCTGCTGCAATGCGACATGCACAATGGAGGACCTCCTTGCGGCAACACCAGAGGCACTCCAAGTGGCTAGAGACTGTTCAAAGGACATTTAATCAACTACCAAGTTTGCAAAATTTGTGTTTTTTTATCTGTTTTGTTCTGTTAGAAATGTAATACAATGGTATGGTTGCTGATGACACGATAAATAAAAGCCTACACTGAATTCTCACATTCATTTTCAGTGTAGTAGTACGTTTTATTGACTAGCCCATATCATTTTCAGCGATAATACAGCTGTTACAATTGAGATACTAGCCATTATTTGCAAATATCAGTTCACTAGAATGAGAAATATACGTGACCTTTTTTTGACCAGGGACCACTCTTGAACATTAGTACTGAAAGGGTTACTAATGAGTTTTTGGTCAACTTTAGATTTGGATTGGGGTGCTAATTCAGAAAATTGCATTGGATAGACCACATCAGCGCTAGTTTCTGATACAGAACATCTGCCATGGTCAGCAACAGGGAAGGAGTGAAAGGAACGGAAAAAAATTAAAATAAAATGGGAGGCTGACGGACCATTTTTTCATCCACAGCTCACTCGTGGTCTGCGGCCCACAGATTACAAACCGCTGGTATAGAAAGAGTGGTACTGAAATCTTGCAATCGATGGCATCTTAGAATTGAACAAATATGACAAAAATAAGCCTGGTGCACCCAGGAACGGGACCATTCCCGACATCCCTTGCAAAGAAGGCAATGCATACAAACACTGGAATTGGAATCCGTTCTTTAATGACATTACAAATGGACAGGTTAATGACTATCTAAGAAAATTCGTCTCATGCAAAACAAGGCACAGAATAAGGAATGTCTGCTGGAAAGTTCTTTGTCTCCAAATTTATGGAGGGAAAGCTCCTTTGCATCCTCTCTCTTCCAGTGATTGTTTTTCCTTGTATTTCCATTAATTGTAAATTGGTCCTTTTCTTTCTCTATGGAATGAGGTGCATTTGATAGTGAGGCACTTTGCCAATTCCAGTGGCTACCAAAGGAAGTTTTCCAATTTCTGGTCAAGTCCTATAATGGAGTCTTTTGGTGATGCATGCGTATTGCATCTCTGGTGGGTTTTCCCCCTTAGAAACAACAGGAAAGTTGCAATGCCATCCAAAGGCTTCCATCCATTCGTTGTACTTTTGGGGGGAGTTTCTATGAAAATAACGCTTCAGAAATGCCTATAGGTTTGAGATAGTCAACAATAATGAGAAGATAACATACACAAGACTATACAAGGCCCATTCGGCCTCCCTGTGGCGCAAAAACATTAATTGGCGCTGGGAATTCGCATCTGGATTTGAAGGCAATATGGACACAATCCAAGCCAAAGCTCTCCCTCCCAGATTCCCATTGGTTTTTCTAAATATTTTGATACCAAAGTGCCTGCCTTAATCCCTGGAATAATTCAATGCTGGAGGATAATCCGACTGGAAGTTTTGCTGCCATAATTCAATGACAAATGAAGCCTCGTGCCCAGTTTTGTTATACTTTAAAAAGCATAAATCCCCCCAAAAGCTTGTCTATAATATAATGCAGTATTTGCTATGGTTTGGGGTGAAAAATTAAAATGAAAAATCCCTTTGTATTTGATTACATTAGACACTTCAAACCAGAGCTTTCCAAACTGTATGGAGTGCAAAGGAAATGCACATTATTATCTTACAAATCATTTATGACAGGTATTTGTGAGATACGTGACGTCCCCGTACATTTTCTGATTACAATTTAGGTCCATATCTAGTCAAATTGAATGGCTGTATTGCAAAAGGCTGCAATGTCTTTAAAACGTGCGTCGCTGACATGGAAAGTTTGGAAAAAGTTCTGTACTGGGCTCCCAAAAATTCGGCAAATTTTGGTAAAAGCTTTTTTTTCCAGAATGCCTCCTAGTGGCTGTTTTAGGCATTCACTCAAATCTGTGCCGTGTTTGCAGCAAACTCTGCAGAAGCGGCTTGGGCTGTGCTACACAAAAAGGAAAACCAACCTGTTTAGCAAACCTTGCATTAAAAAGAGAAATATTCCTCTTTGCCTATGTGCCTCTTTGCCTTGCAGAAGATGCTTCAGCTGTGCTTCATAAAAAAATGGACAACGAGCCTATTTAGCAAGCCCTGCAATTAAAAACAGAGGAAAACTCCCCCTTCCCAATGGGTCTCCTTGTATTCAAACAAAATATCCCTCCCTTGCCTTAGTTCCTCTGCAGGAGATGATCAAAATAACGCTATTCCTTGCCTCTCTGTCACTGCAGAAGATGCTTCAGGTGTACTTCATAAAAAAGGACAACCAGCCTGTTTAGCAAACCTTGCATGATATGATAGGAATACCTCATCTTGCTTTCCTATCTGCTTGCCAATATACCTTTTTCCCTCTGCAGATGCATTAAAATAATACTACTCCTTGTCTGCTTGCCAATGTGCCTCCTTCCTCTACAGAAGATGCTTCTGCTGTACTTCATAAAAAGGGATAATCAGCCTAAGAAACCTTGCAATTAAAAATAGAAATATTTCTTGCCTCTGTACCTTGACAGAAGTCATTAGGAGTCCTTGTCTATGTTCCTCTGCAAAAGATGTTTCAGGTGTATTTCATAAAAAGGACAACCGGCCTGTTTACCAAGGCTTGCATTTAAAAAGAGAAATAAGTCTTCCTTGCCAATGTGCCTCTTTGTTTCGGCAGAAGATGCATTAAAATACTACCCCTTGCATATGTGTCCCTGCAGAAGATGTTTCAGCTGTACTTCATAAAAAAGTACAGACTGTTTAGCAAGCCTTGCATTAAAAATACTAGCCTTTTCACCTCCTTGCCTCAGCAGAAAATGCACTGAGATGCTCCTCCTTGCATAAAGAAAATAAACAAGTCTTCCTCGCTCAAATGCCTCCTTGCTTCTGCAGAAGATGCATGAAAATAATCCTCCTGCTTGAATGCTTTGTCTCTGCAGACAATGCTCCAGCTGTACATCAAAACAAGCAACTGGTTTAGCAAACCTTGCAAGTGTTGATTTATTATCAATAAATGTTTAGTTTTTCCATCTACTTTATCTATCTGCAGATCGCCGAAACATGTCTTGGGCTGAAAGGGATCACAAGTGGAAATGGGGCATATTTTCCATCAATTTCACCAAAGTCAATCCCACTAAAGTTTAGGATTGACTGGACACGCATCCTTTACAGATCTAAGAGTAGTCTGAGCAGCAGAACTTGCAACTGGATTTTTCTCTCCGAGATTGGATTTGCTCCAAAAGTCCCATCATTCCAGGCTTTGAGAGCCACCCAAGATCCAAGGCACATCCTAAATGCATGGTAAAATCAGTCATATATTAACACAAGCTACATTTGGAATTAGAACTCTTGACAGAGTTGCTATTCTTCAAACACATTACATTACAATTTTGGAGGTTCTCATGCAAACTAACCATAGAACCTGATCTATCTTTGGCCTACTTTCTTCTGTTTGGAAACACCTCCCTTTCCAATTGAATGACCACTTATGCAAAAATAATGCTTTGCTGGATTGGGTCCATTGACCTGCTTCAAAACCAACAGCTCCATCAGTTTTCTACCAATTTTCTTTAAAAGTTTAAACCAGGGAATAACAGGGTTCAAAACAGGGATTTTACTGACCCCAAAAGCACAATTCCCCCCCCCCCCCTTTTTTTTGGCAAAGATTCCCATTTATTTGCAGCCATTTCCTTTCCAAACAGGCTTCAGGGCCCACCTGTATTGTTTGACATTTGGAAAGAAAATCTCTGTTTCCCAAATTACGTTATTTGCTTTTTGGAGGGGCATTTGCCGCTTTGTCTGTTCCCTGGTTTAATTAACCGCAATTAATGCTCTGCAAAGGAGGCATTCGTCAGTACAGGACAACTTCTATCTATACATTACGGATACAAAGCAATACAACCGTAAAAATAAGGAACAAGGGTGAGAAATATCATCATCATCATAACAAAAACAAGCACAGCTTGGTACAACAACGGGCCATGAAAGGTCACTGGCTTCGTAATAATTTACTACAACGTGAAAAGAAAACAAAGGAAAAAAAACACCCCAAAGGGTCCCTTTTATCCACAACTGGGCCGGAAATGCTTCCACTTACAAAGTATGGCAAGCACGCAATAATAATAACAATAGTCACAATATATACACCATAATATCTGGATTTTTTTTTCTTTTTGATTCATGCACAGCGTGGAAATAATTACTTGGTCCGATTTTACACTTTGCTCTCAGATTTTGAATTTGGAAGCGGTTTCAATAAAAACAGATATAATAACTTGTGAATTTAACCTTTTCCAAAGTTTTGCAATGGATGCTGTAGGAGAAAGTATTGAGATGCTTATTTTTGGATCTGAAATTAATATGAACCTATATATCTATGGAAATTTCCCGTATCTTTGGAGTGTCCCTTTGAGTAAACCCAAATCCATTAAAAGCAAGTGATTCAGGCTTGTAATGGTCCATGTGAAAGACTTCTCCCTTCTTAAAGCTTCGGGTTCTGGGTTCGAATCCCGCTCCATGAAGGACCGACCGTAAGGCCATCCTTGGGTGCAACAGGTCCTTTTGGAGAGCCGCTTTTCCTATATACAGAGGTGGCTTTGTTCTGCCTGCAGACAAAGCCCCTCTTTTGCTCTATTTGGGATGTGTTTTATATGGCAGAGAGAGGGGTCAAGCATTAATAAAGCCCCCCATTAAAAGGGCAGGCTTCCTTCCCGGGGCGCATTGAACTTTCACTGTTAAGCAACTGACTGCATTTCTTCAAGATCAAGCTGCATTTCTTCCATTCTAAGACATGCTCTTTTCCCCCCGCCTCCAAATATGGGGTGCATCTTGGCATTGCAGGTCTTGTCTGCCATTGGATAACATGTGCACCTCATTTCCAAAATCCTGAAGCCAAATAAAGTATTTGCTGCTGAGTGACATGTGCAAAAAACTAATTCGTTTGTCATTTGGGCAAAAAAAGAAAAGAAAAAAGTGCAAATTGCAATTGCTGCATATATTGCGAGGGCTCTTTTAAATACCCTTTATTTACTTGATCCCCATGCACTACTGGATCTCATGCGCACCTCCATTTCCAAAATCCCAGAATCAGAAAAAAGGTATTTGCTGCTGAATGACATCTACAAAAAGTGCATCCTTTCATCATTTGGGCAAAAAAAGAAGAAGTGTGCATTGCAATTGCTGCATGTTTAATTAGCATTCCTTCTTTGAAAACAAAAGTGATAGAACAACAAAACTTCCAGTGATGGAAAGGAAAACCTTCGGACTAGGCATGGGCAAACTTCGGCCCTCCAGGTGTTTTGGACTCCAACTCCCACAATTCCCAAAAGCCTCAGGCCTCTTCCCTGAGAGGGGAAAGAAAAGGGCCTGAGGCTGTTAGGAATTATGGGAGTTGGAGTCCAGAATACCTGGAGGGCTGAAGTTTGCCTATGCCCACTTTGGACACATGCATGCTGCATAATGACTGCACTTTAATTGCCATATTTCAATGCTATGGAGTCATGGGGGGACATGTAGTTTTGCAAGGTCTTGAGCATTTCTCTTCCAAAGGATGCTGGTACCTCACCAAACTACAAAATCCCAGCATTGCAATGGAGCCACTGCTATTAAATTTGAGGTGACGTCCCGCTTCTCCTGAAGCAGATTCTCCTTTTGGCTTTGACTCAGCACTAGGATGGCCAATATTATGCAAATCTAATGCGCAGCCTCATTTTGACAAGGTCATTGAGCCCCAAAAGGTGAGCATTAGATTTGAGTAAATGCGGGTGTTATTAATAACTATCATCAATCTCTAATACGGTTCAAAGACTCAATTCACTCAGCGGAAAAAGTGCACAGCAGATTCATAAACCAATTAAGACTGATATTATCAATAAAGCTTTTCTGTTTTTCTGTTGGTGGGAGTGACATGAGAGCGCCTTACAAATAATGCAGTCGTAGAATTGAAGAAATGCGTTAATAACAATAAGCGTTTTCTTGGGTGAAAAGCACAGGATCCCTGCAAAAAGCAAAAATATGGCAATTTTTTAAAAAAGTTATGACTTTCATGGTGAACGTCTGCTACAAGTTGCCATACAATTGTGTTGACGGACCTACAAATGCATAGAGAAGCCTCTTATGGCCACCTTCTGGCAGGTGTTGCACCAGAAGACATATATTCCTAGAAAGAATGTATTAAATCTGCAAATACAAGGGCTATCCAGAAAGTGAGGTTACAAGGCACGTATTTTCTTGGGGGAAGTTGGTCTGCCATGTAGCAGGAAGCCAGAGGAAGCGAACAAGCAGTGCCAGTCATCAGGAGCTCATCAACTTGCGTTGTTGTGAAGCTTAGTGATGAGAGTCCTCATTCCATTTCCCTCCAAGTGCTGTAATAGGCTACCTAAATGCAAAAGGCATGAAAGCCACTGCGATTCATTGTGAAATCGTTTCAGTTTATGGAGAGGGCAAAATGTTGAGACAGCATGTGGCAAAATGGGTACAGAATATATTGTGAGACCTTGGAGAAACTTTGCAGTGCCATCCGAAACAAACGTTGTGGGATGCTGACAGCAGGAGTCCATCTCCTTCATGGCAGTGCGCGTTCGTCCGCGCACCGCTCATGCAACACAAGAGTTCATTTGGTGAGGATGTTTGAACCCACCCCTCACACAGTCCCGATTGATCTCACACCCAGTGACTCTCATCTGTTCATTAAATTGAAGGAACACTTGGGTGGAAAACACTTTCCCGATGACAATGAGGTGAAAATTGAAGTGACGAACGGCTGGGAAGAGGAGGAGGGAAACTTCTATGACACATATTCATTATTTGTATTTTTTTAAAAAAAATCTTGTAACCTTACTTTCTGGATAATCCCCTGTCAATGTGGAGGGTTGTTGGCTGCAATCCCCGTTGGTCGAAATTCCTAATTATGGGAAACCATCTCAAAGTGTGGAGAGAGAGATTTGCTGGCATCGCCACCACTATGAACAGATTAACAAAAACCCATGAGAGCAAGGACTTGTTCCTCAAAATTGCAACGTTGCATGATCTTATTCTGCAGTGGTTTGGGGATATCATCTGAAGCAGGAAATCAAATACAAAATGCATCCAGGAAGAACTATCCTTTGACCTTTTCGAAAGCCATTTGACTGCATAGATCACTATATCTCCCATTTGAATAGACATACTGCTCCGTACAGAGCAAGGGATCTCAATCCTTCACTATCCCATCGCTGCATGCCAGGAGGAATCATTAGGATCGTTTTCTTTCCAACATGAAGATTCATCTACAGCAGTTTCCCTGTATTTGAATGTTCCAAAAATTATTCTGTTTGTTGGAAGGGATTTTGTGCCTAGGAAATGCAACGTTTATGTGTAAACCCCCCCTTCTTTTTGTGCAAAACCCCCTTCTTTTTTGCTCTGCTCTCCAACATTTTGGGATTTGACCGGCAGGAAATTGCATTCAGTTCCCACCGGGATAGAACACTCTTCCTTTCCCAACCACCAGGAAAACCATTTTTGGAAACGGATCATTGCAGCGCTATTTCTTCCCTCACACACCTACGCATCTTCCCAAGCCTCTTTGGGGGAAACATTCATGCCAACAGACACTTAAAACAACAGGACTTAAGCCACTAAAGTGGTGTAAAAAAGGCTTTTGCAAAAACCACAGTTTGGTTGCAAACAACCAGCAGGAGAAAGCTTGCTTTTGAAGGATTCGGTCCTTTTTGTGCCTACTTCTAAACATTTCTAAGTCTGGTCCTGCCTGAGTTGTTTTACTAAGTTTACGATGTGCATACAATGCAGGGCTGGAAAAAGGAAAGTCCCACAAAGGAAGGAAGGGAAAAAGCAGGAACAAAATGCAACCAGTGCATTTCTTGTACTCTGGGTCCAGAAAGCAGCTGCAAAGGTTCCCTGCCCAACAACACCCTTGCTTCCATTTGCACCAGGAAAATGCAATACAAAGGCATGGATCCAGACCAGGTTGATGCTGGTCTGTTTACTCTGCCAGCAGGTCTTTCCCAGTCCTTTCAACTGGTTTGTGGCAGGGACACAAAGGCAGATTTTTAGAGCTCTCTATGGTTCAGGAGCAGTTTTGTAGGAAAAGGAAGCAAACATTGGATGCGCATCAGAAGGGAGACTCTCATCCATGCCATTTCCCAAACAGGAAACTCAATATATCACTCTAATTTGCAACTACATCCCTCTCCTTCCTCACAACTTTCCCAACCATTTCTTATTTACCCTTTATATTTCCAATGAAATGGGAACAGAGGCTGTTGGAGACATGACTCCAACATGGCACAGTCTCTCCATTACTTTCTGCTTCTATTCTTCCTTCTTTCTCCCCAAATTCCCCCCAAACACCATCTCTAAACCGAGACTAGAATCATCTTGTATGAACCAGGAAGGACTAAAGCTTCATTCGTGGCAAACCTTCCTCCCTTTGCAAGCCCAGTTTGGCTCCTACACATCCAATGACAAACTCTACGCAAATGCTTGCAAATGTGAGCGTTGTTTGCAAATCCCTGCTATCCAAGTGAGTCTCCCAAAATTATTTTTTCCCCCATGGAGAAAAGAAAATGTATTATTCAGTCTATTTCAAGTGCATTAGAATACACTGTGAAATTCCTTGGAGGCACCCCTTCTCTCTTTAGGTGCTTTAAAGGTGGCAAATGCAAACTTTTGAGCTTGTCCCAAAATGAAAGGCACTGTGAAAAGACTCCGCTTTGGGCGTGATACAATACAACCAAGCACCGTATCTCTTGTGCCATAGCACAGGAGAACAATTCGTTCCCTCTCTCCAAACATGCGAACACACTTCGCCATCTTGCAACTCTCCTCTCGTCCTTTGGGAAAATGATGGGAGTCTGGCATTCCCATTTCCAAGCCGCTTCCTTCCTAAAGAGGCTTTCCAGCATCCACTTCCTCCTGTCAATCCATCGCAAACCTAGTTTATTCTATCTCCTGCTCCCTTCTTTGTCGAAATGCACAAATCCAAGACTCAAAACAATGTGATGGTGCATGGAAACGGCGCTCCCAAGGTCTCCAAGTGCATGGCTTTGGCGCAGCATCCATCCAAGAAAGGTGCGAATAGGAAGCAGTGCTCCTTCCCCAAATTTGGCAACAATTGCACCGAACATTTCAGTGGAGGAAGAAGCAAGAGATGTGAGGTTCTTCCTCTCCAACCATTGCTGGACGCCGCTGCTTGCTTTCTTTGTGATGAATGGAAAACAATGAGTGGCATTGTCTTCCTTCCTTCTTGGAGAGGAATAGAACGATTCCTATTCCGCTGACGAATCAACGTGACTGTTCCAGTTGGCCAAATCCAGAAGCAAGGATCCATTATCTGTGCAAAAAGGAAGCAATGCTCCCTTGCTCCATTTGGCTGCAGCAAAAGGCTTGCAGGGCAAGTCGCTGCGATGCTGGCTGCCATGGCCTGTCTTCCTTCCTTCCTCAATGGAGACATTTCTTTGATTTGCCCTTTCCAGTGATCCAGAACAGCAAGGACCCATTCTCTGTGCAAATAGAAAAGCAACGATGCTTGGAAGCCATGCTCTTTCCCCAATTTGGAGAGGGTTGCAACACAAACGGTCCCCCCGAAGCAGTGAGGTTGCTCCTTGCAATACCACCATCTTCCTTTGGAATGGAAAGGTGTCTTTCCTTGAGCTGGACATTGCAGTGGATCCAATTCAGAAAAGCAATAGGAAAGCAACGATGCTTGGAAGCCATGCAACTTCCCTAATTTGGAGACGGTTCCAACAGAAACGGTCCCCCAGAAGCGGCGAGGTTGCTCCTTGCAATGCATTCCTGGACATGGCACCATCTTCTTTCTCAGCAACAAACGGAAAGGTGTCTTTCTTTGGCCTGGGCATTGCAGCGGACCAGATCCAGAAGCAAGGGTCTATTCTCAGTGTGAACAGAAAACATCCCGATCATCTTCCTTCCTTCTTATGAATGAATGGAGAGATTGCCTTTTGGTTTCAGCTCACCCTTTGGGCATGAAAAGTGTATGGGGAGAGGCTTCTGAGAAAGAGAGAGAGAAGGAGGGAGAGGGAGAGGGAGGGGTGGAGTGGGCAGGGCCTGGGGGGTCTAGACAGAGGGGCGTGGTGGGGGCCGGGAAGGGGGAGGGGCCCGGCTGGGGGGAGGGACATGAGGTGGGGGTGGCAGGGGCGGCAGTGGGGAGGGCGGGCAGGGGTTGGCCTGGGGGCAGGGCGGGCAGTAGACGGGGGCCGGGGGTGGGACCGCGTTGTTCAGAGGGTACTTGGGGGGCAGACCCCCACTCTTCACCCGCGTGAAGGTAATGCAGCGGCCCTGCAAGGGAAGCAGACAGAGAGATGGTCAGCTAGAAGGGGGTCCCCAGAGGAGATCCAACCCAGACCCCTTCTTTCTGCCCAGCAGGAAGGCACCGCCCGACCCCTCCCGACAGATTGCCATCCAGCTCCTGCTTAATAATAATAATAATAACAACAACAGGAAGGGAAGGCACCATCTGATCCCTCCCGACAGATGGCCATCCAGCCCCTGCTTAATACTAATACTAATAATAACAAGAACAACAGGAAGGGTCCGGAAGGAAGACACCATCCAACCCCTGCTTAATAATGATAATGATGATGATAACTGGAAGGAGACCCCCCCCTTTTCTTCCAGATAGGAAGGCACCATCCAATCCCTCTTGACAGATGGCCATCCAGCCCCTGCTTAATAATGATGATGGTAATAATAATAACAATTGGAAGGGACCCCCAGGGGCCATCCAGCCCAACCCCCTTCTCCCCTTCAAGAAGGCACTGTACGACCTCTCCTGACAAATGGCCATCTCTCTCCTGCTTAATAATAATGATGAAAAGAATAACAATAGGAAGGGCCTGGAAGAAAGGCACCATCCGATCCCTCCCGACAGGTGGCCATCCAGCTCCTGTTTAATAATGATGATGATGATGTTGATGATAATAATAATAATTAGAAGAGACCCCAAAGGGCTATCTAGTCCAGCCCCTTTCTCCCAGACAGGAAGGCACCATCTGACCCTTCCCAACAGATGGCCATCCACTCCTCCTTAATAATAATAACAATAATGCTAAGGATAATAATAATGATAAAAATAATAACTTCAAGGGGACCCCACAGGCCATCCAGTCCAGCCCCTTTCTTCCAGGCAGGAAGGCACCAACTAATCCCTCCTGACAAGATGGCCATCCAGCCCCTGCTTAATAATGATGATGATGATGATGATACTAATTGGAAGGGACCCCCCAAGGGCCATCCAGTCTAATCCCTTTCTGCCTGGCAGGAAGGTACCGTCCGACCCCTCCCGACAGATGGCCGTTTAGCTCCTGCTGCTTAATAATAATGATAATGGTAATAATAATAATAATAATAATAATAATAATAATAATAATATAGAATTCTAGAACCAGAAGGGATCCCCCAAAGGTCATCTAGCCCAGCCCCCTCTTTCTGTCTGGCAGGAAGGCCCTTCCAATTATTATTATTATTATTATTATTATTATTATTATTATTATTATTATTATTATATAGCTGGAGAGACCCAAAATTCTGCCTTATTGCCATTTTACAAAAAATACTGAACAGCCTATATTACTTCGGATGCATCTACACTGTAGAATGAATGCAGTTTAAATGCCATGGCTCCATGCAATATAATAATGGGAGTTGTAGTATCACATATCCCTGAAGCCGATAGCACGGAACTATGAGAATTAAAGTGATGCCAAATTGCATTAATTCTTCAGTGTAGATGCACCTCGCTGTGCCATTTGTCCCTTTCCCCTGCAATACAACTTGACCTGTTTTCAACTCTCGTTCATATGCAATACATCATCTCTCCTTTGCCCGTCAGGCTTTTAACTATAATTCAAAGCTGGGGTAAGTCAGCCATAAAATGCCTTTGCATCTTGGACAATTTTGCCTGAAAATAGTGATGGTTTTGGCCGCTTCGGCTGTCACTCCTCCACCAAAACCCAATAAAACATTTACAGGATACGGTTTTCTTTGAGATTTTATACTGGAATTCTTTTCCTTCCCATTTTAAACAACAAGAGCAGAAAAACCAGAAAATTGGCAAAAAAGGTACTTTCTGCATAGCATAAAGTAAAGGTAAAGGTTTCCTCTGACATTAAGTCTAGTCATGTCCAACTCTTATTTCCATTTCTAAGCCAAAGAGCTGGCGTTGTCCGTAGACGCCTCCAAGGTCATGTGGCCACTGGCATGACTGCATGGGGTGCCCTTACCTTCCTGTCAAAGCTGTGCCTATTGATCTACTCTCATTTGAATATTTTCGAACTTCTAGGTCAGCAGGAGCTGGGCCTAACAGTGGGAGCTCACCCCACACCCCGTATTTGAACCGCCAACCTTTCGGATGCATCGCAAAGAATCACCAATACTTTATGATGATGATGATGATGATGACGACGACGACGATTAGTGGCTCAGTTAGTTAAAGCACTGAGTTGTTGAACTTGATGACTGAAAGGTTGGCAGTTCAAATCCGGGGAATTTTGGATTTAAACTTTGGAAGTTTTTCGTTGGAGCCTGCGCAGGTACAGATACTCCACATGTGTGCATTCACAGAGTCCACAAAGAAAAATAATATATTATAGTAAGTATAATTCTATATATATATATGTATGTATATGTATTTATATAAATAAAAATGCAATGTTCATTTGTGGGATTAACATAACGCAAAAACCACTGGACGAATTGACACCAAATTTGGACAATATACCCCTAACAGACCAACGAGTGACCATCACTCATAACCCCCACAAAGAACAGCAGAAAAGACTTAAAAACCCAAAAAAGCTAAATGACGATGCAGAAAAAAGGAAAGGAAGAGGGAGGGAAGGAAGGGGAGAAAGAAAGAAACAAGGAGAGAAAGAGAGAGGAAAAGAAAGAAAGAAAGAAAGAAAGAAAGAAAGAAAGAAAGAAAGAAGGATGGAAGCAAAGAGCAAAGGAAGGAAGGAAGGAGAGAAAGAACTAAGAAAAGAAAAAGGAGGAAAGAAAGAAAGAGATAGAAGAGGAAGGAGAGAAAGAAAAAGGGAAGGAAGGAAAGAAAGAGGGAGCGAAGGAAGGAGAGAAAGGGAGGGAAGGAAGGAAGGAGAGAAAGAGGGAGGAAAAGAAAAGGGGGGAAGGAAGGAAAGAGGTAGAGAAGGAAAAAAGGAGAGAAAGAAAGAAAGGAGAAAAGAGGGAGGGAAAGAAAGAAGGAAAGAGAGAAGGAAGGATGGAAGCAAAGAGCAAAGGAAGGAAGGAAGCAGAGAAAGGGGTAGGAAAAGAAAAAGAGGGGAAGGAAGGAAAGAGATAGAAGAGGAAGGAAGGAGAGAAAGAAAGAAAAAAGGGAAGAAAGGGAGCGAAGGAAGGAGAGAAAGAAGGAAGAAAGGAGAAAAAGAGGGAGGAAAAGAAAAAGGAGGGAAGGAAGGAAAGAGGTAGAGAAGGAAGAAAGGAGAGAAAGGAAGGAGAGAAAGAGGGAGGGTGAGAAAGAAGGAAGGAAGGAAGGAAGGAAGGAAGGAAGGAGAGAAAAAAGTAGGAAAATAAAAAGGGGGGAAGGAAGAAAAGAGATAGAAGAAGAAGGAAGGAGAGAAAGAAAGAAAAAGGGGAAGAAATGAAAGAGGGAGCGAAGGTAGGAGAGAAATGGAGGGAAGGAAGGGAAAGAAAGAAAGAAAGAAAGAAAGAAAAGAAAGAAAGAAAGAAAGAAAGAAAGAAAGAAAGGGCAAGAAAGACAGAAAATAAAGAAATAAAATATGAATTGGAGAAAGAAGGTAAATGAGAAAAGGAGTTATTTAAGCAAAGAGCATTATGATGAGAATATAGAAATATTAGAAAAGAAAAAGGTTCTAATGATTAAATATTATAAGATTAATGATATAAAAGACAAAACAGAGGGAATAAGTAAATAAGAGTGAGCGTTTAATGAGATAAATGTAGTGAATGAAGACATTATATAAAATAGTGTCAAGGAAAATGAAAACGGGGAAAGGAAGTAAAGAGTTGATAAAGAAGAAATGTATACAAAGGAAGGAAAGAAGGAGAGAAAGAAGTAGGAAAAGAAAAAGGGGAAGGAAAGAAAGAGATAGAAGAGGAAGGAGAGAAAGAAAGAAAAAGGAAAGGAAGGAAAGAAAGAAAGAGGGAGTGAGGGAAGGAGAGAAAGGGAGGGAAGGAAGAAAGGAGAGAAAGATTGAGGAAAAGAAAAGGAGGGAAAGAAGGAGAGGTAAAGAAGGAAGAAGGAAAGAAAGAAAGAGAAAGAGGGAGGGCAAGAAAAAAGAAAAGAGAGAAGGAAGGATGGAAGTAAAGAGTAAAGGAAGGAAAGAAGGAGAGAAAGAAGTAGGAAAAGAAAAAGGGAGAAGGAAGGAAAGAGTTAGAATAGGAAGGAGAGAAAGAAAAAAGAAGGAAAGAGAAGGAAAGAGGGAGAGAAGGAAGGAGGTAGGGAAGGAAGAAATGAGAGAAAGAAGAAAATAAAGAAAAGAGGGAAGGAAGGAAAGGTAGAAGGAAGGAGAGAAAGAAGAAAGAAAGGATGGAAGAAAGAAGGAAAAGAAGGAAGATGGAAGTAAAGAGAGAAGGAAAGAAGGAGAAGAAAGAAGGAAAGAAAAGAGAGAAGGAAGCAAAGGAAGAAAGAGAGAAAGTAAGGTAGAGTAAATAAAAAATGAAGGAAGAAATAAATAGTGTATCGAGTGAAGATATAAAAGGTATGGAAAGGGGATTTAAGGAAGAAATGTCCGATAAATAGCTAGGAAAATAAAAATTTTGAAGGAAGTAAATAGGTATTAAATTAAGAAATTATATAAATAGAGAGGTCAAGAAAGAATGTAAAGATAGAAGAAAGACTTAATCAAAGATCAAAGATAATTAAGTAAGGAATAATGTAAGAATTATTAATTAATTAAGGAATTGAAGGAAGGAATGAAGAGAAAGAAGGAAAGGGAAAGGAAGAAAGGAGAAAAAGTAGAAGGAAAAGAAAAAAGGAGGAAGGAAGAAAGATGGAGCGAAAGAAGGAGAGAAAGAGGGAGGGAAGGTTGGCCACAGCAACATATGGCGGGTACAGCTAGTAGTTATATATAATAATAACTATTATTATTATTATTATTATTATTATTATTATTATTATGTCTAATATCTCAGGCCTTTGGGAAGAGCCTGATATTCAGAGACGAACTCCAGACACTTGGACCTAATAACACTAAAAATATAATACCAGCTGTTAGGAATTATGGGAGTGGAAGTCCCATAATGGCCTGCCTGCCCTGGCCTCTTTGCATAGCCTCCTTGTTGCTGCCTTTGCATAGCAGCACTCCTGCTTTCAAAGCAATGCAGGAGAGCCAGGCCATGCGCTAGATCTCACCCTGCTCCCAAAGGATGATTTATTGGACCCAAAGGATAAAGATTATTGTTTTTGTTTCCAAACAAGAAACCCGATCCTGGCTTTCCAGGCAGCGGAGCTCCAAAAGGGACCCGGGGAATTCTGCCTGGAGGTTTTTTGCTTGACGTCGATGGAAAGTCTGTGTCACTCACTGCTTGCAAAGCAAAAAATGGTCCGCTTTGGTCAATGCTTTGAGGCACCTTTGAAGTCGGCGCAGGTCTGCCTTTAAAGGGATGCGGTGGCTTTGCGAAAAATAATTCTCACGAAAGTTAATTCCTTTCTGTCATTAGAAAAATATGGCGAAGGCAGGCCGGGGTGCATGTTTGCGTCTGGGAATGCGGGAGGGAGGAAAGCAAGGAGGTCGTGGCGCACTGGTGCATGTCTGGGCATGATGCGCCTCCAAGGGGCTCTGGGGCCATTCATTACTGCAGGAACCTAACTCTATCCCTGATTTCTTTAAATGAAATAGCATAGAATTGTAAAGTCGGAAGGAGCCCCCAAGGCCATCCAGTCCAACCCCATTCTGTTATTCAGGACACTATCAAACCCCTCCCAACAGATGGTCAACTGGTCTCTGCGTAACAACCTCCAAAGACTCCTATGGACTCCAATACACGCTGGGTCATTTTACGCTAATTCAAGCTAAGCCTCTCAATTTCTTATGTAAACATCTAGGTCTCAAAGTAAATTTCAATCTGATACTTTAGGAAGAATGTCCCAAAGCAATTCACAACAGATAGATATAAAATATTATAAAATATATATTATTAAATAAAATATACACATATTGTATAATTTATTTACCATTTTATGATGCCATTGCATTTAATATATATATTTTTAATTCAAGAAAGTAAACTTTGATTTTACAATTTTGTATAAAGTGATAATATTTTATGACACCATAGAATTTTATATATATATAGAGAGAGAGAGAGAGAGAGAGGGAGAGAAAATAAAGTATATATTTTTAAAATTTCGCACACACACACACACACACACATATAATTTTCAGAAAAGCAATCTTTGATTTTACCATTTTGTACAAACAGATAGTATTTTTTGGCGCCACTGCTTTTGGGACTTGAGCATCCAGGATCTTGGTCCTTGAACCAAATCTTAGCAAATACCACTGTTTGCAGGGAAGATACTAATACTAATACTAATAATAAATGTGAACTCTTCGTTAACTGGAACTCTTAGCAACTGGCTAAGGTTTACTGACTGCCATTTAACTCAAACTGCATTCAGAAAGCCGTTTCCATAATGCAGTAAAACTGTGTTACATTAAGTTTGCCTTAATTTGCTTTTTATAACTGTATTTCATGATGAATATCAAGTCGGAGCCCTGGTGGCGCTGCGGGTTAAACAGTTGAGCTGCGGAAGTTGCTGACTGAAAGGCGGGCGGTTTGAATCCAGGGAGCAGGGTGAGCTCCTGCTGATAGCCCCAGCTCCTGCCAACTTAGAAGTTTGAAAACATGCAAGTGTGAGTAGATCAGTAGGTACAGGTTCTGTGGAAAGGTAACGGCACTCCATGCAGTCATGCCGGTGACCATATGACCTTGAAGGTGTCTACGGACAACACCAGCTCTTCGGCATAGAAGTGGAGATGAGCACCAGAGTCCCAGAGTCAGACATGACTAGACTTAATGTCAGGGGAAACATATAGCTTTTGTGTGTGTGTGTGCGCGCGCACTGGGATTGTGACACAGCTGGCTGGGAGTTAACAGCATTAAGATCACTACTGACCAAAAGGTCATGAGTTCGAAGCCAGCCCAGATTGGAGTGAGCTTCCGACCAATTTTGTGTAGCTTGCTGTTGACCTTTGCAGCCTGAAAGACAGTTACATCTGTCAAGTAGGAAATTTAGTTACTGTGTATGCGGGGAGCCAAATGTAACTAATTTACGAGGGCATAAAAATCTCCAGCAAGCATGCAAAGAATGAGGAAGTACTTCATCAGTGTCACTAATGGTCGGTGAAGGGACAGCTCCCCTGGTGGCCATAATACCTTCAAGAAAAGCTGGAATGATAAATTGCCTCTGTGTCTGTTTATATGAGTCCCCTGCGGGGTCAGAAGGGCAGAATATTATTTTTATATATATATATATATATATGCAGAAGAATGTTTGTACCTTGTCTCCTGGTTGCGGCCGCATCACAGAGACCCGGTCGTAGCCTTTTCTCAGCAAAACCCACAAAGCATCTAATTTTCCCTGCAAAGACAAGGCAAAGAGCTTACAAAACCCACAGATTGAACATAAACATGAACATTTATTTAACGTAAAATAGCATTAACATAACACCAAATAATTTCATGGGGTGCATGGACACTGCAGAGTGAACGAACTTTGAGACTAATTGAAGTGCCATGGCTTAATGCAATGAGATGCTGGGATGTGTAGTTTGGCAAGGCCCCAGCATTCTTGGGCCAAACAGGCCTTGGAAAGCTACAACTTCCAGGACCCCATAGCATAGAGAAAATGGACAAACTGCATTAATTCTACAGTGCAAATGCAGTTAAGCAATGAACAAGAAAACAATGCAAAGCTGTAAACTTGCTTTCTATAAATTCCCATGGAATCTAGTTTTTGCTAGCTTTTTGTTTGTTTTTTACAAAAATTAAATAACACAATTGATTTTCAAAGCAATGCATAGAAATCCCAGGTTCCTGAATTCACGTGCTTAAAGACTACTAAGATGCAATTTGCTACGTAATGATGGAACGAAAAGGTTGTCTTCAGCCAGGGGCCTCCCAGGCTCCGGGGAGGTTTCTGCACCAATAAGTATTATAGAATCATAGAGTTGGAAGAAATCAACCCCATTCTGTCAAGAAGCAGGACAATCACGTTCAAAGCACCCCTGACAGATGACTATCCAGCCTCTGCTTAAAAGCCTCCAAAAAAGGCGCCTCCGCCACACTCTGGAGCAGAGAGTTCCATTGCTGAACAGCTCTCACAGTCAGGAAGTTCTTCCTCATGTTCAGGTGGAATCTCCTTTCTTTCCTGTAGTTTGAAGCCATTGCTCCATTGTGTCCTAGTCTCCACGGCAGTAGAAAACAAGCTTACTATCTAGGACTTCCTCTCACATATTTATACATGGCCATCATGTCTCCTCTCAGCAGGGAGGAGAGCCTGCACATAGATGAATGGATGGCTAGATGGATGGATAGATGAATGGATGAATAGATTGATAGATGGATGAGTTGGTGGGTGGGTGGATGATTAGATGAATAGATGGCTAGATGGATGGACAGATGGCTAGATAGATGGATGGCCAGATGGATGAATAGACTGATAGATGTATGGATGGATAGATAGATAAATGGGTGGGTGGGTGGGTGGGTGGATCCATAGATGGATGGATGGATGGATGGGTGGGTGAGTGGGTGGGTGGGTGGGTGGGTGGATGGATGGACGGACGGACAGGTGGGTGGATGAATAGATGGGTAGATGGTTGGATAGATGGAAGGATGGATGAATAGATTGATAGATGGATGGATGGATAGATGGATGGATGGATGGATGGATGGATGAGTGGGTGGGTGGATGGATGGATGGATGGATAAGTGAGTGGGTGGGTGAGTGGGTGGGTGAGTGAGTGAGTGAGTGGGTGGGTGGATAGACAGACAGACAGACAGATGGATGAATGGGTGAATAGATGGCTGGCTGGCTGGCTGGCTGGCTGGATGGATGGATGAATGGGTGGGTGGGTGGATAGATGGATGGATGGATGGAATGAGTGGGTGGGTGGATAAATAGATAGATAGATGGATGGATGGATGGATGGATGGATGGATGGATGGATGGATGGATGGATGGATGGGTGAATAGATGGCTTGATGGATGGATGGGTGGGTAGATGAATAGATTGATAGATGAATGGGTGGATGGATGGGTGAATAGATGTATGGATAGATAGATGGATGGATTAATAAATGGATGGATGGATGGATGGATAGTACAGTACTGCTCTGCACTTGGAAATTGCAGGATGGCGACCATGTGGAGAAAGGGTCACCCTTCCATTGGGAAAGTTTAGAAAGAAGTATTCTTGGCCGCAAGAGCCATGGGTTGCAGTTCTATTAAATCTAGAACTCAACCTTCTGATTAGACGCATACCTTGATGGGGGAGTACCACTTGTGCGGGGAGGAGGGCCTGCGCATGCCTCCCCCCAGGCTCCGGGGCTCCGGGAACTCGAACTCCTGCTCCGGCATCTTGACCCGGGCATTCTTGGCCTTCTCCAGCTTGGCCCCCTCCTCCGTCGAGCCCCGCTCGCCCCAGCGCACCTAGCAACAGAGCATTACTGAATAATAAGAGTGGGAAGAGACCTCTTCAGTCCACCTAATCCACCCCCTTCTTTCTGCTAGGCAGGAAATAATAATAATAATAATTATAGACTACTAGAGTGGTAAGAGACCCCCAAAGGGCATCCAGTCCACCTCCTTTGCCATGCAGGAAAAGCACAATAAAACACACACCCCACAAGTGGCCATCCAGTCTCAATAATAATAATAATAATAATAATAATAATAATAATAATAATAATAACAACAGACTGCTAGAGTTGGGAAAGAGCATCAAAGGGCATCTAGTCCAACCTCCCTTCTGCCTCTATGCAGGAAATAATAATTGACATTTTTAATAATAATAATAATAATAATAATAATAATAATAATAATAATAGTCCATTTAAACAATAATATTTCCATTTCAAATAATTGCCATTTATAATAAGTCATTTATATAATAATCATTGTCATTTTAAATAATAATAATGCCATCTAATAATAATTATCATCATTACTTATTTTTCACCTAATATTTCATCACAATTTGGGACAATCGTTCTCAGAATCTCCCCTGCCAAAAATAATGTAATCCAAAAGAGTAGTTTTTGGAAGCTTTAAATATCATAATGCAAATCACGTTAGCATGAAAATGACACTAATACAGTTACACAATAATAATAATAATAATAATAATAATAATAATAATAATAATAATAAGGTTACAAAACCCCCAAAGGTCATCCATCAAAGCCCTCTTAAATTGATTTTGTATGCAAGTCGGAACAGGGACATTTTTTATGCCAAATATTTGGGGAGTGTCCAGTCTCTCCAACTTAGTGTCACCTTGCTGTGATCCTCAGGTGTTAAGAACAAAACCTGAAGTGAATCCAGCACCGAAGTGGACCGCATTGGGCCCTGCTCCTTGGGATCTAGACCTCCCTTTACCTCCATGCGCTTGATGCCGCCGACGCCACGTCCGCCATAATACGAGGCATCGACGGTCGGCCATTTCTTCTTGGGAAGACCGTCATCATCTTCCTCCTGAAGAAAACAACAGAAAAGAAAGCTGTTTGTCTTGCTTTTTATAGCTCTTTTTTTTTGCAAAGCACTACAAACATCAATGGGACTATGCACATAAATGGTAACTTTGCAAAGGACTGCGTGCATCGATATTGCAATATAAATAAATGGCAACAAAAACAGCAAGAATGCAGGCAGGATGAGATAAGAAGATCATGGCCCTGTGATTGGAACCCATGATGTCAAACTCAATTCAGTTATGTAGGATATACATAAATATACATATACATATACATATACATATATATATATATATATATATATGCAAAAATATGCCAGGGATAAAGGAGAAACGAGGAATGTGCAGATAGATTCCATATATCTATCTATCTATCTATCTATCTATCTATCTATCTATCTATCTATCTATCTATCATATCAGGAATATATCTGCACATTCCTCGTGCTCTAAGATCTTCTGGGGATGCTCTCCTGTTGTAGTTCAGCGTGATGCTCAAGTTGCTACTCCTAGTAGCAGGGAAAACGGGTCTCCTTTAGAGTCAGAAGGGGAACAGCAACGTCAGCACATTAGAGAAATCATTATGGCTCCAAGCGATACTGTCACGTTCCCAGGTTTCTCTGATTGGGGAATGGGGAATGGGGAAGGGAGCAGAGGTGTAAAGAGGGCTGCTCGGGAGCCAGAGTCTGAAGGGGAATTACAAAGGAAGTGTATTCGGGAAATACTTTGTGTGCCAACAGAGGATGAAGAATTCTTTGGGTTTGAAAGGAGTTCTGGGGCTGGGAGTGACATGGACGATGATGAAGAGTTAAATTGGACCCGTGTGCAAAACATAAGGGATATCTGTAACCAGCCCACCTCTAGTGAGGAATTTGAGGGGTTCACTGAAGATTGGCAGCCAGGCGACTCTTGGCAGGATCTGAATCCTGATACTCGTTGGCAGAGGTGGAGGGATGGGCATTCAGCTGCAGGCTTGGAAGCAGCTGGGAGTGATGATGAGAGGGTGGGGAGCTCATCAAGCTCCGACGACGAATGGTAAGATATAAGGGGGTTCAGTTTGAATTGCAAGTTGCAGAAGGCAAAGTGTCTTCTTGGGGACATAAGTCTTTGTATCTGCCAACTCTCCCCGTGGGTCCTGGGCTTTAGCTCCGTGTGTTCCTGTGCTCCTGCTTCCTGAGTGACTTCTACGTTCCAGCTTTGCTTCTCTACAGAACTGACTATGGACTGGTTTGACTTCGCTTTTGGACTTCTGGACTTTGTCTGCTAATATCTTTGTGACTTTAACAACTTTCAGTTTTGAAACAACGTTCTTTCAACTTTATAGACTGTGTTCTTGCTACATTTTGATTTTTAAGCAAATTGCTTCATCTTTAGTTTAATCCGGATTAAGAGGCAGCACTTTAATCCGGATTATATTTTAGTTGCTCCTATTGACTTGTTTTTGGTGCGAAATTGCTCCAGCAGACTTTAGCACTGCAGTTAAGTTCTTTTCAAGACTTTTTGTTTACAATAAAGCTGTGTTTGAACCTTTGATTTGTGTCTGGCGTTTTTAAAGGCTTCTGGGTTCTGACATCTCCTCTCGGTCCCACCTCCATCTTGGTGGGGATGAGAGAGAGGGCCTTCTCAGTGGTGCCCCCCCACCTCTGGAATGCCCTTCCAAGGGAGATAAGACAGGCCTCGTCCCTCCTCTCCTTTCGTAAGAGCTTGAACACCTGGTGGTTTCAACAAGCCTTTGAAAATGTCCAGTTCTAATTCAGCCCTACGCATTGTCGAATACGGCCTTATTCTTCCTACCAATTACCCAGATTCTTTCCTCTAATCGGCGCCGGAATGAACAGCCACAGTCCCGTACCGAATATTTGGGACCTGCCTACCTGCGTGACCGCATCTCCGCTTACGAACCCACGCGCTCACTTCGTTCATTCGGAGAGGCCCTGCTCACGATCCCACCTGCGTTGCAGGCGCGTTTGGTGGGGACGAGAGACAGGGCCTTCTCTGTGGTTGCCCCCCGACTTTGGAACACCCTACCCAAAGACATTAGACTAGCACCCACATTGGCAGTCTTTAGGAAGAACTTGAAGACCTGGCTATTCCGATGTGCCTTTCTAGAATAGGATAACCCCTAGCACTATGTTCCAGAAGCACTTTACTAGAGTTTAAGACTCTCTGCACATTGTACTTGCCCAGAATTCCAACATATCACCTCTCACACTCAGCACTTTTTAATCTGTACCCATCATTGGCCCGGCCCTGGTCTTATTGCGTAATAGTGTAATGTTTTGTTATTGCTTATGTTTTAAATTTGCTTTGTATCGTATTGTTATTGTCTGTTGTTGTTGTGTTGAGGCCTTGGCCTTTGTAAGCTGCATCGAGTCCTTCGGGAGATGCTAGCGGGGTACAAATGAAGTTTAATAATAATAATAATAATAAAATTATTGTTGCCTGCCATAGCATTGCACTTAATTCCCGGACCCCCTAGAATTTTCGGGCTTGCACAAATCTTGGCCCAGCCTTTTATATTTTTTTAATTGCCTTGACCATGCAGGATTACTTTTAATATATGTGTGTTATGGCGACAATTTTTATGCTTATACAGGGTTAGTCAAAATGAATAGGCCAATAAGAAAATTAATTTTAGACGAATGTATGTTTACTGTAACCAAACCACAGCTACGTAGCGACAGATAAACTATCAAAGTTTTTTTTGAGCAACACACATGTACGTTAATGCCGCTAGGCGTCGCTAGGGGTCGCTGTTTTCAAAATGGCGGAATCAAGCAAAGAGAAGGCGTTTTGTGTGATGACATTTGCTAAAACAATGTCAGTAATTACGGTCCAGCGAGAATTTCAAGGGTTAGGGGTAGGGTTAGGGTTAGGGTTAGGGTTAGGGTTAGGGTTAGGGTTAGGGTTAGGGGTAGGGTTAGGGTTAGGGTTAGGGTTAGGGATAGGGTTAGGGTTAGGGTTAGGGTTAGGGTTAGGGTTAGGGTTAGGGTTAGGGTTAGGGTTAGGGTTAGGGTTAGGGTTAGGGTTAGGGGTAGGGTTAGGGTTAGGGATAGGGTTAGGGTTAGGGTTAGGGTTAGGGTTAGGGTTAGGGTTAGGGTTAGGGATAGGGTTAGGGTTAGGGTTAGGGTTAGGGATAGGGTTAGGGTTAGGGTTAGGGATAGGGTTAGGGTTAGGACCTCAACGAACACCTTCCCAGACATTGCTGCATTCGATGCCATTACGTCGGATGTGCTGCAACGGATGTGGAATGAACTGGACTATCGCTTGGACATCTGCCGTGTCACACGGGGCGCCCATATCGAACATCTCTGAAGGTGAGACAAAACTTTGATAGTTTATCTGTCGCTACGTAGCTGTGGTTTGGTTACAGTAAACATACATTCGTCTAAAATTAATTTTCTTATTGGCCTATTCATTTTGACTAACCCTGTATTTTGTTAATCTTATGGTTATGTTGTGTTTTTTACTTTGTATGTTTTGTGATGTTACCTGGGAACTGCTCTGAGTCCCCTCGGGGAGATGGAGCGGTATATAAGTAAATTTATTATTATTATTATTATTATTATTATTATTATTGGATTGTTGTAGGTTTTTCCAGGCTATATGGCCATGTTCTGGAGGCAATTTTTCTCTGACGTTTCGCCTGCATCTATGGCAAGCATCCTCAGAGGTAATGAGGTCTGTTGGAACTAGGAAAAATGGGTTTATATATCTGTGGAATGACCAGGGTGAGACAAAGGACTTTTGTTTGCTGGGGCTAGGTGTGAATGTTTCAGCTGATCCACCTTGATTAGCATTTAATGGCTTGGAAGTGCCTGGGGGAATCTTTCTTTGAGAGGTGATTTGATGTGCCTGATTGTTTACTCTGTTGTTTTGCTGTTGAAATTTTGAGTTTTTTAATAATGGTAGCCAGATTTTATTCATTTTCATGGTTTCTTCCTTTCTGTTGAAATTGTCCATATTGAATTGAGTAATTATTGCTTAATTTAATCAAGGTGGGTCAGGAAACCAGCACTTGGATTCCCCCCAGGCCCTTCCAAGCCATTGAATGCTAATCAAGGTGATCAGCTGAAACATTCACAGCTAGCCCCAGCAGACAAAAGTCCTTTGTCTCACCCTGGTCATTCCACAGATATATAAACCCATTTTTCCTACTTCCAACAGACCTCACTACCTCTGAGGATGCTTGCCATAGATGCAGGCGAAACGTCAGGAGAAAAATTGCCTCCAGAACATGGCCATATAGCCCAGAAAAAACCTACAACAACCCAGTGATTCCGGCCATGAAAGCCTTCGACAATACATTATTATTATTATTATTATTATTATTATTGGCAAAAGTACTATTGTTTTGTAAATGCAACCATTGTTTTGCAAAGGCAACCAATCTAAACCAAGCCAATGATATGACGCCTCAATGGACCACCAGGCATATCTGATGCGCCTTGGTTGCATTCCAGCATTGCACCTCATTTCTTTCTTAAGCCGTTGGCCCAGAACGAGGGCTGCGATTTCCGGAAAAGTGCATTTAAGGAGTCATAAAAGTCAGAATCTAATCTGGAAAAAAAGAGGAGGAAAATTCCTCCTTGACCCACATTTTCTTTGTAAAAGGAAGGCAGAAAACAATGTTTGCAGCCAGGCTTTATCCGTCATGATTTCTGGCTCCTTTGCAAAGGGCTCCGGTTGCAAAGATTTGGAAGCATTGGGCCTTAAGGAGCATATTCAGTTGGCAACATCAGCATCATTTTAAATCCAATTGCAGCAAATGGAAAAACTAGGCACAAAAAACCAAGCAGGGAAGGAATCTGGCTGCTTTCGGGTTGCTTGAATTCAGCAAAATAATAGGTCTCCGTGGGTCTGAAAAGTGGCACAAAAATGCATTCATTCCTGGGTGTGGATGCACCGAAAGAGTGGCAGAAAACCTATATAGCACTGACCTCACTGTCTTCCATGGGAGGTGGAGGTGGCTCCTTGATGATCTGTATGTATAAAAGAAGAAGAAGAGTTGATACAGAAGCAAAGATCTTACAGACAATGGTTTAACTGCATTGAACAGAACGAAGGAGGGACTAGATGCCCTCTGGGGGCTCCTCTTCCAATTCCAGGATTGCCTTTGCTTGGATATGAACTGAGGCTGAGACCAGGCTTTCCCCCTTCTCTTTTTCCATAAAGGGGAGGGAAATGGGATGATGAAATAGGAAAAACGCCTCCAAATGCAGGAGGAGTTGCCTCGAAAGTGTCCTGTTTAGTTTCGGAAAATAGGATGGAATTTGGACCAATCAATGGGGCGGGACCCCAATTATAGGAATGTGTCCGTCCCTAAGCAACGTTTACATAAATTACAGCACCGAGGCTTCAATCCCACCGTGAACATTATTATTCCACAACTTCTTTATTTAATATATATTTCCCCCTATTTTCTCAATAAGGATAATTTCCCTCTCTGCTCTTTTCCAGTCTGGAAAGCAGGACATTCAGCTTCATTATTTCCTCTTATGTTTTGGGGAAAAGGGAGAAATTACATTACCATTGTTCCTTGGAGGTTGCAGATCCATGCCTGCGTTCCAAATGCAAATCAAGAGCATTCCACATAATCCAAAGCATTATTTTTCCTCCAAAACCGCAAGCCCCTGAAGAGTAAAATGGGTTGCGATTTGGCTTTAAATCAACCAGGTTCTTGGGAAGATGTATTTATTGATACTGATGTTATTCATTGCTGTCCCTTGAGGCTGAGAGAGTGTGCAAAGGAGGGAAGAACGTGGCTCTAAAAGCTGAAACGGGATTCCTGGTGAGTCATAAGACTTGGAAGGGACCCCCAAAGGCCATCTAGTCCATCCCCATCTGTTCCATATGGAATGGAGGAATATAAATACTGTAAATAAATAAATAAATAGTCAAAACTCTTTCATTCTGCCATGCAGGAAAAATACAATCAAAGCACTCTGGACAGATGGCCATCCAGTCTCTGCTTAAATAACAATAATAATAATTGGAAGGGACCTCTCCAGCATGTGGCGTAATGGTAATAATAATATTAATAATACTACCCTAGATCTGGAAGGGACCCCCAAAGGCCATTCAGTCCATCTGCATTCAGTTCCATGCAGGAAGACACCATTCAAAACAACAGATTGTCACCCAACCTCTGCTTCATAATAATAATAATAATAATAATAATAATAATAATAATAATAATAATAATAATAGAATCCTAGAGTTGGAAGGAACTCCATCCAATTATGTGCCATGCAGGAAGGCACCAATCCTTGCCTTCAGATGGTGACCCAACCTCTACATAATAATAATAATAATAATAATAATAATAATAGTAGTAGAAGTAGTAGTAATAGTAGTAATAATAATAGAATCCTAGAGTTGAAAGGGACCCACCAAGATCCATCTATTCCAAACCCGTACGTAGGAAGACAACATCCAATCCTTCCCTACAGACGACCACCCAACCTCTGCTTCATAATAATAATAATAATAATAATAATAATAATAATAATAATAGAATCCGAGAGTTGAAAGGGACCCACAAAGGTCAATGAGTCCAACCCCATTCTGTTCTATGCGGGAAGACACCATCCAATCCTTCCCTACAGATGACCACCCAACCTCTATAATAATAATAATAATAATAATAATAATAATAATAATAATAATAATAATAATAGAATTTGAAAGTTGAAAGGGACCCTCAAAGGTCATCCAGTCCAACACTATCCTGTTCTGTGCAAGAAGACACCATCCAATCCTTCCCTACAGGTGACCATCCAATCTCTACTTTATAATAGTAGTAGTAGTAGTAGTAGTAGTAATAATAATAATAATAATAATAATAGAATTCGAAAGTTGAAAGGGACCCCCAAAGGTCATCCAGTCCAACCCTATCCTGTTCCATGCAGGAAGACACCATCCAATCCTTACCTTCAGATGGCCACCCAACCTCTGCTTCATAATAATAATAATAATAATAATAATAATAATAATAATAATAATAATAACAACAACAACATTCACACCTAGCTCCAGCAGACAAGACTCCTTTGTCCCACCCTGGTCATTCCACAGATATATAAACCCTTTTTCCTAGTTCCAACAGACCTCACCACCTCTGAGGATGCTTGCCATTGATGCAGGCAAAACGTCAGGAGAAAATGCCTTTAGAACATGGCCATATAGCCCGAAAAAACCTATAACAACCCAGTGATTCTGGCCATGAAAGCCTTTGACAATACAATAATAATAGAATCCTAGAGTTGAAAGGGACTCACAAAGATCCATCTATCCCAACCCCGTTCTGTTCCATGTGGGAAGACAACATCCAATCCTTCCCTACAGATGACCACCCAACCTCTGCTTCATATTAACAACAACAACAACAACAACAATTGAAAGGGAGCCACAAAAGTCATCCATTCTAACCCTGTTCTGTTCCATACAGGAAGACACCATTCAAAACAACAGATAGCATCCAACCTCTGCTTAATAATAATAATAATAATAATAATAATAATAATAATAATAATAACAATAATAGAATCCTAGAGTTAAATGGAACCCACAAAGGTCAACCAGTCCAGCCATAATAATAATAATAATAATAATTATTATTATTATTATTATTATTATAGAATCTGAGAGTTGAAAGGGACCTACAAAGGTCATTGAGTCCAACCTCATTCTGTTCTATACGGGAAGACACTATCCAATCGTTCCCCATCCCAACCTCATCCTGTTCTATGCAGGAAGACACCATCCAGTCCTTCCCTACACATGACCATCCAACCTCTACTTTATAATAATAATAATAATAATAATAATAATAATAATAATAATAATAATAGAATTCGAAAGTTGAGAGGGATCCTCAAAGGTCACCCAGCCCAACCCTATCCTGTTCTATGTGGGAAGACACCATCCAATCCTTCCTTACAGATGACCATCCAACCTCTACTTTATAATAATAACTATTATTATTATTATTATTATTATTATTATTATTATTATTATTATTATGTTGAAAGGAAACCCCAAAGGCCACCTAATTCAACGCCATTCTGTTCCATAGAGGAAGACACCATCCAAAACAAGCGGTGGCATCCTACCTCTGCTCCATAATAATAACAACAACAACAACAACAATAATAATAATAATAATAGAATCCTAGCGTCAAAGGGACCTCAAAGGTCATCCAGTCCACCCCCAATCTATTTCATGCAGGAAGATACCATTTAACCCTTCCTCTGCTTAGAAACCTCCAGAAACGGACACCCCACCAGACTCCCAGGCTGTCCATATTCCGCAAAATGTGGAAGGGGCCTCAAAGGTCATCTAGTCTCCTTCAAGAGGAGTTCAAAGAAATGCCAAGGGCTTACCACAGTGCAGCAGAGGGGCCAGAACCACCAGAGGAGTGCCAAGGCCAGAAGCAGGAAGAGGATCAGCAGCACCAAGGCCAGGATCGTCCCATCCGACTGCATGGAGAAAAGAGAGATGTAGTTCGCTCAAAACGACTGCCGCTCCGTACTGCCTAATTAACACAGTTTGGTCCCACTTTTAACTGCCATGGGACCCTGGGAGATGCTTTAGTTTGGTGATGCAGAGATGGCTAAACACCTTGGGAAACTACAACTCCCTCAATGCCATGGCCTTCAGCGATGGCAGTCCAAGCACCCAATACAGTTTCTGTTTCCACCAGAAGTCATCAATTCCATAGAGTTTGATATCAATGGCAGCACCAAGAGGCATGTCTGTCCAATGCTCAGCAAGACATTATCCGCAATCAGAGGACAGCAGACAACGCAAAACCACAATCTGCAAAAGGATGTAGTTTTCCCTGCCGCTGCTTCCAATTAAATGCAAGCTGCACTGAATGAGAATATATATATTATATTACAAATAATAACAATTAATATAATAATAATAATAATAATAATAATAATAATAATAATAATAGGAGCTAGAGGCACAACTGTCCAATGCTTTGCAAGACATTCTCTGTATCCCAGACAATGCAAAATCACAATCTGCAAATTATTTCCAATGAAATTCAAGCTGTGCTGAATGAGAAAAAAATACAACAACAACAACAATAAAGTTTTCCCTACCATTGTTTCCAATTAAATGCAAGCTGTACTGAATGAGAATAAATATATTATATCACAAATAATAAATATAATAATTATAAGTATAATAATAATGGGAGCTAGAGGCACAACTGTTGAATGCTTTGCAAGACATTCTCTGTATCCCAGACAATGCAAAAACACAATCTGCAAATTATTTCCAATTAAATGCAACCTGTGCTAAATGAGGAAAAATAGATTATATAAATAATAGTAATAATAATAATAGCAGCAGCTAGAGGCACAACTGTCCGATGCTTTGCAAGACATTCTCTGTATCCCAAACAATGCAAAATCACAATCTGCAAATTATTTCCAATGAAATTCAAGCTGTACTGAATGAGAAAAAATACAATAATAATAATAATAATAATAATAAAGTTTTCCCTACCATTGTTTCCAATTAAATACAAGCTGTGCTGAATGAGAATAAATATATTATATCACAAATAATAATTAATATAATAATTATAAGTATAATAATAATAATGGGAGTTAGAGGCACAACTGTCCAATGCTTTGCAAGACATTCTCTATATCCCAGACAATGCAAAAACACAATCTGCAAATTATTTCCAATTAAATGTGCTAAATGAGGAAAAATATATTATATAAATAATAGTAATAATAATAATAACAGCAGAGGCACACCTGTCTAATGCTTTGCAAGACATTCTCTGTATCCCAAACAATGCAAAATCACAATCTGCAAATTATTTCCAATGAAATTCAAGCTGTGCTGAATGAGAAAATAATAATAATAATAATAATAATAATAATAATAAAGTTTTCCCTACCATTGTTTCCAATTAAATGCAAGCTGTGCTGAATGAGAATAAATATATCATATCACAAATAATAATTAATATAATAATTATAAGTATAATAATAATAATGGGAGCCAGAGGCACAACTGTCCAATGCTTTGCAAGACATTCTCTATATCCAGATAATGCAAAATCACAATCTGCAAATTATTTCCAATTAAATGTGCTAAATGAGGAAAAATATATTATATAAATAATAGTAATAATAATAATAGCAGCAGCAAGAGGCACACCTGTCCAATGCTTTGCAAGACATTTTCTGTAGGAGAGAAGACAATGCAAAACCACAATCTGCAAAAGGAGCCAATTTTCCCTACAATTGTTTCCAATTAAATGCAATCTGTGCCGAACGCGAGCAAGACATCAGTCGGAAACGTCAGTGCTTGCTTTGAAGAGGAGCGTGGAACATCAATAAATGTCTATGGGCTGGTTGCTATTTTTATGAGCAGATGGGGTGCACAGTTGCGCTGCGGAAAGAGAGGACGGTTCCAAAAATAATGCGCCTTTTTCTAGGAAGGAAAAGATGGCCATATCTTGCTTTTTCCTATAATTATTATTATTTATTATTTCACAGTTTTCTATACCGAGCTTCTCAACCTCATTGAGGGACTCAGCCCGGTTTCCAGCCATAAAAAACATATACACTCATTAAAATATCATATATCACAATTACAAAAACAACTTTAAAAACACTATATATAAAACTACAGTGGTCAGTCGTCCTATTAAGATGGATCTACCTCAACTTCCATCCAGGGTCCTATGGTGTTGTCTCATTCATCGAAGGCCTGACTCCACAGCCACGTCTTCACCCGTTTCCTAAATGTTAGGATGGATGGGGCGGTTCTGGCCTCCAGAGGGAGAGAGTTCCAGAGTCGCGGGGCCACCACTGAGAAGGCCCTGTCCCTCGTCCCCACCAGGTACGCTTGCGAGGCCGGTGGGACCGAGAGCGGGGCCTCTCCAGATGATCTTAATAATCTTGATGGTTCGTAGGGGAGAATACGTTCAGAGAGGTAAACAGGGCCAGAGTCGTTTAGGGCTTTATAGGTCAACACCAGCACTTTGAATTGTGCTCGGAAGCGAATTGGCAGCCAGTGGAGCTGGCGTAACAGCGGAGTGGTGTGCTCCCTGTACCCAGCCCCCATTAGTAATCTGGCTGCCACGCGTTGGACTTGCTGCAGCTTCCGGGCAGTCTTCAAAGGCAACCCCACGTAGAGAGCGTTGCAGTAGTCTAAGCGGGATGTAACCAAAGCGTGTACTACCGTGACCGAGTCAGCCCTACACTATTCATACACAATTGATATAGAGAAAGGCAGACTGTTGTTGTTATTATTTAGGGGGTGCAGGCAGGCACAATGCATAAGAAACAATGGAAGAAATGCCTCCACATTCTGCCTCCAAACAGACCTTGGAACCAAGAGAGATTACAGCCAGCAGAGTGATCTTGTTTGCTTTGTACTAATCTTGTTGTGTTTCTAATAATAATAATAATAATAATAATAATAATAATAATAATAATAATAATAGTTTGAAGGGAGTGCTGCAGGCAGGCACGATGCACAAAGAACACCTTAATCTTAAAGAAATATTTCAGATTAAGGCCGGACAAAAGCATCAGACGAATGCATTCTTGTGCTCTTGCCAGGGTTTATTATGCTGAAGCCTCCCAGGCCCATTCTCCATGCATTCCTAAGAAGCAAGATGTCTCTGCAGCATTTCTATCATAAATGAATGCATGGACCAGACCTCTTATTTTTGCTTTTTGTAACTGGAACAATCTGGGTCCATAAAAGAAGGAAATGAAAAGCCAAGGGCTGCCTGCCAGCCACCTTGGATTCTTGCTTTCTGGTTTATAGGACTGCAGAAAAACAGCTTGTAAAATGCCTGGAAAGCGTGCCGTACCCACAGCTGCATCTACACTGCAGACTTAATGTGGTTTGGTACCACTTCACAAGGCTTTTGAAACAACTGAAGTTGTAGTTTTGCAAGGTCTCCTCCGCCCAAAGGGTGCCAAACTACAACTCACAGGACTGCATAGCATTGAGCTTGTTATAGCATTGAGCTTGTTACAGTTTTTGTTATTATTATTATTATTATTATTATTGATAGGTTTTAATTATATAGGTGGAGCCCCCGGTGGCGCGGTGGGTTAAACCCCTGTGCCGGCAGGACTGAAGGTCGCAGGTTCGAATCCGGGGAGAGGCAGATGAGCTCCCTCTATCAGCTCCAGCTCCTCATGTGGGGACATGAGAGAAGCCTCCCACAAGGATGATAGGTTTATGGAGGGTAATACATTTATAATTCATATTATTATTATTATTATTATTGATTTTAATTATTATAGGCAGGCCAATACAATTATTATTAGTTACCAATTGAGCACCGGATCATTTTCAAAGTGATGGTACTCACCTTTAAGGCCTTGCATGGTCTGGGGCCGATGTACCTGAGGGACCACCTCACCCCCTACCAACCCCAGAGATCCCTCCGTTCTGAGGACCAAGATCTATTGGAAGTCCCCAGTGTCAAGACCTTGCATCTAACAGCAACCAGACGCAGAGCCTTCACAGCAGTGGCACCATCGCTCTGGAATACTCTGCCACCTGAAGTCCGTGCCTTGTGGGACTTACCAGCTTTCCGCAGGGCATGTAAGACATACCTGTTTTGACAGGCTTTTAATGTTTGATACTGCTGTGTTTAAATTGTTTTAAATTGCTTTTAAATTTTGTTAGATTTTAGTCATTCTTGTAAGCCGCTCCGAGCCCCAGGGGAGTGCCGGCAAATAAGTTCAAATAATAAATAAATAAATACATCTATTATTATTATTATTATTATTATTATTATTATTACTATTATTATTATTATTATTATTATTATTATTATTATTGATGGATTTTAATTATTACAGGCTGGCCAATACAATTATTATTATTATTATTATTAGGTTTTATGGAGGGTAATACATGTATTATTATTATCATCATTATTTCAAACACAACAAGATGAGTCCACAGCAGACACTCTGCTGGCTGTTGTATTGGATCACAGCTGGCAGATGGTAATTTTGTCAACGCCGATTGTGTTTACGTGCAGGCCAAGGTCTTTAGGCACTGTACCCAGTATGCCGATCACCACTGGGACCACCTTGACTGGCTTGTCACAGAGTCTTTGCAGTTCGATCTTTAAATTCTCATATCGTATTATTATTATTATTATTATTATTATTATTAGTGAAGACCTGGATGTTTGTGCAGGCGTTTGAGTAATTTAGTGCAATCTGGTAATGGAACATAGGAATGGAACAATGGACGACGAACCTGGACTACGCTTGGATGATGAGAAGATTGGGTACGGTTGTTTTTTTGTAATAATTGTGCATTGTAATTGCTTATTGGTAATTTATGGATAATGTGTTAAGTCAATTGTTATATGTTGTATGGAACCACTGCTGTTTCTACTGTTTTTACTGTTTGTGAACCGCTGTGAGTCGCCTTCGGGCTTGAGATACAGCGGTATATAAGCAAAGTAAATAAATAAATAAATAAATCAATCAATAAAGGCAGGCCAATACTATTGTTGTTGTTGTTATTATTATTATTAGGTTTTATGGATAATACATTTATTAGTCCTGACGGCTCTTCATCATAGAGGATGGAGCGACAGCACCCCTTGTGGCTGGACTCGAGCCCAAAACAACTGGACACTGAGTCGAAACAACACACCTCCTTTCTGTTCTGTCTGTGTATTGTCTATATAAAGCAACATTCAATGTTTGCTGTGTATGTGTATTGTGATCTACTCTGAGTCCCCTTGGGGAGATAGGGAATATAAATAAAGTGTTGTTGTTATTATTATTATTATTGATGGGTTTTAATTATGATAGGTAGGCCAATATTATTATTATTATTATTATTATTATTATTATTAGAAACACAACAAGATGAGTCCACAGCAGACACTCTGCTGGCTGTTGTATTGGATCACACGTCAGACACTTCCCAAGTGTCTAGGACTGTGTGATGTATCGGCGAACAATGTGTGCAGATCCCAGTAAGGTGGCCTTTTACAGCTGGCAGATGGTAATCTTGACAGCGCTGATTGTGTTTAAGTGCAGACCAAGGTCTTTAGGCACTGCACCCAGTGTGCCGATCACCACTGGGATCACCTTTACTGGCTTGTGCCAGACTCTTTGCAGTTCGATCTTTAAAGATAACTAGATAAATAGCCACCAGACTGGCAATAGCTAAATGGATCATAAATATACTGCTTAATTTTTATTTTAATGTTCATGGTTTTAATTGTTATTTTTGCTATTTGTATTTTATGAAGCGCCATTGAATTGTTGACAATTGTAAGCCGTCCTAAGTCCCCCTAGGGGTTGAGAAGGGCAGGGTAAAAATGTTTGAAATAAATAAATAAATTAAAATCCTCATATCGTGTCAGCTTTTCCAGTTGTTTCTCTGAAATCCTGCTGTCACCTGAGATTGCAAAATACTCTGTTTTTTAACATGGTCGTGAGGTCAGTATTGTGCTCTAAAACTCTGTCTGTCTGAATTTGAAAGTCCCAGAGTAGCTTGACGTGTTCATTTTCTGTAACTTTTTCCGGCTTGTTACCAGTTCTTTGTTACAGGCAGATGGTATTTGTGGCACAAGTTCCAATGAATCATCTGAGCAATGGTGTTATGCCTCTGCTTGTAGTCTGTCTGCGCGGTCTTCTTGCAGCAGCTCAGGGTGTGATCTATTGTTTCATCTGCTTCCTTGCAGAGTATACATTTGGGATCTGTCGTCAACTTTTCAATTCTGGCTTGGATGGCATTGGTTCTAATGGCTTGTTCTTGGGCTGCCATATATTTTTTATTTATTTATTTATTTACAGCATTTATATGCCACCCTTCTCACCCCGAAGGGGACTCAGAGCGGCTTACAAGATATATTTTTATACAATATGTTATATTATTAGCCTAGTACAATTTTATATTTTACTATATTGCACTATACCATTATATTGTAATATTATTAGTAATATTACATTTAATGTAAATATACAATTATAATTATAATATTGTATTATATAATTATAATAATAATACAATAATAATAATATCATCATCATTATTAGGTTATATGGAGCGTAATACAATAATAATAATAATAATAATAATAATAATAATTATTATTATTATTATTATTAATGGGTTTTAATTTTTATAGGCAGGCCAATATCATCACTTGAGAGGCCCCTCCCCCTTCTGGCACCAACGGCTGCTCTGGCCAGAGCCAAGACAGAAGGGAGCAGAAGACGCTTCCATCTTGCCTTTACTAATAATATAATATAGTATATTGTATATTCATATAATATTTATAATATTATAATGTAATACAATATAATAGTAGTAATAATAATTCAATATTATAATTATAATTATATATTTACATTACATGTAATATTACTAATAATATTACAATACAATGGTATAGTTCAATATAGTAATATATACTGATATTGTACTATGCTAATAATATAATGTATTGTATGAAAATATATACTGTAAGCCGCTCTGAGTCCCCTTCGGGGTGAGAAGAGCGGCATATAAATGCCGTAAATAAATAAATAAATAATAAATAAATACATTTATTATTATTATGATTATTGATGGGTTTTCATTATTAGGACATAGCACAATATACTTATTAGTACAAGAAAAAGCATCTTTCACTCTCCTGCACTGCAAATGCAGCCGGACCATAGGAGGCAAGAAGGGGCGACCTCGGATAACATTTGAATTAAAGCCAATGGAGACCCTGATGGCTGCAAAAAACAGTGGCAACATTAATTACTATGGAGTCTACTAATTACTTAAGAGGACTTACGCAGTGGGTGCTGGAGATGATGACAGAACTGGAGATGAAACTCAGCCCATCGTTCATGCTGACCTGCAGCGCTGCTTCCCTGCAAAAGAAAAGGAGTAGGACGGTATAATTTATATATATCAAACGTGCCGTAATAGCAAGCAGAATGTATATATATTGGTTTGAATATATATACATATATATTTTGAAAAGAAGCAGGGAAGCTGAGGGATGATTTATTGTTGCCACCAATTTGAAAGGAACCAGTATTCAGGAGGTTTTTACCCCAGTTCCCACTTTTAAAAAGAACTAGCCGATTTGCAATGGAGGTTGCCGATTAAGAACCAAATTTACCATCAAGTTAGAAGGGAGGCTGTTCAATTGTACCTCCTCCTTTAATAAGAAAGTAATAACTTAGTAGTAATGACACTGTATATATACTGTAGCGTGACTGGAGAGAAGAATGTAGATTTGTTTGGTTACTTTTCCCTGCGTTTCTACCACCACGTGAGGTAAGTTGTAATATTGTGAGAAATGGCACTTTATACCCAGAATAGACGGAACTGAGGCGATCTTCAAATAAAAGTTAACAATTTTATTAAGTACACAGCGTGTGGTTGCAAGACGTAACGTTTCTTTTGTTGCACTTGGAATAATACTTGTAACTTTAACAGTTCATTCTTTCAAGTAACACAGTATCTTTTTGACGTAGAACACTTGTTTCAGACAAAGTTTCCATACAGGGATGTTTCCCTTAGTCGATCCTCCCTAGATCAAATATTAGTAACCTATTCTTTAGCCTCTCCTTAGACTAAAGGAATACCAGCTATGTTTCATCATTCGGCTGCACTAGCCTGAGAAACTTCCAATAGCCAAACCCAGCTTTTCAAAGCCTCAAGTTTTGCTTCACAAGTCACTCCGCCACCTTTCCTTTCCTTCTCTCCCAATTCCTAACTCCTGACTCTCCTGAACCTAAACCCGGACTGCTCACACCTCTAAACCTAAACCCTAACTGATTTTTAACTGCCATTTTTTCAAACTCTCCCCTCTAAGCTCCTCCCACTTCCCTCTCTCCTGCATCGGTCTCCATGGCAACGCACATGGAGGACTCCTCTGACTTAGGCCACTCCAGCATTGCTGCAGCCAATTTAAACACAAATACAGTTAAAATCATACAATTTATAATCAACTCCTATACATATATATATATACACACACACACACACACATATATAGTCAAAACTTGTTTGTTGGATTATAATTGCTATGCTATTATGTATTTCACTGCATAGCAGCTCCCCCTGCTTTCAACTTGTAATTATAACCCAATTTTACCAAATCAATTTCTTAATCAAGTTTTATAGTGTCTCAATTTATTTTTGTTAACTCTTATGGGAGCTTTAGGACAGTGATTTGTGTTTATTTTGTGTTCTATTTTGTCTTGTATTGCTGATTGACATGGTCAGTGGAGTCATCAATAAACAATATCTATCCATCCATCCATCTATCTATCTATCATCCCTATCTATCTATCTATCTATCTATCTATCTATCTATCTATCTATCTATCTATCTATCTATCTATCTATCTATCTGACTTTGCCCATGACCTATAGGAACGGAAACACAATTAATGCAAAACATATAGATAGGAAAATACAATTTAAATGGGGCATAATAGAGTAAGCAGATGCATAGTGGACTTACATGCCAACTTCTCGTAAGACAGGAGCCGGACAAAGCAGGTAAGTGTCTTCAACCACAAAGGGCTTCTCATCTAGAAAACAGGAAAAAAATGAGATTTTTGCAGGTCATATTTGCAAAGACATTATCTTCTTTATTTACCTTCATTTGCATAATCTCCTGGCAAAGTTTCATTGAAAAGAAACGTAAAACAGGGATGCAAAAAATAATCCCATGCACGTCGGGTTTGCAAGGTGGTGCAGAATCAGTGGGTGCATTAATCCAGTTTCATACCACTTTGACTGCCATGGTTCCATGCTATGGAATCTTGGGATTTATAGTCTTTACGTGGCTTTAGCCTTCTATCATGCCCACCAAAGGTGCATCTACTAATAATAATGTAATGTTGATGTATTCTGGACAAAGTAGCCCCCATGTATTCTGTATGCAAATAATAATAACAATAATAAAAATAATAAGGATGAGTTTTGGATAATGTGGTTCTCCATTTATTCAGTATGCAATTATTATTACTATTATTGACACAAAAGCACAGTGTGTCACAGCAAACGAGATCTATATGCTGGATTTCGTATCACAAATTCACAAGTCGAACACTTCGCAAGCATCTAGGACTGTGTGATGTATTTTCGAATGATGTTCGCAGATCCAAGTCAGGTGGCCTTTTGCAGTTGACAGATCGTGATTTTGACAATGTTTATTGTTTCCAAATGCCGGCTGAGATCTTTTGGCACGGCACCCAGTGTGCCAGTGACTACTGGGACCACCTGTACTGGTTTATGCCAGAGCCTTCGCAGTTCGATTGTGAGGTCCTGATAACGGCTAAGTTTTTCCTGTTGTTTTTCCTCAATGTGACTGTCACCTGGAATGGTGACATCAATAACCCAGACTTTTTTCTTTTCCACAATTGTGATGTCTGGTGTATTGTGTTCCAAAACTTTGTCAGTCTGGATTCGAAAGTCCCACAGTATATTTTGCATGTTCATTTTCCACGACCTTTGCAGGTTTATGATCCCACCAATTCTTTACTGCTGGCATGTGGTATTATTATTATTATTACTACTATAAATGGATTTTGGATAAAGTAGTCTCTATTTATTTATTATGCAAAATAATAATAATGTGGATGCTGATGTATTTTGGATAAGGTGTCCCCCATGTATTCAGTATGCAATTATAATAATTATTATTGTGGATGAATTTAGGATAAAGTGGTCTCCATTTATTTAGTATGCAATTCCTCTTCTTCTTTTTCTTTTTTGCATACTGAATACATCGGGGTGACCTTGTCCAAAATTAATCAAGGTCCACATCATTATCATCATCATCATCATCATCATCATCATCATCATCATCATCATCATCATTTTACTGACACAAAAACACAGTATGACACAGCAAACGAGATATCTATGTTGAATTTCATATCACAAAATCACAAGTCGAACACTTCCCAAGCATTTAGGACTGCGTGATGTATTTTCAAATGATGCATACAGATCCAAGTCAGGTGGCCTTTTGCAATCATCATCATCATCATATTGAATACATGCTGGTGACCTCGTCCAAAATTAATCAATGTCCACATTATCATCATCATCATCATCATCATCATCATCAATAATAATAATAATAATAATAATCTAATAATAATAATAATAATAATACATCACACAGTCCTAGTTGCTTGGGAAGTATTTGACTTGTGATTTTGTGATACGAAATCCAGCATATATATTTTGTTTACTGTGACATATTGTGCTTTTCTGTCAGTAAAATAATAATAATAATAATAATAATAATAGGTTCTTGTGGGTTTTTTCGGGCTATATGGCCATGTTCCAGAGGCATTTTCTCCTGACGTCAGGAGAAAATGCCTCTAGAACATGGCCATATAGCCCGAAAAAACCCACAAGAGCCTAGTGATTCCAGCCATGAAAGCCTTCGACAATACAATAATAATATTTTTTGGTTAAAGTCATCTCCATCTCCAAACCTAGCAAGAATAGGACCATGAAGGGTGCATCTGCAGCCATGACATCCTGGGAGATGTAGTTTCGCAAGGTCTTGGTGAATGACGCACCAAATTATAACCCTCTAAAACTTTAGCAAACAGAAACCTGCCCAAAGGTGTATCTACACTGTAGAATTATAGCAGTTTGGCACCACTTTAACTGCCTCAATGGCTCAATGCTGTGGAGCTCTGGAAGCTGTAGTTTGCACCCCTTCTCCTCCTTATATTTATATCCCACTTTTTCTTACCACAAGAAGGCTCATAGCAACTTGTCAAACTTGCCAAACTACAACTCCTTTTGGCTCCTGAGCATTATCATCATTATCATTTTTATTACCACTTACTAAATATTATCTATAAATTTTATTTCTTTTTACTTTCTCTCTCCAGAAGGAAACTCCAAAGCGGCTTAACACAAAAGCATCAGCACACAATTTAAAACATCCTTGAATGTCCTGCAGGATTTTTGTTTTGCAAAGAACGGCCTTTTGCCGGTTGTTTTCTTTTGCTTGTCTTGCAAGGATGGTTCGCTCAAAGAAAGCCATTGCAATTCGGAGCAGCAGCAGCTGGTCCCCATCCAGCCCTGTTTACGGCAAGATGCTTTTGGGTTCTTACATAATCATGGCTTTGGGTAATAATAATAATACAAACAGCCGGGCTTGTAGGGCCAAAGCACCGGAAATTAAAAGCAGACTTCGGAGCTTAAGGACGTTCTTTCCGATCGTCTCAGAAATAAGCAAATCCAAGCCCAAAGGTTAGGATGATATTGCGCTGCTTGTGTCAAAGCAGGATGAAGCATTACTTTGAGCGTCTGCACTGCAGAACGAATGCGATTCTGCACCACTTTTGACTGCTTTGGAAACCCAGGGGTTTGTAGTTTTTGCAAGGATGACACACCCAACTATAACTCCCACAAACCTTACTGATCGGAAACCAAGGTTACATCCGCACTGTGAAAGGAATGTGACTCAGAACCCCCTTGCAACTAATCCTAATGCTGGCTTGACTTTTTAAAAAGTTAACTTTTAACTTTTTAACTTTGAATATGTTTTAATGGATTTTAACTGTGAATTTTTAATACTGTTTATATTTAATGCTATTTTAATATTTGTATATTTTAAATTGTATGCTGATGCTTTTATGTTCAGCCGCTTTGAGTCTCCTGCAAGAGAGAGAAAGTGGGGTATAAATAAATAAATAAAATAATAATAATAATAATAATAATAATAATAATAATAATGATAATAATAGATACATAGCTGCATTGAGTATCCTTTGGTAGATAAGGCTGGGTATAAATAAATATAATAACAACAAGAACAACAATAAAAACAATAACAACAACAATAGAGACACAGTTGCTTTGAGTCACCTTTGGGAAAGATAAAGTGGAGTAAAATAATAATAATAATAATAATAATAATAATAATAATAATAATGAATATATAGCTGTACTGAGTCTCTTGTAGGAGAGATAAATAAATATAACAACAGCAACAACAGCAGATACTCAACTGCCTTGAGATCGAACTGCAAGGACTCTGGTACAAGCCAGTTAAAGGGGGTCCCTGTGGTGATCGGCACACTGGGTGCAGTGCCTAAAGGCCTTAGCCTGCACTTAAACACAATCAGCGCTGACAAAATTACCACCTGTAAGCTGCAAAAGGCCACCCTACTGGAATATGCACACATTATTCGCCAATACATCACACAGTCCTAGACACTTGGGAAGTGTCCAACATGTAATCGAATACAAAAGCCAGCAGAGTGATCTTGTTTGCTATGTACTAATCTTGTTGTGTTTCAAAAAATAGTATTATTATTATTATTAATAATAATAATAATAATGAATACATAGCTGCATTGAGTCTCCTTTGGAAGAGATCAAGTGGAGTAAAATAACAACAACAACAACATAGCCATTTTAAATTTTCTGCATCAAAAATAAAGCAGGGTATACATAAATGCAATAATAATAATAATAATAATAAGTCACATAGTCCTAAACACTTGGGAAGGGTTCGACCTGTAGTTTCGTGATAAGAAATCCAGCATATATATCTCGTTTGCTGTGTCATACTGTGTCAGAATAATAATAATAATAATAATAATAATAATAATAATAATAATAGCATATCCACTTTAAGTATCCTGCAGGAGAGATAAAGCAGGGTATACATAAATATAATAGTAATAATAATAGTAGTAGTAGTAATAATAATAATAATATCGCCACTTTAAGTCTTCTACAGGAGGGATAAAGCAGGCTATAAATATAATAGTAATAATAGCAATAATAAAAATAATAATATTGCCACTTTAAGTCTTCTACAGGAGGGATAAAACAGGCTATAATAATAATAATAATAATAATAATAATAATAATAATAGCATATCCACTTTAAGTATCCTGCAGAAGAGATAAAGCAGGGTATACATAAATATAATAGTAATAATAGTAGTAGTAATAATAATAATATCGCCACTTTAAGTCTTCTACAGGAGGGATAAAGCAGGCTATAAATATAATAATAATAATAATAATAATAATAATAATAATATATCCACTTTAAGTATCCTGCAGGAGAGATAAAGCAGGATATACATAAATATAATAGTAATAATAATAATAATAATAATAATAATAATAATAATATCGCCACTTTAAGTCTTCTACAGGAGGGATAAAGCAGGCAATAAATATAATAATAATAATAATAATAATAATAATAATAATAATAATAATTTTAAAAATTGTAGGAAAAAGCCGAGGAGAGGTGTTGTTTTGAGACGGACTTTTGCAACACTCATCTCTGACACCCATCTGCTCATGAAAAGAGCAAGCAGTCCATGCACACTGACAGATGCTCCATGTTCAAAGAAAGAGACCAAATCTGTTGCCTTGTTTCCCGATTTAATTTTACCAAAAACTTGGCACCCCCATTTCTTGGTTTCACAACCCTATTCTTTTTCCCAGAAGGATCGGGATGGAATTGTGCAAACTAATGTTTTGTTTGCAGAAACTTCAGAAAGCACTTGGTGTTGAAGCAAAAAAAGGG